ATAATCCTATTTATAATCCTTTATAATCCTATTTATAATCCTTTATAATCCTATTTATAATCCTTTATAATTCTATTTATAATTCTTCATAATCCTATTTATAATCCTTTATTATCCTATTTATAATCCTTTATAATCCTATTTATAATTCTTTGTAATCCTATTTATAATCCTTCACAATTCTATTTATAATCCTTTATAATCCTATTTATAATCCTTGCAGAAAATTATATTTTTTTTTCATATTCTTGAATAATTTGTTCCCAATCTTTTTCAAACATTTATTGTTAAAATCTTTAATATTCTTTGCAAAAAGGTTCATTTGATGTTGAAATTTTTTAATCTGAAAGTTCTAAGTAACTTTGAAAAACTTGAAAGCATAATTAAATTTTTCATCTAAAATCATTATATCTTGCAATCTTTCCTGATAATTTAATCTTTGTACAGTAAATAACCAGAAAACTGGAATAGGAAGACGACATTAAAGCAATACTGAAGTGTATTTGATGTTGTTACAAAGCAAATAGCTTTAATAGTAACTTATAAATCACATATTAAGTGAAATGGGTCTGTTTACACTGCACAATTGTTCATTGCATGTTCATTGCATATTTGTCAAAATTTTAGTTTAAAAGTCAACTTTTTTCCCAGAGTTTTCTGGTTATCAATGTATAATATTTAAAATTCAATTGTCATTGTTAAAAGCTGACAATGATAATCTTAACTTTCATAAAAACAATTAATATTATTGCTTAATCATGCGTAAAAAAAAGATAGATAGTTGAAAATATTATTTTTTCTCTCCTGTGTTATTATACCCCCCACCCTACTGTAGCATATATTTAGTTTAGTTCTACATTAAATCATTGAACTCTGCTTTCCTATTGTTTAATTTATCCTGGCCTGGTTGTTGATCTTTAAACAATATATATATCTCTAGTAATATTATGGAGAATAGGAAAACAAATTGCGTATTTTATTGATTGCGTGATTGCGTGGTGTTCTGTATATTGTTGAGTGTTTATACTGAATATACTGAGTACGTCTGCAACTATTAAAACACCTAACCTCGGTCAATGCGTAATAGTTGACATTCTGTATATGCTGTGCATTAAAGGGAATGTTATCGTACTTCGGAAACATCAGAAAACTTTTCAGATTTCTGAATTATGACCGAGAGTCTGTTTATAATCGAGAGTCCTGTTTATGACCGAGAGTCCGTTTTATAACCGATAGTCCTGTTTATGACCGAGAGTCCTGTTTATGACCGAGAGTCCTGTTTATGACTGAGAGTTCTGTTTATAACCGATAGTCCTGTTTATGACTGAGAGTCCTGTTTATAACCGATAGTCCTGTTTATGACTGAGAGTCCTGTTTATAACCGATAGTCCTGTTTATGACTGAGAGTCCTGTTTATGACCGAGAGTCCTGTTTATGACCGAGAGTCCTGTTTATGACCAAAGATTCCTGTTTACGACCGAGAGTCCTGTTTACGACCGAGAGTCCTGTTTATAACCGAGAGTCCTGTTTATAACCGAGAGTCCTGTTTATAACCGATAGACCTGTTTATGACCGAGAGTCCTGTTGTGAATTGTTATTGGCACTTCAAGAGACACTTGAATCTATGATGACAATCCTTATAAGGACATATTTAGCTTGCATCCATTTTTTATGTCGGAGAAATCCCCCCCCCCCCCCCTCCTGGCCATCTCTTCATATCTCCTCATATCATTAAAGCGTGTAGTTTAATCTCAGACACATGTCAAGCTTGATACCTAATTCAAGTCTAAAACCTGTCAAAATATATTATTTAAATCCCGAACCAGGATCAGTTTAATTTACCAACTCAAGATGAGTTTAAGCTGAGAAACAAGATTCAAGAAAATATTTTAACCGTCGCTTGTTTCTTGTTATGTTTACGGTCTGCAGGTACTTAGTCAAGCATGCAGGAGAAAACCAATTTTTCCTAAATTTACTTTCGACACCATTTTAACCATTTTTTAAAATATCTTTTTATTGTTTGTTAGTTCGTTAATTGATAAAAATGTACACCTTTACCTGTAAGTATATATAATTAAGATATCTATATATCTACTTAGACGTGCGTGTCCATTCGATGTTTCTGTAAACAAAAATTTAATTGGATTCTGTTAAAAATATGAATATTGAACATACATATGTTCATGAGATCTTATGTTTACAAATAAATAGTTAATAAAAGGCATTTTTTGAAGAAATTAAATTTTCTCTTAATAATACTGGGCCCTTATCTACTTGAACTTATTTGAGGATTTTATCAACAGAACATTTTTCGTTGTTCTTTTATTTCTTAATTTTAATTGGTCGTTTTCACTTTACTTTAAAAATTATAACATTTTAGGTTTGTTGTGTAATGAGCGAGACGAGACCGAACCTGTGTAGCCACTGCATTGACCGGGGCCCAAAGACAGGACGGATGAATGCGGATCCAGGACGGATGGAGAAGAGTAGTAAATTCGCAGAGGTTGAGAGGTGTTTAAGAATGCTGGAGGAGGATAGACTCCTGGTTGCTCATCTAGCGGAATCTGCGGATAAAGGTAACGTTTTGATTTTCTACTTTAAAAAATTTGAATAAATTTTCTTGAAAATATGAAGTTTACCGTTTTTCCAGGTCGGCTGAAGAGTGGGAGAGGTTCTTCAGGTTCTACTGGAGCTAAAAGAAATAAAACTACCCGTCTTCTCTACACCCGTCTTCTCCAGCTGCAACCAGCACTACTAGACGATGTATGCCCAGTTCTCTCTCAGCGGGTTCTTCAGAAGGTTTATCAATGGCAGTTTAATGCATTCCTGCTGGACAGGGTTACAGGAGGACATTGTCTTCCAGCAATATGCCTTCATCTTCTTCATAGTACAGGTAGGATCCTTCATCTTCTTCATAGTACAGGTAGGATCCTTTATCTTCTCCATACTGCAGGTAGAATCCTTCATCTTCTTTATACTACAGGTAGGATCGTTCATCTTCTCCATACTACAGGTAGGATCCTTTGGCTTCTCCATACTGCAAGTAGGATCCTTCAATTTTCGCCATACTACAGGCAGGATCCTTCATCTTCTCCATACTACAGGTAGGATCCTTCATCTTCTTCATACTACAGGTAGGATCCTTCATCTTTTTCATACTACAGGTAGGATTCTTCATCTTCTTCATATTACAGGTAGGATCCTTTATCTTCTTCATAGTACTGGTAGGATCCTTCATTTTCTTCATACTACAGGTAGGATCCTTTATCTTCTCCATACTACAGGTAGGATCCTTTATCTTCTTCATACTACAGGTAGGATCCTTCATCTTCTCCATACTACAGGTAGGATCCTTCATCTTCTCTATACTGCAGATAGAATCCTTCAATTTTCGTCATACTCTCTGAATAAAATTTGAAGCTAAGAAATACAAAATACAAAATAAAAATGATGATGATTTGATTATGACAATTCAAAGATGATTTATGTTTATATTGTTTATCAGCTAAGAATTAAATATGTTAATGTTATGTGTGTCGATAACATTTTTCAGCACTATGAGAAATGAATTGAGTCTTTGTCACAAACTATGATTTTCTAATCTCTTTATCTTTGTAATCCAATGCCGTAGACCTTAGATATTTCAAACTATGAATTCTGTTAGATGAAAAAAATCCAAGTTTAAAATATCAAAGGTTTACACCATCATGTGGAAAAAATATAGGTATTAGAAAATCAGAGTTTGTTACAAAGACTCAATTCCTTTCCATTTTTCTTCTGACCTTTTTCTTCTTGACATGAATGATGAGGTTAATATCAAGGCATACTTGAACAAAAAGAAATGAATCTTTTGAGTTTTCAACAATTTTCCTAATTCTAATGTAAACTTAAATGGACTGTAAGCTTGATTTTTAGTGACCCTCCATGCAGAGATGGGAAGTCCTGATTCACAACGGTACCTTAAAAACCTTGTCTGATCCAATAGGGATGAGATATCAATGTTAACAAATTTGGAAAATTTATTATTTACAATCGTGGTTTCTTTACAAAAGTGACTTACACGTTTCTGCTGTTGGAAAACAAATGGGAATTATCAGAATTAAACACTATAGAAAAACGACAATATCTTCCACATTATTGTTCAGATAAAGGTTTCCAGGTTACCGATGTTAATAGGGTATTTTCATCTTAGCATCAATGGTCCCTTGAAATTCCGCGCACAGTCCCTTTAATGTTTGCCTAGATCTGTATTGTTATACCGGCTTATTCAATTCTACTCTTGTTTACGACAGTAAGCTCCATAGCAACTACAACCCGTAGGATTGAAAATATTTTGAAAAATATGTCTGCAAAAAGATCAGACCGTGACGTTCTTCTTCATAGATTTTTATATCCTATTGACGTAGGTGTTAGGATTAGTAACTGAATGTAAATCCGTAGATTTGTTGATTAATATTTTTCTATTCAGGACTTATGAGTCATTTCGGGATGGATCCTACAGAAGTTATCTCATTTTTCCGGTTGGTAGAGCGTGGATACCATCACGGGAACCCGTATCACAACGCTCTCCACGCGTGTGACGTGACTCAAGCTATGTATGTATTCTGTCAACAGTCAGCTATTCTTCCTTACCTTACCCCTCTAGAATTACTAGCTGCGCTGGTCGCAGCTGTATCCCACGACCTAGATCACCCAGGAGTAAACGAGAAGTTCCTTGTCTCTACAGGGAGCCATCTAGCGGTTCTTTACGACAACGTTTCCGTGCTGGAGAACCATCATTGGAGATCAGCCGTAGCTAGCTTCGTGGATTCCGGACTATCTAAATGTTTGCCAGAGTCCCAGTTTACAGAGTTTGTTGATCTTGTGAGATCTCTGATCTTGGCTACAGATATATCCAGACAACAAGAGTTCCTCACGCAGTTCAGATTTTTCCTGGACAATCGGGAGCTTAACCTGGCTCTACCACACCATAGGCATTTTATCCTACAGATTGGTATAAAGTGTGCGGATATATCGAACCCTTGTAGGACGTGGAACGTATCCAGACTTTGGTCTCTCAGAGCATGTGAAGAGTTTTTTAGACAGGGTGATCTAGAAAGAGAGTTAGGGTTACCCCTAACTCCTATTTGTGATAGATTTAACGTAACAGTAGCCAAGGTGCAAGTAGGATTTTATACGTTTGTTGTTGAACCATTGTTTAGTGAGTGGGATAGATTCTTGTCTAGTGATCTTACCAATGAGATGTTGGAGAACTTCAGGTCTAATCAGACAAAGTGGGAGGACGAGGTTATGCAAGAAGATATATCCTTCCCAACCTCAAGCCAAGATGAAATCGAACCTGTCAGAGAATCCAAAGTCTTCCAGCCTCCAACTGGACCTGCCAAAATTGGACGGAGGATGTCGTTGCCTTGTAACGACCCTCTCCTTCGCGTGTTCGACCAGATGACCCAACCGGACTGCGACGCGACCAAAGCGGTTCAGCTTAGGAGAAATTTCTCTCTCACGGATCGTCGTCGATCTTCCTTACTTCGGGGACTTTACAACAGAAATTCCTTGAAGCCTGGTCGGGGTAGGTTGAGCCGACCTACAAGTGTGTGTATAGAGAATGACCCGGCGATAAAATTTAATCGAACTCTGCAACCGCGAGAAAACCGGATACGTAGTCCGCCAAACATGGAAATGAGTTTGGTGGAAAAAAGTCCTTCTCCGAATTCAGAGGAAGATTCATCCGTGTTCCTTGAACCAGGGGAGAAGGAGAACTCTAGTAACCTGTACGAGAGACTGAGCAGAAGACGGGGATCAGCTCCTTCCAACCTGGTCCTAGGAGATTGCAAACCTTCAAACAATGGAAACCTGGTTGGATCCAACCTTCTCCGACATCAGAACAACCTTGGCCTCAATACAAGGAGGGGATCTCTTCCCTCCGACCTGTTAAAAGAAAGTTTATCCAAACAGTTTCGTAATAAAGTTCTTAACAGTGGTTCTGCCGGGAGCTCTAAATCTAAAGGTTTACTGAGACGAAGATCAATGGGTCCTGAACTACTTAATTTACAGCAGGGAGGAGGGGGACGGGAGAGACAGTTAATGCAAAAATACTTAAACCGTCCCATTTAACAACGGAACCAGAACCCTGGCAGAACTATTCTTCGTCTTGTTTAGGTGGTTGTTTAGTCAGAACATTTATATCGTTTTTGTAATGTGTTTCTATAAATTATTGTGTCAACTTAGAACTTGATTATGTAGAGTTCTGATCAAAGAAGAGTTTTAATGTAAAAAGTTTTTTTTTCGATTATTTTTCGATAAAGAAAATGGGGAAGAATTCTTCTTGGAATTTATCTTTTCACCTAGCTCTCTAATAATTACTTTGTTCTTTTTAAAAAGATTAATTTTTATCATTGCTTTCAAGGTTTTAATTCTTTAAGATATTGACTATTCTTAAAATCTTAAAATTTTTGATGAAACCTTGAAAACTTTAATTACTTTTACTTGAGTGGTTTTTAATTTAAGAATATCTTGTTTAAGCGAGTCTAAACTTTGAATTAATATTGTCCAAAAAATTTTATAGGGGCTGAATAACTGTTTATATGAAAAAAACAGATGTAAATGAGGAGGAAAAAATCTGATTATCGAACGAATTTATACTTTTTTTGCAAGCACAAAAGTTTAAAAATCAAATATAATTCTGATTTTAGGATTCTTACGGTATAGTCATGAAAACTATGTAGTATATATGTACTCTTGGGAGGGATTTGAGAATAGAAAAAAAAACTAAAAGAAAGCGAGAGAAAATCGAAAGCACTATTAGAGAAGAATTCGGGGATTTCTTGGGGAAAACATTGGAGGAGCTGGAGAACTGGAGAAGATCCGTGAAAAATTAGGTTGAGAGACAGACAAGGAGATGCAGGAAAACTGGAGAAGTTTTGGAGATGATCTGCAGAAGAACTGGAGAATGTTGGGAGATGATCTGCAGGAGAACTGGAGAATGCTGGGAGATGATCTGCAGGAGAACTGGAGAAGGTTTGGAGATGATCTGCAGGAAAACTGGATAGGTTTGGATATGATTTTCAGGAGAACTGGAGAAGGTCGTGAGATGATCTGCAGGAGAACTGGAGGAGTTTTGAAGATGATCCGCAGGAGAAATGGAGGATGTCGGGAGATGATTTGCAGGAAAACTGGATATATGTTTTGGAGATGATTTTCAGGAGAACTGAAGAAGGTTTGGGAGATGATTTTCAGGAGAACTGAAGAAGGTTTGGGAGATGATTTTCAGGAGAACTGAAGAAGGGTTGGGAGATGATTTTTAGGAGAACTGGAGAAGGTTTGGGAGATGATTTTCAGGAGAACTGGAGAAGGTTTGGGAGATGATTTTCAGGAGAACTGGAGAAGGTCGGGTAGGTCGGGAAAGTTCTGCAAGTGAGCTAGAGGAGGTCGGGAGATAGGATAAAGTCCTGGAAGAAATTTTGACGATGAATTCCAAAAAGAAACTAATTGGATGACGTCAGAGGTTTGACTAGTTCTGGTTTCATTGAATTATTTAAACCCAGGGTTCAAATTATTTACTAAAGGGTTTCAAGGATTAAATAACAAAGAATGAAAATAAGAGAAATATTGTAGTTTGACAAAATATTGGTGCAGATTCAGACTCCGGATCTCATGCCAATTCTTTCAAACGTCGAGGACACATTTTAAGTAACGAATCTTGTGTGCCAAGTAAAAACTCTTTAAAAACCCTGGAGGGGGAATTCCTTATTTCTAGTCAAGGGTGACAAGGGACGGGGGGGGGGGGTAATTGTTATTTCAACGATTTTACTATTTTCTCTTATTGATTTGGCAGAATTTATAGTTTACAAGTTGAAAAGTATCCAGACTTTTTTTTGACAAAAGAAACTGAACATTCGCAACAACCCCTAATTTTTTAATTCCCATATCTTTTCAACATGGCGGTTTGAACCTTTGATATTTCAAGCTTAGACTAATCAATCTAACAGAATAAACATATTATTCTTATTTTTTTTTGCATAGTTTTCATTTTAACTTTTTAGAATATTTTTAGTATTAATTGAAAATATAGACACGAACAATTAATAATTTTCTATTAGTTACGAATCTATATATAAATTTGGCTTGTCTGTCTGTTTGGGTGTTTGTTTGTCTGTCTGTTTTGAACCATGGAATGGAACCCAGAAACTAATACTTTATTTATTAAATACTATTTCCTTGGAAGACGACTTTCTAAGAAATCGCGTTTTAGAGTAAATCAAGGAAACACTTAAGTTCTCTAAAAATGTATTTGTTAGGAAATAGAATATACTTGTTAAACTATGTACTGCCGGTTCAACCAGTTCTCTAGTCAAGATGAAGAAAAGTGGGTTAATTTAGTCTACGTAGTTCAACTTAACTTCTCATTAAATATGGTTCCTGGGAATTTCATTAATCGAAATATAATCTAGTAAGTTATTAATCGTCTATTTATCGTCGCCTGATAGTTTTAGCATTTTTTAGTATTTTCTTATTCTCTTGTCCAAGCCCGGCCAAGTGGTTCAGAGCATCATGAAATTTTTTTCAAAAATGTTGTGCTTTAAAAACCCAGGTCTAAAATTAAAAGGTCGTTAAATTAAGACCACTAGATTTAAAAAAACATTTTCTACTGGTAAAACCATTTGATTTAAAACACTTTTTTATTTCAGTTTTGATTGTTGAAAAGCTTTTTTCGAATTACATGTTTGCGTTTTTTTAAATGACAGCTTCTCTGGACTTCTATGTTTTTTTAACAATTGATTTTTTAATTCTTTTCCAGATTTTTTATTCAACAAATTTATTGATGCATGTATTCAATCTTCTTGTGTTTCTGGCTGGTCTGTTTAGCTGCATACCCCCTCCCCAGGATGGTTAATATACAGGATGGTTTATTGCTGACATTGTTGTAATAAGAACTTCCCTTTGTCAGCTGCATTGAGTTACATGTATCAGTGTCTGCAGTAATTTAAAAAGAAATTTAAAAGACTTCCTTGCCTTAACTGCATTTAAGGTGATTTAGATGTACCCCCTAGGAAAGGAACACCTATGATACAAATGATGATCTCTCTCAGAAAGTTTTGACTAAGATTCCACAGTATAAAGCAGTTTCTGAGTTCCACTATATCTGCTCATGAAGTAGGATAAGTTTGGATTTTAGGAGGTAGGAGGATAAGGATGGGGGTGTAAGGGTAACAGGTATAAGATATACCCATAGAGAATAGAATAAATAGAGAGGAATTAAAAGAATCTCTCGGTATGAATTTTTTCAGTCCCGTTCAGTCTGAAAGGGAGTTCAAAGTGTACAAATCATGTAAATGTTCACAAATTATATGCAGTAGAGTACATTAATACAGTATTTTCCCTAGACTATCCATTTCAATTTCGAATTTTTAAACTGTTAATAAACTTTATAATGAATTAGGTGAATAAAAACATCATTTGATTTATGGTTATAACGGAAAATCATCGTTTGTAAAGTGGAAGGCATAGAGTCTATGTGAAATGATCATTGATCAATTATGAAACCAGCCTATTTCATAATTTGGTTTTCTTTTAACAATAATTTTAGATTATCTATAAAATGATTTTCCAGGGCCCAACAGGTTATATAGCATAAATATGTGAAGTACACCTGCAGTATGGAAACAGTACAACAAAATGGCCGTTTTACACTTTTTTTCTAGTAAATTCCTCTCTATATATTCTATTCTCTATGGATATACCATAGTCCTCGATGTTATTAGGTGTATTCCCACATGGACAGATTTTTTAAAGAAGAAATAACCTGAGCACTCCAGCCTATCGCTTTAAAACAAGGGGAGTTTGCACTTTAATCAGCTGCGGAACAGGGCTCTTCCAGAAAGGGCTCCGATTGCTAAGTAGAGTGGGTGTAAAACCGGATTAGCTGGATTATTATTAGACATATTGGCTCTTTCTTAGATTTACTTCTTTTTATTTTTCTTCTTTATTCTTGTAGATTCCTATTTCTTGACTTAGTACCTGAGCTGTAGATACTGTATCAGTAAGATAGGAAGTTAGCTAATCGAGCATTGGGTTCATGGCAGCTGGCCTTCCCTCCCTCACTCCAATGTGTAAAGCCTTTCACAGCGCCCATAAATACAAAGTGCCATGCAGGGAGCAGTCTAGTAGGTCTGATCAGCATGCCGATCTAGGCACAACTGGACTTCAATGTTTATATATGAGTATCCAATCAATGCTGTTTAACAGCTTGTTTTAAATCACATTAAAATTTAAAGTCGTCTTCATTGTATTGATATAATCGCCTAGACCACTCTAGGTCCCACTGTATAGTTAGCGTAGGAAGCCGTCAAAGTGTATTATCTACTCAAATGATATTTCAGAAAATGTGGAAACCACGACACCTAAACTTGCTTCATTATTCTCCTTCTACAGTTTCTGAACCTTCATAAACCGAAAACAATTTTCTTTAGAAACCAAACTTATGCATTTTTCTTTTATCTTTGTGGAAACTTTGTGGAATAATTTCCATTTGATGAGATTCTGGAACCTACGGAATCTATGAATAGGGAGTATTCACTTAACATAAAATATAGCATACAGTGAGAAATAGAAGACGACATTAAAACAATATTAAGTGTATTTGATGGTATAATGCAAGGTTAATAGTCACAAACTAATTATAATTAATTAATTAGTCGAATGGGTCAGTTCACATTCCATAATTACCGTGTTTCATGTTTATTGAACTATTTAATGTAATAATTTGAGTTGAACAGTCCTCTTTCTATTCCAGAGGTTTCTGGTTTTCATGCGGTAGGTTGAACCAAAACTTCATTTTGAATAGATTTATTCCGATGATTCTGTAAAACATGAATTTAAACTTTTCTCCTCGGACCCAAAACTGCTCTGTCTGTGCTGACCGACGCGTTCCACCAGGTTGCAAATATAAAAGGATTTGAAAATTTGAGTTTGGGACAATAACTCAGTTCCTTTCTTTAATACTAAACAAGAACTCAGTTCCTTTCTTTAATACTAAACAAGAACTCAGTTCCTTTCTTTAATACTTAACAAGAACTCAGTTCCTTTCTTTAATACTTAACAAGAATACAAAAAACATTACTTCTACGTCACAAGCGTTGATCATTAAATTTTATCAAGAAAACGTCTCTTTGTTTCGCTTATATTTTTCTATTTATTTATCTATCCTTTGTCATGAAAACCTGTTTATTTTTTTACGTAAAAATAGATAAGAGAACATTTGTAGGCATGCACAATTAGGTTTAATTAGTCAAAGGTCGAATTTGAATCGCGTCGCTGAACCATCAATCACCGGTTCAACTTGCGCGCCATGACTCAAATCTCGAAATCATGAATATATAATAGAATGGATATTTCATAGTCAAGGTTTGATGTCATTTTATGGCTGGGGTGTCATGCAGCACGTTAGACATTGGACCCGGGACTTACAAAAGGAATTGCATCTTTGCCACAAACTCAAATTTTCTAATCCTTTTATCTTTGCAACATCATGGTGTAGACCTTTGATATTTCAAACTTAGATCAGTTTAGCTAACAGAATTCATAGTTTGAAATATCTAAGGTTTACGACATTGGGCTCCAAAGTTATAGGGATAAGAAAAGAAGAGTTTTTGACAAAGACTCAATTCCTTTATCTTTGGTTTTCGTAAAGTTAATAGTTGTCAAAGTAGTATAGAAAACCATTGCAAATCTTTAAAACTTTGTAAATTTTAGCCTCCTCTTTACGTATCATAAAAGTTGTCGGAGATACTAAACCTTGGTTATATATAATTCTTTGAATTTTAAACAAATTTCTCAATATCTCCATCAATTCTTAAGGTTTAAAACCATTGCTGCAGAAGCTTCTGAATTTACAAACCAGATTTTGATGAGAAGCATGATAGTGCAGTTTCAAATGTTCCTTAAGTATCTTGAATACAAGGGAAATCCAAGAACGGAGTAAATACATCTCCCCCTGCTTACCATGCTACCCCCTTTCTAATATATTCAGTATCTAATTTGTAAAAAAAAACATGTTTAGCTAGACGATTGTATTCTGCAGTTTAGAAGTATTCAGGGGAAGATCATGGTTAATAGAAATAAAAACAGGCGAAAGAAAGTTTTGTGCTAAAGCTAAATCATTTTTGCATTTCAAATTTTGAATCAAACTTCCTGGAATTTAACAAAGGAAATAAAATATTTGCGGCATAGTTTTGGTATGGTTGCATGCCGATGTTAAACTTATCATATTCGGTAAAAAGTTGAAATATTTTAACTTTTTTTAAGGGATGGCTAAAAAGGGGAAACTCAGCAAGTTTGAGAACTGAGAACCTAGAAGTAAAGTTTAGTTCTCTCTCATCAGCCCTGTGCTAATCTGCAGTCTCAAACACGAGAAAACAAGTAAATATTATTCATCATCTTATTTTCTTTATATACAATGTACTTAGTAGGCATTCTTTACAGTGCAATACTTTAATCTGTAGTTGTTTATCTTTATACTTTTTCATAATGTAGCCATAGTTCATACCGATTCTTATATAAATCTATACATCTCATCCTTACCTTAAACGTTATTCTTTTCCATCTAAAAATATATTAGTATCTACTGAGAATAAATATGCATTTGAATTATATATAAAGGAATTGAGTTTTTGCAACAAATTCAAATTTTTTAATTCTTACATATCTCTTGATGGTGAACTCGAGATTACAAATTATCTCGTACATATCATTATTCCAGTTCCAAATTACATAGTATCTCGTACATTTTACATTCCTGTTCCAATATACATATTATTTTGTACATATTAGTATTCCTGTTCCAATATACATATCATTTTGTACATTTTAGTATTCCTGTTCCAATATACATATCATTTTGTACATATTAGTATTCCTGTTCCAATATACATATTATTTTTTACATATCAGTATTCCTATTCCAATTTACATATCATTTTGTACATTTCAGTATTCCTGTTCCAATATACATATCATTTTGTACATATCAGTATTCCTGTTCCAATATACATATTATTTTGTACATATCAGTGTTCCTGTTCCAATTTACATATTTTCTCGTACAAAGTAGTATTCCTGTTTCAATTTTCATCTCGTATATTCATTATCTCGTATATTTTGTACATATCAATATTTCTGTTCCAATATAAATATGTGTATTTCTGTTTTATTTTTTATAAAATCTCTATTCCTGTTCTGAATAGTAAGTGTATAATATTTGACATACCTTTATTCATATTCCATTTTACATATTATTTTTAAATATTCCTGATGTTTCAATTATACATATATGCATAATATGTATAAAATGTATCTATATTCCTATTTATATCAAATCTATGTATCTCCGTATCCTCTCTGAGTAGGGAACTGATTCCGGAAATAAAGAATACGTCCGACAAACACCAATCAATATTCTCCCACTATATACATGAATAATATCTGGATATTGATTCTTCCTTGATCATTTCCCTAGATTCTCTCCTCTTCCAAGTTCTAGATCAATATTCAATACATACAAACTACAAAGTTCAATCTTCAAATTAATTGAGAACATAGAGTGAGGAGAGGGAGGGCGGGGGGGGGAGGGGATTGGATAAGCACATTAGTGGTAGATCTTAGCTTCGTATGTTGCAGTAATGGTTTCATTAAAAATTAGAAAATAAAAGTGTTTACAACATTTTTTTTAGACTGAACTGTGAGAGCTGGAGCGAGGAGAACCAGGAGAAGGAGAGAATCTATAAGAAGATAATACGGATAGCGTATAAGAATCAGACGGAGAAGAACGGGTTGTGTTTAGAGGATATGCTCGGTCTCCTCTCTCTAGATCAGGATGGTGGGAGGTTCAGAGCCTAGAGATATTCAATGGTACAGAGGACAACCTTTATACGCTTACAGCTACAGACACGCCCATCCTCCTAGGCCTCTACTAGCCACGCCCATTCAACCTAAACCTGCCACTATCAGAGGTAGGCAGCGACCATATCCCAGGCGCCAGAGCCAGAGGAGGGGGCGGTCCCAAGTTTCCGGTATGGGTGGGCTTCTCACTAGAGGGATGAAACAAGTGAAGAGTGATGGAAATGGAAATATTGAAGATGAAGAGAAAATTGATAAACCGGTTCCATTCTACCTACCTCTACCCCCACACCTGGACCTTCTGCTTGACCGGCCTGTAGCTAGCCGGCAGGTTCAACTCCAGCACGCCTGGAATCCTAATGATAGATCTCTAAATATTTTCGTCAAGGAGGACGATGAATTTACTTTCCACAGGTATATTTTTATCCTCAGAGAACATGTGAAATGGTCTTCAATAATTCCGGATACAAAGACGACTTTCAAATCAAATATTTATATATTTATATATTTTATATTATCATTTAATTTTGTATGGTTGGATGGATGGTTTGTCAAAATAACACATTAAATAATCCTCTTAAGCGTGGACTTTGATTCGGGCAATATTGATTATGATATGTCATCCCATATACTCTTGAATGACAAACCTGTTAAACAAGAGACCCAAGAAAACAATTCATAATAATTCAATTTAGTCTTTAAACACCAATTGGCACACTAATCAAAAACTCTAATTTTCTAGTCCGTATATCTTCGCAACCTGATATTCAAACTCTGAATTCTGCTAGATCCAATAGTGCAAAGTTTCCATCTTCAGGTTGCAGAGATATAGGCATTAAAAAATTGAAAGTTGGAGGCAAGTGTCCCTTTCTTTCCTCAGAGATCGCATGTTTTAAATGTTCAATACAAAACACTCCTAACGTTGACTTCTTGTTTCAGGCATCCTGTTGCTCAATCTACTGATAGTATACGCGGGAAGCAAGGATATTCAGCTGGTATTCATGTCTGGGAGGTTTGCTGGCCAACTAGACAACGTGGAACACATGCTGTTATAGGAGTAGCTACTAGAGAAGCTCCTCTCCATTCTCCTGCTGGATACCAAACCCTAGTTGGAAGTAATAAGAACTCCTGGGGTTGGGATCTTGGAAGAAACCGAGTGTTTCATGATTCTCAACATTCTCCGTATCCGTCCTTCCCTGCTCAATCCTCCTCCCAGGAGAGAACATTTCCCGTCCCTGACACCTTCTATATGATCCTGGATATGGATCGAGGAACTCTAGGATTTCTAGTTGAAGGAAGATTTCTTGGTTCTGCTCACACCGGGCTCAAGGGTAAAATCCTTTATCCAGTAGTTTCTGCAGTCTGGGGGCACTGTGAGGTTACACTTAAATACAGGGTAGGCGGGGAATCTGGGCCCGCCCCTCTATCCCACTGGTGCAGGAGATCAATAAGAAAAAATGTGGGCGTGTCCAAATTAGAAAGGGGCGGAGTAGATAAACTTGGTCTACCCAATCCTATCCGAGAATTCATAATGCATAGATAACATAAATTCTTCAGTTTTTCTAGTTTCTTTCTCCAGGTTCTAGATTAAACCTTGTTTTTCCTTCTTTCATATTGTTTTCTCCTGGAATCTTTAATTTCAACGGACATAGTTCTTGCATTCAAAATCAGGTTCCAACCTTTTCTGTTAGATTTTTTCCAACTTTACTACGTTCTTCTTTTAACAAATCTGTTCTAGTCTGCACACATAGTGCATCAGTCAGCAACCTAAACTACTCAAGTTAAATACTCAATTCTTGTACAACTGAACAACAGACCTATCGTCTAGCAATATTGTTACAAATTTACATAATTACTGACAATTTACATATTTGTATATATTATAGGAATATTGATCTCTCTACATCGTTTAAACACATCCCATGCATTTAATTTAAACAAATGTAAAATGTATAAACTGTCTTTTTACAAGATAACTTCTTGAATAAACTTATCTACTTTTTAATGCAGGGTATGCTGATATTCATTGCTATTTGATTCAGGCAATAATCTTTCTTATTAACTGTTTATTAACAGTTAAACTGCTGTTTGTCAAAAGTTAATCAGTTTTATATTAAGAGCTTATCAGCTGTTTATTGAAAGCGAATCAGCTATTTACTAAAGGTTAATCAGCTGTCAATTAACTTTTAATTAGCTTTAACAGCTAATCAATGGCTGTTAAAGATTTATCAGCTATTTCTTAACAGATTATCAACTGAATATTAGCAATTTATCATCTGTTATTAACAGTAATTAGCTGGTAACAGCTAATCAATGGTTTGTTAAAGTTTTATTAGCTGCTTTTTAAAAGATAATCAGCTGTTTTATATTTACTCGATGTAATCTCTCTATCTATGCACAACTAGGATTGTTTTTGTTTTGTTATTTGTGAAAATCTTCCTTTCCCGTAACATGTTGTTCTACATCTATATTTTAATAAATTTATACATATTTTATTCACGTTTATATAAGTATAGAGATGGAGGGACAAGGTAACGATGCAGCCTACAAGAAGGACCGAGCGCTGTGTCTATAGAGAAGGGGGGGGGGGCGAGTGCTGCGGCTAGGACAGGCAAAAGAAAGTTTTCCACCATATCATGACATTGGCAAAAAAATTGTAACATTTGCATTGAAGTCGAGATTTAAAGTTTTTTATTATCATTTAAAAAAAAACATAAAACTTTAAAACTTTTTATTTTTCCAAATTTGTTGAGCATAATACCAGCATAAAGGTTAAATGTAGAAGATCTAGTTTACTGCTTCCACTAAAATAATAGAAAAGTTAGAAACATTCACCCAAGTTACAACATTATGCTGTTCTTGTAAAATTAAGGGATTGATCCCTAAATACAATTGGGTTTAGTTTACCAAAAGTTGAATTCAATGCAGATATGGTTGCTTGAAACATGCTTACTATAAACTTGGCTCCTAGAAATTGTAAAGTGTAATCATACTTTATTCTTTAAACAATTAAAACAGGGAAGTGAACCCTTGAAGAACATAGAAGTACAATAAAGCTTCTATGTTAAAAAACCAACATTTAGATTGAATTTTGTGAATTTTGTGAAGGAAACTACCCTTCCAGCAATTTTATTTCAAGCAATCATATCTGCAGCTAGAATTCACTTTTTAAAAACATTTTGACTTGGGGATTTTATGCAGCAGAAACAAAGAACATACAGTGAAACCCTTAATAACGAATACATCGGAAGAATTTATGGAATGTCGTCTTGACAATTTTTCAATGAGTTTTATACTATATTTCGTAAATTTCAGTATTTGCGAAAATAAATAAATAGCTATGAATATGCAGGAACAGTTTTAAATTGTTCCATATAATCATTTAAAAACTAAATAACTGCAACATTCCATTATCAGAAAGTGAAGAATACGACATTTGATGAATTCTTTCGAAGTATTCGATATTAAGGGTTTCACTGTAATATACCGAAGTCTACACTTTAAAAGATGAAAAAAGACGATATCTTCTCTATTGTTACTTAGACTGAAAGATACTGTTGTGAATCGGATAAAGAAATCTTTATATGGAGGTCATTTGAAATTATGAAACTTCTTTCATATTCATGTTTAAATTCTGTGTTGTAAAGCTAAAACTGTTTAAAATATACGTAATCATCGCTTTAGCACTGCAGTCAGGCGAGAGCTTGCACATTCTCTTCAGAACTATGCAGAGTAGCTTCTCAATTTCGAATGAAGAAGGTCCAGAGCTACCCTTCATAGAACTGATGAGAATGTACAAGCTCTCATCTAACTGGAGCTACGATGAGATTGTACTAGCTCTCATCTAACTGCATAGTACTGATGAGAATGTACAAGCTCTGATCTAACTGGAGCTACGATGAGAATGTACAAGCTCTGATCTAACTGGAGCTACGATGAGAATGTACAAGCTCTCATCTAACTGTAGGTACGATGAGTACGAATATTTATAACTACGTTGTATTTAACTAACAAAGAAGACAATGTTAAACTGAAATAATTCAGATAAATGTTCAAACTTGAATAGGAATGTTTAGAATTCTTTTATCAATAATTATTACATCACACAAATATCTAAACAGTCCTTTTAAACTCTTAAGAAAGAAAAACGATGATATCTTTCTTATTGTTTCTCAAATAAAGGGTTAAAGATACCGTTTTGTATCAAGCATGTAATACTGTTCATGGAGGGTCACTCGAAATTACGTTGACAGTCCCTTTAATTCTAATTTTTTAAATGTTCAGTATCAAGCATGTAATACTGTTCATGGAGGATCACTCGAAATTACGTTGACAGTCCCTTTAATTCTAATTTTTTAAATTACGTTGACAGTCCCTTTAATTCTAAATTAAATGTTCAGTATCCTTGATTTGTTTTTCTTCATTTTAAATAAAATTGAGGAATCTGAGTTGACAGTCCCTTTAATTCTAATTTTTTAAATGTTCAGTATCCTTGATTTGTTTTTCTTCATTTTAAATAAAATTGAGGAATCTGAGTTGCTTAATGAATTGATACACAGTTAATTGATTAAAAGAAAAGTTTCAGTCATTGATTGAGATTCAGTTTTCTTTTTATTCTTATCTAATATTCTGGATTAGCACATATCTATCCATTCTTATCTAATATTCTGGATTAGCACATATCTATCCATTCTTATCTAATATTCTGTATTAGCACATATCTATCCATTCTTATCTAATATTCTGTATTGGCACATATCTATCCATTCTTATCTAATATACTAGATTAGCACATATCTATCTATTCTTATCTAATATTCTGTATTGGCATATATCTATCCATTCTTATCTAATATACTAAATTAGCAGATATCTATCTATTCTTATCTAATATTCTGTATTGGCGCATATCTATCTATTCTTATCTAATATACTAGATTAGCAAATACCTATCCATTCTTATCTAATATACTGGATTGGCACATATCAATCTTTTCATATCTGATATTCTGGATAAACATAAATCTAATCTTATCTAATATTCTGGATTGGCACATATCTATCCATTCTTATCTAATATTCTGGATTAGCACATATATATCTATCCATTCTTATCTAATATTCTAGATTAGCACATATCTATCCATTCTTATCTAATATTCTGGATTAGCACATATCTATCCATTCTTATCTAATATTCTGGATTAGCACATATCTATCAAACAGAAAGAATAAACAAATATTAAACAAAGAAAGCTAGATAATGAATAAGAGATAAATAATAAAACAATAATATTAAAAGTACGGTCGTTCTATTTTCAAGAGACCCTGCAATATAAATTCACAACGGTACCCTTTAAATCTTCATCTGATCAATAATGTGAAGGAAAATGTAGTTTTTCTAGGTTTAAAAGTGTTTAATTTTAACTTTTTTAATTTTCTAATTCCGCTCATAATAGAGAACCTACAATTGAAAATTATCAATTTCTAACGAGAAAACAAAGACAAAGGTCATTCATCCTTGATGAGACATAGCTTTCAAGGGTACCATTGTAAATTGGAGATGCCACTTCACGCTCTTCTAATCTGTTGGTGTGTACTGCAATAATTTACAGTACACTGACCGAAGAAACAGTAGAGTTTAGTGGATCGAGTCACTTGAAATTACGTTTACAGTCCCTTTAATAAATCACCTGACAGTAAACACGTGTAAAACTCGTCTATCCCCAATATTTTGAATTTCTCTGTAATTTTCAACTAAAACATATTTATGTCGGATAAACATAATCCTCACATTTTATTCCAGTAGAGTTGATAAACATTGTTAACAACATTTTTTCATTCTGCAATACGTTGAATTCTTAGATATGGATAATTTCATCTTTATATTTAAAAACTACTCTCAATCTCTTTATTAAAAATAAAATGATTTACTTATCTGTATATTGTGATAGACCATAGTATTCGAAGTATTTTCAATAAGTTTTGCGATTTTTTTAAGGAACTTCTCGACGTTCCAGTCTTGTAATTTTTTTTCAAAGCTAACTAAATCCATCCCGGTTGTCTTCTGCCAACGGACTTTATTTATCAAACTTTTTATTTCTATGTAATCCGCCTTTTCCTTTGTTTAGCTCCATTCAGAGCACGGGAATGTTTTTAATACCAACCCACTTGGGATGCCCGATACATAAAAATGCAGGCCTAATACTTTCCAAAATAAAGCAGACACCTTTGACATGATCCAAAATGCATTAGGGGATAATAGTAATGACAAGGCAATATCTACAAGTATACTAAAGGGAAAAATGTAAGAAGGGACAATGTTTGCAGAACGAGGAAAAATCCATAAAAACCCCACAAACAGTCGACATAATTGAAAGTTTTCAAACAAAATTTGCAAGGCTTCTTAGTTGATGATTTGGGATGAGTTTGACATCTGCTATGGTGCTAAATGCAAAGTTGTAAAGCAAGATTTGAAAAATGGCAAAGATTTGGACAACAGAGGTCCTAGAAAAAGATACTAATTTGTTGGTGGATACCTTTTTGAACTATTGTTCGATTGAAATATTGTTCATTTGAACTACAGACATGACGTCATATCCTGCAGTTCAAATCAACACATTATTTGTTCATTTGATCTATTTTTCTATAAATTCAGTTTTGTTATAATTCATGAAGTTAGGTCATACTGTGAACCAAACCATATGTACAAAATCTCACATACGTTCATGGCTCCCAGTTGGAGAAATGATGCACATAACAAATGCAATCTAAGAATAAAGCCAAACAATCTAGATCCATTCCAAAAGGGTATTGAACTCAGATCATAGCACGAAGCATCTGTCAGAAGAGTTGAATGGAAATATATTTTTTTAATAGTCATTTTAATGTTGATGAGATTGGAGAAGGAGAACTAACAGGGGCGGATACAGGATTTAAGTGAGGGGGGGGGCAAGATTTTTTAGGAACAAAAAATTAAAAGTTAGGAACAAAAAATCGTGCTTGACTTAAAAGACTCAAAAAGAGTCAAAATTAATGACTAAAGACTAAAAAACTAGATTTTTAACTTTAAGGAACAAAATTAACGGATTAGAACAGGAATTTAAAAACAATTAAAAGATTGTTCAGGAATTAGGAACAAAAATAAATGATTAGGACAGGAATTTAGGAACAATTAAAAGATTGTTCAGGAATTAGGAACAAAATTAAAGGATTCGGACAGGGATTTAGGAACAATAAAAAGATTGTTCAGGAATTAGGAACAAAAATAATGGATTAGGACAGGGATTTAGGAACAATAAAAAGATTGTTCAGGAATAAGGAACAAAAATATTGGATTAGGACAGGGATTTAAGTTGGGTCGGACACAGTATTAGGAACAGGAACAATAATAGGGACATTAGCAATTTAAAAACAAAAAGAAATTACTAGTTATACTTTAATGCATCAAAATTAGGACCAATATTACAATTTTGATAAATGAGTATTGATTAAGGAACATTACTAGATATGAACAATATTATAACTTAAGTCTAGTTTCTTACAAAGGAATTGAGTTTATGCCGCAAACTCAAATTTTCTTATCCCTATATCTGTGCAACCGAATGGTTTAAACCTTATTTCAAACTTAGAATACTTAATCTAACAGAATTCATAGTTTGAAATATCTAAGGTTTACGGGATTGGATTGTAGAGATAAAAGGATTAGAAAATCAGAGTTTGTGGCAAAAACTCAATTCCTTTCTAATTCTAAATTTATCATTAACAATAACATTTACTTGTTGTCGTTGATTTTTAAATTAAACTGAAGAAAAGAAAGTCAAGATTTCCATAGAATAAAAAAAGCTTGAAATTGAAAAACACATTCGATTTATAAAATTGGGAACATTTTTTGCCTTGAAATCTCAGGGAGGGGCTACGCCCCTCCTGAATCTGTCAGGGGGTGGCGAATGTCCCCCCGCCACCCCCTGTATCCGCCCCTGAGAACTAACACAGATACTACAGGATGAGGACGAGACGATAACATAGGATCAAGTGACCACTGCAGCCTCACAAGAAATAGAACAGAGAATCAACCTGAGACGCAAAAAGAATCAGGACCAGAATTAAGGATTGCAGAAGAGACAACATTGTCAACAACAACAGGTCATCAGGGTCATGAAGTAGAAGATCGGGAAGAATAACCAAGACAGTAGAAAAGTTTGATCTCTCCCCAGGACTGAGGACACCAAGGACCAAGACATGTCCAGGAGTGCCCATGAAAAATTAATTAAATCATGAAAGCTATGAGATCCGCTTTCAGCAAAGCATGGGAAAAAACTTCTCAGCCAATGAGCCTTCCGTCAACAAGGGGAAGGAGAACATCAAAGGAGAGGAGAGCGTCAACCAGAACCAGAGCAGCATCTCTGGAAAAGATAGAACGGACAGGGAGTATCAAAACTAATAAGTCATTAATTGACAACAAGTCAGGATACACAGTAGAAAGTAGGTCAATAAGTAGGTCAGGAAGTAGGTTAGTAAGTAGACCAGGAAGCAGGGCAGGTAGTAGAGACAGATGGGAGAGTAGTAGATGGACTGGCAACGAAGACGACACTGAAAAAGGAAAAGAAGGGGGGATCTATGCCATGAGGGAGAAAAAAGTTGTAATCGCAAAAGTAAGAAATTCGATAACACTCCCTGCAAGGCAAGGAAAGTGGATACCAATTAGTGTGTTCAATTAAAATAAAAGAGTAACAATGATTTATCTTTATTTCCAGTATTATTAAATACAATCATAGAACACAAACTAGTAGTATCCAAATTCTCACCCCAGGCAGGAGTATCACGTTCTCCATCTATGCAAATGTTCAAAAATGACGATATCTTTGTGCAGGTCAGAAAGGGCAAGACGTTGGCCAGGCTAGTGAACCTGGTGGAGGACAGAGACCTCTTCACCCCTCATCATGTTCATGGAATAATTAGGGACAGAACGATCCCGGTCTGTAATCCTCTAGGATCACGCCATGAGCTGGAGATTCAAGAAACGAGGAAAAATGTATTTTCTCCAAAGGGGAAATAGTTTTCACAGTTAAACTCCCAACGGGTAAAACAAGATTTAAACAAGGATAGAAATTGATCTTTAAGGATCGGAGATAAATCATGACCTGGAGATTCAAGAAACAATGAAAAATGTATTTTTTCTTCAAAGAGGAAATAGTTCTCCAAGGTCAAGAGTTTAAACAAGGGTAGAAAATGATCCTTAACTATTCGAGATACATCAAGACCTGGAGATTCAAAAAAAGAGGAAAAATGTATTTTCTCCAAAGGGGAAATAGTTTTCAAAGTTAAACTCCCCACGGGGAAAACAAGATTTAAACAAGGATGGAAAATGATCCTCAAGGATCAGGGATATTTCATGACCTGGAGATTCAAGAAACAATGAAATGTATTTTCTCCAAAGGGGAACTAGTTCCCAAAGTTAAAATCCCCACGGGGAAAACAAGAGTTTAAGCAAGGATAGAAAATTATCCTCAAGGATCAGAGATTAAATCATGTCCTGGAGATTCAAGAAAAAATGAAAAATGTATTTTTCTCCAAAGGGGAAATAGTTTTCAAAGTTAAACTCCCTATTGGGAAAACCAGAGTCCAAAACCAGGATAGAAAATGATCCTCAAGGATCTGAGATAAATCATGTCCTGGAGATTTAAGAAACAATGAAAAATGTATTTTCTCTTCAAGGGGATAAAGTTCCAAAAGGAAATAAAATTAAATTAAATATAGTTTAAACACAAAGAAATATTTCAAATGAACATAAAATAATTCAAAAGAAAAGTTCAACTGAACCAAAAAATAGTTCAAATGAACAAAAAATAGTTCAAATGAACAAAAAATAGTTCAAATGTACCTTTAAAAAAACTTCTCAAAACCTTTTCAACATACCTCATATGAAATATAAATATTCTCTACATTTAGTATGTATCTTGTATACTTAAATTGTAATAATAATGTATTCTCTACATTTAGTATGTATCTTGTATACTGTAAATTATAATAATATATGTATTCTCTACATTTAGTATGTATCTTGTATACTGTAAATTGTAATAATATATGTATTCTCTACATTTAGTATGTATCTTGTATACTGTAAATTGTAATAATATATGTATTCTCTACATTTAGTACATATCTTGTATACTGTAAATTGTAATAATATATGTATTAAAACAAGCAGTTCCCTGGTAATTAAATATCAAGATATTACCAAACAACAGTTCTCCATTATTCAAATCTATATAAATATATACTGTGCTTGTCTGTCTGTCTGAATCAATTGGGCCCAAATTTTGTGTGGGACCTTACCTGTTCCCAGAATTAAATGCTCAGAATTTAAAAAAGTTGTCTCCTAAAATTTTGAAAATCCACGAAGGTATTTTTAAATCTGCGAACTTTTTTGTTTTTATTTTATATTGTAAAAAGAGAAGATGCTGAAAGACAGAGCCGCAATGAAAAGTTAAATATTACCCAAGGATTCTCCGTTTTTCATCTTTAGAAGACGAAAAAGCTCGAGCTGTTCTAAGGAGATATCAACCGTATCTTGAATAACACTCCACTATAAGAAAATGAACTTTGTTAGGTTCATAGATTTTTTGTAAATCTTGATTTTTAAGAAAATAAATAAACTTCTTTATTATTTGCAATTCAGATAAAAATAAAAATATTTCTGTTCAAATATTGCTCGCCATAACTTATTGATATGATTTATCTATGAATTGGTACCCACCCTACATAACCGCACTGTACCGTATAATTGCTTTGTAGTTTTTAAGTGTACATGTCTATGGCTAAAAAATAAATTGTACAGTACGGTACGGGATTATTGGGCACGTTCGTTATGAACGGCTTGAGACTTTTTGTAAAAAAAAAGTTGGGATGATATTGAAACAGATTAAGCCAAAATGTGAATGGTCGATTTGTTAAAAATTTACTAAATTCTCAATTTAAAAAAAACATCAAAAACATTATCCAACCTTCTTACTCTTGGTTTACCGTAACTATCTGATGGCAGGGTGGAGAAGTGAGACTACCGTTATATCGGTAGAATCCAGATACATCGTCAGGAAGAATCAGATCCAAGGGAAATGACAAGATCTGAGTAAATTGGACATCATATATTTAATGACATGTTTGTGTACTTGTCTTGATGCAAAGATACGGGTAATATAAATTCAGAGTCTGTGGCAAATAATCAATTCCTTTGTTGGAGAAAATCTGAGAACCAATAAAACTTTATAGGACCGTGTTATAATAAACAATGAATTTAATATTATAGCACAATGATTACTTTATGTCTATAATGAAATTCACCATGAAGTGACTATGGGTGATAAACACACAGTATTTTGATAAAAGGCTTGAACCTTCTCTTGATGAATAAAATTCTGTTAAAAAACTTGATGACAGTGCGAACCAAACTAACAGTGTTTAACTATGGTTATGTTGTTAAAATACCTCTTGTTTATGTTGGTACTCCTGTATATGAAGAAGAGCATCAAGTAACCTATCAAGGGCAGGATTTCCATTCAGTTGCATCTAATTCATGCATTTTTTTCATTAAAAGAAAAATATTAACACGTTTATATTTATAGCATCCAGGGACAAAATTCAATTTATTTTTTGGATGCAAAGGAATTGAGATTTTGACACAAACTCTTTCTTTCTGATCTCTATATCTTTGCAACCTGATGTCATAGACCTTGGATATTTTAAAACAATTCTGTTAAATCAAAGAGCCCAAGTTTATGGCAAAGACTCAATTCCTTTGTAAACAATTAACAAAATGTTCCGGGAAATTCTGTTTTCTTGTCACGGATCTGAATTAGTATGAAATTGCAATTATGCGCCACAAACTCTAATTTTCTAATCCTGATATCTTTGCAGCTTGATTGTGTAAACCTTTAATATTTAAAACTTTGACTATTTGATTCAGCATAACTCATAGTTTGAAATATTACAAAATGAGGGTGAAAATATTCAAGGAAAGAAAATTAGAATTTGATGGGAGAAATAAATATATAGTTTTTATATTTTATGCTGCTCCCTTGGTGTTATAATTATTTTATTTTAAGCATTTTCATCCATTATTACGTTACGAATTCCACCCCATATACGGTTCCAACCACATACGCCCATAGTCAATTTAATACTTTTTGAAGAAGTAAGGTATGGTTTTCTGGTCGTTTACTTGCCTGTACAAGTTTTTTTTTGTTTTGACATTAATAATGTTACAAATTCCGTGTTTTAAATTTACAAAATTTGTTTTTTTCTAGTTTTTTCCAGCTTTTTGTTTTACGTTATTTATTTTCTAGATTCATTGTCTTAAATTTTTTTAGTTTTTTTGTTTATATCTGTGATATTATAGGACGAACTCCTGATCATGCCAAAGTTTGTGGGGAACAATATTGAGAAAATGATGTACATTAATGTATGGGTTGGAGTTTGATTACAAACAATCTTAAGTTTAGGACATAAATTGTCACAATGAATGTTCTGGATTTAAAAAAAATGTTTAAAAAAACTTTTACGATTTTGCATTTTGAAGTGGAAAATATATTTTCTGGAGGATTTGTCTTGATCAGAAATATTATGTCCTGAGAACTTAAATTTAAAATAATATTTATGTTGTTTCATATTTAGAGTTGAACAGGTTGTAAATTACCTTGAACTGTACAGCTAGGACTGCTAAACTATCCTCTACAGGATCCTTCAACCTTTCAGAACTTTCTTTAACATGAAGCAAATGCATCTCAAGGGGGAACCTAGCATAGCTTCTAGTGTGCTCAGATCCTGGAATTATTTAATAGAACTTATAGATTCCCAATTTAACACATTGTTAACCGTGTTTATAGATTCCCAATTAAAGGTTCTGTTAACCGTGTTTATAGATTCCCAATTAAAGGTATTGTCAACCGTGTTTATAGATTCCCAATTAAAGGTATTGTTAACCGTGTTTATAGATTCCCAATTAAAGGTATTGTTAACCGTGTTTATAGATTCCCAATTACAATATTATAAGTCATCATTGTATGTACATAGTAATGGCGCGGCAAGACTTTTTACAGTACCTGTCCTATCATAGACCTATTTTACGAAAGTAATGTTCTTTGTTTCAGAAAATGGGATATAAATTTATTTATGAAATAGTGAAGAATCCCTTTAAATAGCCTGAAGTATGAGTTCCCAAAAAATATCTGCATAAAACCTGTCGCGTCTGTTGCTCCCCAATGAAAATAAAGTTGGGAGAGTTTATACTTAGCTCCCAACCCTCCTCCAGATATCCTTGGAGCAGCGGACTCCCTGAAAAAAGCTCCTCAGGAGTGTACACAGGAATTTTTACTGGGGGGCTTAAATTTGTATATTTCCCAGGCTTAAACCAAAAACAGCCCCCCAGTTTAAGCCTCTGATGCTCTTGAATGCTTTTAAAAATCAAATAGTTTGATACTTGGTGCAGTTAGAAGAAACATATAATTATTAACCCAAGAATCAGTTCACGTAGAAGTTGTTTTAATTCATTGGTTTGAAAATTTTAAAACATTATTTCAGGGCTAACTGACAAGATTACTTGAATGGTTTGAATGTGAGTGTTGCTGTGTAACCAGTGTTGAGAATTTCCATATATTCAGGAGCAATATCATAGTTCTCCAATACTAGAGGAGACATCACAACCTTCTCTAACCCTAGCAGTACATACATAATATAGGAGAAGGATTTTCAGGGTGGATACGAGCAGAAAGGAGTAGATGAAGAGACAAGGAGAAAACGTATGTGGAAGAGGTGAGAAGAAAGAAGGGTAGAGGAGAAAACGTGGAAGTTAGAAAATGGATGTATATAGACATAAGGAGGAGGAGAAGCATAAAGAAGGGGATGAAAAGTGGAAAGAGCAGGAAAAAGAATTTGTAAATAGGAAAGAGATGAGGAGATAGAGTGGGAAAGAGACGATGAGAAAATGAAAGAAAGAAAGAAGAGGATAGAAAGCGGGAGAAAGAAGATAAGACAGATAAGAAGATGCGAAGTGGGAAGTGAGAAGAGGGATAAGAAGTATGAAGAGAAGAATATACCTGATCTATGAAGAAGTATGAAGAGAAGAATCTACCTGATCTATGAAGAAGTATGAAGAGAAGAATATACCTGATCTAGGAAGAAGTATGAAGAGAAGAATCTACCTGATCTAGGAAGAAGTATGAAGAGAAGAATATGCCTGATCTAGGAAGAAGTATGAAGAGAAGAATCTACCTGATCTAGGAAGAAGTTTGAAGAGAAGAATATACCTGATCTAGGAAAAAGCATGAAGAGAAGAATCTACCTGATCTAGGAAGAAGTGTAAAGAGAAAAATCTCCCTGATCTGGGAAGAAGTATGAAGAGAAGAATACGCCTGATCTAGGAAGAAGTATGAAGAGAAGAATATACCCGATCTTATGAATAAGTATGAAGAGAAGAATATACCTGATCTAGGAAGAAGTATGAAGAGAAAAATCTACCCGATCTAGGAAGAAGTATCGGGAGAAAAATCTACCTGATCTAGGAAGATGTGTAAAGAGAAAAATCTACCTGATTTTGGAAGAAGTGTAAAGAGAAAAATCTACCTGATCTAGGAAGATTGATTGGACTTTGTTTATCTCCAGTTCTACAGAGTTCTGGCCATGTGCTTGGACCATCCGGAGCCTAACAGTGACCTTCCATTATCAACTCCAACAGGGGATATTTTGGGTTCTGCATATTTATAGCATAAGGATAAATCAGATGTGAGGAATCTATACAATAAAGCACTTCGCTTATATATGAGGATGTAAATCTCTTTTTTGATTGAATAATAAATTAATTTTATTTATTTATACATATGTTAGCTAAAGCTGACCAAACGGCTGGACCAAATTAACTTATTTTTTTAGGAAACCCATATGTACCCTGTGGATGAATTAGGCTAAAAATTAGAAGTTATTTTTTATTCACTTTTTTCAAAATGTTTTGAAGACCCACGGACGGACAATGCTGAGCTGTTTTGAACCTGCTAATTGTAAGATTATGATATCTTACTAAGCTGTTTTGAACCTGCTAATTGTAAGATTATGATATCTTGCTAAGCTGTTTTAAACCTGCTAATTATAAGATTCCTCAAAATTAAATAAGCACTGCGGATAGGACTGACTTGAAAAATATTCTATGGGTTTACATTGTATTATACTGAACCTGTTTATTGTAAGACCATGAGCTCTCTAAACCATCCACAATTAAACCTAGGTTTAAACCCAGAAATATCCGAACTAAAAAGCCTGCCATTTTCTCTTTGTTTTAAAAATTCAAAATTTTTTCCGATACAAATACTACTACTTTAACTATAAATGTGCTTGGTAGAGAACTATTGTTAAACTCTGCTCTATACACTAATGGTAGAGAACTATTGTTAATCTCTGCTCTCTACTATACTGGTAGAGAACTATTGTTAATCTCTGCTCTCTACTCTACTGGTAGAGAACTATTGTTAATCTCTGCTCTCTGCTATACTGGTAGAGAACTATTGTTAATCTCTGCTCTCTACTCTACTGGTAGAGAACTATTGTTAAACTCTGCTCTCTATTCTACTGGTAGAGATTTATTGTTAAACTCTGCTCTATACTCTTCTGGGAGAGAACTATTGTTAAACTCTGCTCTATACTCTACTGGTAGAGAACTATTGTTAAACTCCGCTCTCTACTCTACTGGTAGAGAACTATTATTAAACTCTGCTCTGTACTCTGCTGGTAGAGAACTATTGTTAAAATCTGCTCTCTACTCTACTGGTAGAGAGCTATTGTTAATCTCTTCTCTATACTCTACTGGTAGAGAACTATTGTTAATCTCTGCTCTCTACTCTACTGGTAGAGAACTATTGTTAATCTCTGCTCTCTACTCTACTGGTAGAGAACTATTGTTAAACTGTGCTCTCTGCTCTACTGGTAGAGAACTATTGTTAAACTCTGTTATCTACTCTACTGGTAGAGAACTATTTTAATCTCTTCTCTATACTCTACTGGTAGAGAACTATTATTAAACTCTGCTCTGTACTCTACTGGTAGAGAACTATTGTTAATCTCTGCTCTCTACTCTACTGGTAGAGAACTATTGTTAAACTCTGCTCTCTACTCTACTGTAGAGAACTATTGTTAAACTGTGCTCTCTACTCTACTGGTAGAGAACTATTGTTAAACTCTGTTATCTACTCTACTGGTAGAGAACTATTGTTAATCTCTTCTCTATACTCTACTGGTAGAGAATTATTATTAAACTCTGCTCTGTACTCTACTGGTAGAGAACTATTGTTAATCTCTGCTCTCTACTCTACTGGTAGAGAACTATTGTTAAACTCTGCTCTGCACTCTACTGAAAGAAAACTATTGTTAAACTGTGCTCTCTACTCTACTGGTAGAGAACTATTGTTAAACTCTGTTATCTACTCTACTGTTAGAGAACTATTGAATAACTCATCTATCTACTCTACTGGTAGAGAACTAGAAACCCTGGCATTGATGGAAAAATATCGTGTATGTTTTTTAGATATTTTAGATCAATTCAAGATTATTCTTTTTTAATCAAGGTTTCTTTTCAAAGTATTCACTATTCATCCTCCACTTTATACCATTTTCATTTCAGGGACTTCAAATATTAAAAAAAATGAATTATTAAAACAAATCTAGTAAGATATATAAATTTTCTTTCGATGGACAAAAATTCTTTAAGGGTTTTATCTTATCAAATCATTTCATACATTTTTTTGAAACTTTTATTAAAATATTCATTCATTAATATATATTATATATTCATGGGTTAATAATGGCTACACTAATTTAAAATGTTCTTTGAATTATTTATTTTTTCATATTCATTTCATATTTCTATTTCTAAAACATAAAAAATTTGATTATCCCACCTTAAATAAACTGAGTTGAACTGGACAAAATATATTTGAAAAATTAAAGAAAAAAGTTACTGAAATATAATAAAACCCATTATGGGTCAATATAATACAATTAAATAAAAATCACAGTTTTACAAAACAACTATATCTTTAAATAAATATTTAAGAATAATATCTTGGGATTACAAAAAGATTACAGATTTATTAACCCCTTATTCCCACAGGAATTAATGGGGATAATAATAATAAGTATAATTACAAATATTTAGCCTATTTAAAAAATGTTTAATCGAAAACGTAAATATCGAAAAAATTTTGAAATCTAGAATTAAATAAATAGTTGCAATAAAAACCCAAATAGGAAACATGGGAATCAAGAGACGATATTTCAATATCTTCAAAAAATGTATATAAAATTCGGATGAGGAAAAACTAGATTTAGCTCTGTAACCTTTTTTCCGATGGATCTAATTTAAAAACTCCTTTTGAAGCTGGATTCAGCTTTGATCTTTGTCTTCAGTTGGATTTAACTTTTAAACTCAGTTTTCAGCTGAATCTAGCTTTTGAACTCCGCCTTCAGTTTTATATAGTCTTACAACTGGATCTCAGATAATAACTCTATTATCAGCCAAATTTAAGTTTGGAATTACCACTTCTATTGAATTTGGATCCAAAAGATCTGTATATCAAGTCTTCAGTCTTCAGTTGTATCTGGGTCCAGATTATCCTCCAAATGTATCTGGGTCCAGAATATCCTTAAGTTTTATCTGGGTCCAGAATATCCTTTAGTTGTATCTGGGTCCAGAATATCCTTTAGTTGTATCTGGGTCCAGAATATTCTTCAGTTGTATCTGGGTCCAGAATATCCTTCAGTTGTATCTGGGTCCAGAATATCCTTTAGCAGTATCTGGGTCCAGAATATCCTTCAGTTGTATCTGGGTCCAGAATACTCTTCTTGTGTATCTAGATGCAGAATATCTGTATCTAGTCGAACCCACGAATCCTGCGGAGCATTCTCTCTAGATCATCAATATCAACTTCAGTTTCTATTTGCTTCTTGATCACATCATACTTGAGCTCATAAGCAATATATACATCACCGTTCCTGTAAACAATAACTTATCACATAAAAGATAAAAAGATAACAAATGATAATTAACTATTTATAACACTGTTATTTTGGTTCGCAGTGTTAGAAAGTTTTAGGACAGAAATTGTCTCTTTATTGAGAAGGCTCAAGCCTTTTTAGATTTAATTTTGTCCCGAGCTTTAGCTAGAGACAAAATATAATAAAAAATGCGAGAAACTTCGAGATATAAAGAAAATTTAAGTCCAAGAACTGTATAGCACGTCGTGCCAAAATAATAGTGTTATAGATAATTTTATGAAACGTTTGTGTACTTGTCTTATTTCAATGGCCATTTCTACATCAAAGAAAAATTGAAACAAAGCAGAAGTAAAAAAATAAAGTTTATTTATTCTATTTTCATTTCAATTGAAAAAAAATATTTTTGAAATATCCCAAGTTTCTTTGAGAAAAACCGGATACCAATCAAAACTTTACAGCACACGAGCTATAATGTACAGCTAATTTAACTTTATAGCACGTTAATTATGAAATTCACGATGAAGTGAGGAAGAATGATAAAGTAATCAATAGTTTTATAAAAACTTTCATTAACAATACTGTTTCTCATCCCAAAGTTTACCCTCATATAGAAAGCTAGTCAAAATAAATTTGTGCCAAACACAATCAGACTTTTATGACGAGCTAAATATCGTTAAATTTCACAATTGGTCATTTACTTAAAAAAAAAACCTTCAAATGTAAACAAAAGTTTTTTCAAACTTTGAACAATTGTCTCTGAAGCGTCATCCTCAGTGTTTAACCCTGTTTTATATTTAGATCAGATTGACCAAGTATATTGATATATGTGTTTCCGCACGAATAATTGTACCTAGTAAAAACTGAATCCAGTATACCCTCCTTCTTGAGCAGGCGGGCTCTATGGGCAAGTTTAGACCGATATGCTAAAATATAAAATATAGAACATTTATCAAAAGATTAAACAAAAAGTGACAGTTCATCAAAAAGAAAAAAAAGCGGATTTGAAGTACAATGATTTTAAAACTTGCGCTTAATCTAAATCAGGAATTTAAAAACACGAGTTTATTTCTTTCATCTTCACCTAACTGATACCAAACTCTAATTTTATAATCTCTGTATCTCTGCGACCTGCTAGTGTAAATTTTTAAAATTTCAAACGTTGAATTTATGATCTCACAGAATTCAAAATTTGAAATATTCATGTTGCAAAGTTTAGGGATTAGAAAATTTGATTTTTTTGGCGAGTTTTCAGCAAATAAATACAACTTTTTTACGGTTTTGATGTGAAAGGTAAGAGCTAATCCAACATTATGTTAAGGGTACTTTAAACCATTAAAGTTTATTTAGATATATCAGATTACATTGTAAAACCTAACGTGCACAAATTGCCTTGTTGATGTCAGAATTAAAAACTGCTGATTTCTGTAACTACAGTGTTCTGGTATAAGGCTATTGTGTAGTTTATTTAGTATAACCTGTAAGCCACTCTTCCATAACGAGTTGATTCTTTTTTGCAATCGTCTTTGCATTCCAAACCCGCATTCGAGAATCAACATCATGAAACCTATACAAGGATCAGTATTTCTAACCTGGACAAGGATCAGTATTTCTAACCTGGACAAGGATCAGTATTTCTAAACCTGGACAAGGAGAAGTATTTCTAAACCTGGACAAGGAATAGTATTTCTAAACCTGGACAAGGATTAATATTTCTAAACTTTTAAAGCTGGACAAGGATTCGTATTTCTAAACCTGGATAAGGATTATAATTTTTAAACCTGGACAAGGAGAAGTATTTCTAAACCTGGACAAGGATTAGTATTTCTAAACCTGGACAAGGATTAGTATTTATAAACCTGGACAAGGATCAGTATTTCTAAACCTGGACACGAATTAGTATTTCTAAACCTGGACAAGGAGAAGTATTTCTAAACCTGGACAAGGATTAGTATTTTTAAAGCTGGACAAGGATTATTACTTTTAAAGCTGGACAAGGATTCGTATTTCTAAACCTGGATAAGGATTATAATTTTTAAACCTGGACAAGGATTAGGATCTCTAAACCTGGACAAGTATTAGTATTTCTAAACCTGGACAAGTATTAGTATTTCTAAACCTGGACAAGGATTAGTATTTCTAAACCTGGACAAGAATTAGTATTTATAAACCTGGACAAGGATTAGTATTTCTAAACCTGGACAAGGATTCGTATGTATAAATCTATACAAAGATCAGTATTTCTAAACCTGGACAAGAATTAATATTTCAAACCTGAACAGTGGACATTGGACAGGAAAATCGTCATTGAACCTGACAAATATATTCTTATGTTTATGTCATAAAGATATATTCTACCTGACAAATATATTCTTATGTTTATGTATTAAAGATATATTCTACCTGACAAATATATTCTTATGACCATCCTCTGTGGTTCTAAAGTTGGCGAACTCAATGTCTTTAGCTTCTAATTCAACTTCAGACTTTTCATAAAGAAGTTTTAATAATAAATCCTTTATATCCTCTTTACCAACTTCACACTGAAAAAGATTATTTATATACGTTGGAAAAATAATATTTGTATATGTTGGAAAAAGAATGTTTATTTATGTTGGAAAAATAATATTTATATATATTGGAAAAATAACGTTAATATATGTTGGAAAATAGTATAGTAGGAAAATAAAAGAGAAAGGATTAATAAAGAAACAGAATGCAGAAAATAAGATAAGATAAAGAGGAGAGGCCACGAGAGGGGTGGAGGAAAAAAAGAATTTGAAGAGAAATAATGCAAAGAAATAAGGAGAGAAAATCATGAGAGTGTCAGAGAGGATAAATGAGGAGAAAGGAGAATAATAGATAAATTAGGAATATGGAAGAGAACATCTTGAGAGAGGCTAGGAAGGAAAAATAAGGAAAAAGAATAAAAAGGGAAAAGAAATAGGTTTACACCACTACATAGCGAAGATATAGGGTTCAGAAAATTGAGTTTGTGGCAAAAACTAAATTATTTTCAAACCTGTTTGATAGCGGGACCAAGAAGTATCAAACAATTCAGTTTTCTCTTTTGTTCTATATCATCTTGTTTCTTCAAAACTAAACTTCTAAACAAAAATAAATAAAAATTAGTTTTCTAAAAAGAGACCTGTCCGAATGTTTGATAATAATTTATTTTCTATGCTTAGCATAAACTGAAATATATACTGATTTAGTATTGATTATGTTTCCCTGTATTAAAGTCTAAAAATATAAATGTTTTTACGACACAATAAACTTCTAATATAAAAGAAAAATTTGTTTTCCAGCAGTTACTGAAAAGTTTACTCAACAACTGTTAAACAATCAAAATATCCTAGTTAAAAAATATCTGCAGTTGTTTCGCTACTTAGCGATTTCCCTAAAGACCTAATATATGTACCGTGTGGTATTTCTCAGGATTGGATCGTAAGTCATGCACGATTCACAGCGAGGCCCATAAACTTTTATCAAACAATTAGGAAAATATCTGGAAAAGTTTAACATTCTGACGAGTTCCTTCTTTGTTTCTGCTGCATAAATTTGCAAGTTACTTTAAAAGAAAACCTAAAACAATAAAATAATAAATATTCAACGGGAAAAACAATGATATCTTCATGTTTTTTTATCCGACAAAGTTTGTTGATCTGGCATGTTTAATCAAACAGAAATGACGTCATCAACCGACGATAAGTTACTGGTCCCTCAAAATGTCTCCATATGAAGTTTGATTCCTGGAACAGGATACATTTTAAAAGAAAGAACCCCCTCGGTTTAATTGATAAACTGAACCCAACTCTGCTGCACAGCAGATCAATAATTCAAATGTTCTTTGTTGTGCTAAACTCGGAACCAAGTTGAGTTTAGTTTCTATATATATATATATATAAATATAAATCTAGGGGAATAGTTTAATCTAATTCACGGAACCTCGTTCTAGTCGATATATATATATATATCTCTTAATTTATTTCCAAATCTGAACTTTGAAAATTGTTTAGTTGGAAACTAGGTGAGTTACCCCTGTCAGTAGTTTTGGTCACCCAATTACCTTATTTAAATAGTGGCAATAAAAGATTAACCCAATAAACCTTTTTATACAAATGATGACGTAAATATCGAAGGTTGAGTTGCATGTAAGAAAAGGCTCAATCCAATACTAGATAAAGTTAAAATTGCAAATGTATATAAACAACTTTTCAAAGAATCGTGATGAAATGATTGTCAAGGTTGTGTAAATAATACAAGAAGGCGTTAACAATAATTAACTTCTGAAAAGATAATATTTCAGCTATGAGCGCAGGTTGTAGAAAAAATAACAAAGCTGTTTTCTACCTTTGTTTGTAAGCCTCCATGAACTCCTGTTTAGTGAGAGACCCGGAGTCATTCCTGTCCAGTGCACTGAACAGAGACGCAGCACGATCCAGGGGGGATTGAAGGGGATCAGGGTTCCCGTTAGCATCATACGTTACATCTCCTGGGAGAGTACATATAATCATGGAATATCAGAATTAATGTGAATTTTTGGGGTTTCTGTGACATATTAGGACAGAAAAATAAACTAAAAAAGACTAACTGGTGTTTGTTCACAATAAAACCAGTTTCTGGGCAGCTCTAAAACGTCAAGGTTGAATATAAACATTAAATGTTTAGTCTCTATCTCTATTCATAAATGTGTTTATTTTATTATTTAAAAACATCTGAAATTTTTTTATCCATTCTCGTGCGCATTTTAAGAAGAATATTGTGACAAAATTGAAATTCCTCACTGTGACCCCCTGGCCCCTTTAAATTCCTCAGTATGCCCCCCTGACCCTTTTAAATTCCTCTGTAGCCCCACTAACNCCCCACTTATATATTCTCTATTAAATTCTGCCCTACCAGCTTTAAATTGAATTTAGATTAGTAAATTCAGACATTTAATCATAGCTTACAATCAAACCACAATATGTCAAATATTTTGTTATGATTCTACATTTACTTTTTCTTTTCAACCACTCATTTTACAATGTAAACATCGAAAACTAATTTTGACATAACCCGATGTTATTTTCATATATTTTGTGCACAATAACCAATTTGCGAGCAATTAGGATAGGCCATGTAAGATTATAATTTCTTTCTAAACACTCAGGGTTTTTTCTAGAGACTCCAAGAAAAGAAGTTTGACATATTCCCAAAATTTTAGCTCTAAAATGTAGATTTTGAAAGAAGGTAGAGGAACTTTTCAAATTTGTCAATTCGTTCGTTGACTATAGATTGGATTTTCTTGGTTCATGCTTATATCTTGTGTCAAAGTGACCATTTTGCATTATTTTATAAAAAAAAATCGGTGTCCCACTTTTTAACATCCACGTTGTTTAGGGTTACTTAATAAAAGATTATGATTATAACAAATTTACAAAAATAAAGTGTAAGAAATATACTCTGTAAAAAAATTCTTTCACATACTGATTCCTTGTTAAAAAACTTGAATATACTTAAGTTCAGTGGTTCATTTGAATATAGCTGTATTCTCTATGTGCAAAAGGGTGTCCATAAGACTTCAAATATGTTTACAGATAATAATATATTTAAAAAAATTACTTAGAATAGCTTCCCTCTTATTATTTACCTATTAAATGGAACTAAAAACAGTGATATCTAAAAACATCTTTAAAAAACTGCCACTTGAAATGTTCTCTAAAACCTATCTTTATAAATCAAAATAAAATGTAAAAACATTTTATGCCCTGAATGCTATCAAAAGTTTAAACGTAGTTCCTAACTATTTCTGTCATTGCATTACTATTCATTTATTAAACTTTAAAATTTATTTAGTATTCGCCCTGTATTCTGGGAATCACTATAATCCCTGGTCGAATTCTTTCTACTTAGTTTGCTTTTGATATTTCAGCGCCATTGTCCATTTATTTTATTATGTTCTTGTTTTTATTTTATGAATAATGTTTTATTTAATATTTTTCTATTTATCTATTTAAATTTTGTATGTACCAGGGCTAAATCTATAACGGTCTCAGACCTTTTAGTCCTCGTCACAATTAAAAAAATATTTTAATATGAATTTAAAATGTCGAAATATATTATTATGCTTTAAAATTAAAATATAGAAAGTTCTAAAATAAATTCATTTACTATATATATCATTTCATGTCCTATCTGTGTAAAACTTGACTAAATCAATACTGCGTGTAAACTAATAAAGCTCCCTCGACTGTTCGGTTAGAATTTGAAACTTATTTACTATATATATCATTTCATGTCCTATCTGTGTTATAACAACTACCCCCCCCCCCCCCAACCGGCTATGCGCAACATATATATAAATGTCTTGTTTTATTATATAGATTAAAATGTCTAAAGAGGCTGTCGACGTAAAGTACAATTATGACCCTTCATTTAAAGATTCTCAACATTACCCTTTATTCGAGAGACAATGAGAAAGATATCTTGAAAATAAATATATTATGTCGATTCCTTCCCCTCCAAACTGCATTAATACTAAATCAATGTCATTGAAAACCGCAGTTGAGAAAATGAAAAATTATCAGTTCTAAAATAGAAACAAATAGAAAATCTACATTACTGTTGGTCAGACAAAGGTTTAAAGGGTAGATACAGATGTAAATCGGGGGTTTATATTTCTTTAAACGGAAGTTTACGTGAAATTATGTTAACAGTCTCTTTAACCTGGAACGACTCCTTCAATGCTGTCCAAGGTCTCCATAATAACTGAAATCTCCTTCATATCCACCATACCATCATTATCCACATCATACAGCTTAAACGCCCAGTTCAACTTCGCGTCATCTAGTGAAAATGTAAAGAAGTAATCATCTATAAACATATATAAAGAAGTACAAAAAGTATTAATCATCTATGTATACAAAGTAGTAATATCTCTGTTTGTCTGTTTATTTGTATGTCCGATCATAACTCATGAACCCCTTGACCAATTACAGTCAATTTGATTGGGGAACTATTTAGGGGAATGTTCTGAGCTTGGTTTGAAAACTATTAGTTAAAGTATAAGTTGATTTTTTTTAAGGCAAAGCTCGGTTCCCGTGCTAGTAGTTAATAGTGCTTTACTTCAGGGTTGACAGGGGAAAGGGTTTATGTACAGTTTACCGTTACGTATTTGCACTGTACTATATATGTACTGTACTTTTTATGTACTGTACTATATATGTACTGTTGATATATTTAAATTAGAAAATTTTTACATTTTAATATCAAATGCTTTTTTAGTTACTAATTATCTATTTATAAATACTGATTGATATATATATATATAAATATACTTTTATAAATAACTCTTTATTAGTCAATTTCAAAATAATAAAATGATTGATTCTTTAAAATGTTGGAAACAAGTTGATAGTTTCACATAATATTTCTTTCCAATTTATGAATTAGTTTCCTGCTAGTCATTAGGTATTCAGCAATATTGCCTTAAAGGGACAGTAAAGGAAACATGAAAGGGGGTACAGGCTGAAAGCTAATCACTTTAGCTTTTCATCGAGAACCTTGAGACGCCTATCTGAAGTTCCTAACTCGAGAGTTGATATAAAGCTGTTTCAAACTTGTACGAAAATGCATATATATATAATTTCGTATAGAAATAGTAAGTTTAATTAGACCATGCTCAGAAAAACAGCAACCAATCTGAAAAAGATGATATCCCAGAGAAAGCTAATTGTAATTTAGGTTTACTTTTATATTTGTTGTTTCTATTTTCAATAGATTTCATTCATAATATTATTTTTACGTCCGTATTACTTGACCAGAAATTCCACCAATGGCAGTGCAGTAAAGTGGTCACGTGATACAGGCGTAGACACGTGACCAGTATACTGCTCTGCCATTGGTGATAGTTCTGGTCACGTGATTTAAGTTTCAGATTTTCAAAATTTTACATATATGAATTTTCGTATAATTATAACACAGTTTTATATCAATTTCTCGAGACAGGAACATCAGATAAAACTTTCATGGGTCGCGATCAAGAGCTAAAGTGATTAGCTTTCAGCCTATACCCCCTTTAATTTTTCCTTTACTGTCCCTTTAATCAACATTAACATGTTCTCCACGTTGCAAAATATAAACATTTTCGAATTTTACAAGAGTATTTATAACTTTTTTGTTTAAAATCTAAATATTACCTGTTTCGCATCTGGTTATATCCATGGCCATGAGAAACTCTTTAAAATCCAGGAAATCATTTCCATCCGTGTCAAATATCCGGAGAATATGTTTACAGAACACATCGGCATTTCCTGCAACAAGATATATTAAAGAACTTTCTACGTAAACTTATACTGGAGGTAGAAGTGCCCGATTCTTGTTTTTCTATCTTAAAAGAGATTATTTGTATTTGCAGGTTCTCTAAGTTGATTTATGCAGCAAAGTCAAGGAGCCAAATTAAATGTTTAAGACAAAAAACGACAAAATCTTCTTAACAAAAGTACAAATGTGCTAGAGAGCCTTTTTAAAGGTGTTAGGTACTTTCCTAAATGCATTTTCCCAAGGGCGACAACCCAAGTGGCAATATCTTAATTTTTCAAGCGGCAACTTCCAAAAGGTTAGGTTAGGCCTTCAGAGGCGATGCAGGCTGCAGTGGGGCCGAGCGCTTCGGCTATGACATACTTGGGAAGTTGCCGCTTTGTAAATTGCACATTTGGGAAGTTGCCACTTTGGAAAATACCCTTGGGAGGTTGCTGCTTTAAATTCTTATAATCGGGGATCGAAACTTTTGTGTGGATGTTGTTAATCTTAAAAACTTGATCTCAATATCCAATGTGGTTCATTTTGAATTTGTTTGATCTCTCTATTAAAGTTATCCATGGATTGTATAGACCATCCGGGGAAAACGTGAGGAATTAAATTATGCCGAAGCTTTCAAAAGATGGAGATTAATGCTTGATCCCAACATTCACAATATGAAAGTTTTAACTTTGGATGAAAAAAAGTTTTCTTGTCAGGGGTGGTTTCAAAACCCCGGTTTAAATCAAACTGTGTTCAAAAGTTTACAACCCATGACACGTTTTATTTAAACGCCATGGTTCTTCACGTTTAATAATAAATATACAGTTCTCCATCTTATAATTCAGTGTGAATGCATATTCTGAAATTAATCCTTGTATTCTCCAGTCAAACCTACCAACACCTACCCTCAGGGAATACGGTTTTGAATAGAGTTCGTAGCTTAGCTCTGGTTAGTTTACCATCAGGACACTCATCTCTGAAATATTATACTCATCTAGTCTACAGTCCACAGTCTACAGTCTACAGTCTACAGTCTACAGTCTAAAGTCTACAGTCTACAGTCTACAATCTACATTCTACAGTCCACAGTCTACAGTCTACAGTCTACAGTCTACAGTCTACAGTCTACAGTCTACAGTCTACAGTCTACAGTCTACAGTCTACAGTCTACAGTCTACAGTCTACNTCGTTACCTTTAAAAGCGTTGTCTGGTCAAAAATGCATCAAAAACCATTTATCGAGTGTTATGATTGATTCACAACGGTAACCTTAAAATCTTAATCTAACCAATATTTTAGAAGAAGACGTTGTTTTCTGACTTTAAAAGTGTTTAATTCCGATATTTCTACATTGTTTCTGAACCAAGAAATGCAAAATTCACTTTTGAAGAAGCCACAAATTAAAACAATCAATTTCAAACAAAAACATGGATATCTAATTCATGCTTGATCAGACATAGCTTTTAAGGGTACCGTTGTGAATCCAAAGGGACACTTACAATAACTTTTACAAATCCTTTAATGGAGTAATAAATATAGAAACAGCTGCACATCTATCTATAAATTTGGCTTGTCTGTCTGTCCGTTTGTATCCAATAAACGTCAAAACGGCTGAACCGATCGGACCCAAATTTTGTGTGGGACCTCACGTCACTCCAGGGAAGGTTTATGAATGATCACAATTTTAAAAATCTGTGTTTAAAAGTTTTTATTTTGGAAAATTTTGAAAATGCGCGAAAAAATATTATGAAATCCACAAACTTTTTTTTGTTTTTATTTTATACTGAGCTGAAAACTTTAGAATGTGATATCCTTAATCCCGATCTGTTGACTTCTCTGAAGATTAAATTCATGAGGAGAACAAGCCATATTTCATCTGGATATTAAGAAAAAGAGTGGAGTAAGCATTAATCCTGATATCCACCATTCTAAAGTTGTCAGCTCTGAGATGGGAACTTTTGAATGGGATATCCTTAATCCTGATCGGATAATTAATCTGGAGATTAAAAATGAGTGGAGAACAAGCAATATTTAATCTGCAGATTAAGAAAAAGAGTGGATTAAGCCTTAATCCCGATATCCACCATTCTAAAGTGTTCAGCTCTGTACAAATAGAAGATGCTCACAGATAAAGCCACAAATAAAAGTTGAAATAGAAGATGGGCGCGAAGCGCCCTAAAAGCCTAGTTAAACTAAAGTTGATTTCATTTTAGTTGGTAATCTTTCATGAACTCTTGCAATAAAGTTTGTTTGAGGTCTGGTGTTATATAAAAACTAAAAGTATGGGGTCACGAAGTCGTAGCAGTAATTCCGCATGTAATATGTGAAAATAGGACCAACCCTATCGAACCCTAGTGGATACTGTAGAAAATCACAAAAGAACTAGGCTATTGCTCGGCTCATACTCTAATTTTAGTTGGTAATCTTTCATGAACTCTTGCAATAAAGTTTGTTTGAGGTCTGGTGTTATATAAAAACTGAAAGTATGTGGTCACGAAGTCGTAGCAGTAATTCCGCATGTAATATGTGAAAATAGGACCAACCCAGTCGAACCCTAGTGGATACTGTAGAAAATCACAAAAGAACTAGGCTATTGCTCGGCTCATACTCTAATTTTCTAATCTTTATGCCAACCTAATCTTGTAAATTTGATATTTCAATCTTGTAGATTTGATATTTCAATCTATGAATTCTGTTAAATCAAACAGTCATAGTGTGAAATATTTTTTATCTGGTTGCATAGAATTAGGAATTTATAAATTAATTAGTTTTTTACAGTTTTTGCAACAAACTCAAACTTTTTGCAACCTAAAAGTACAAACCTTTGATATTTCAAACTTAAACTATTTAATCGATAAGAATTTACAGTTTGAAATATCAAAGGTCTACGACATCGGGTTGCAAAAATATATGGATTAGATAATCAGAGTTTGTGGCAAGAGCTCAGTTCCTTTTAAAGTAATAGTAAATTAAACTATTATATTGTAGACTTGTGTTTGCCTGTAGGTAGGTATCTCATCTTAACAGCTTCCACTGGATTACTAGGATCTAGTACGATATCATCATCCTGGAGACTCTCTCGTCCTACTCCTAGTTTTCTCAGCTCCTAGATCGCATTTTCAAACTAATAAATTCTTCATTTTAATAATAAAATCCTTGGAATAGAAAAATAAATATTTGTAAGCCAGGAGTAATAACTTTTAAATTAGAGCTTAATAGTAATTGGAAAGCTTAATTGGTTCTAAACAAATATCATAGATACACAATTAATCCATTTAATGAAAATATATTCTAACAAATAAAACTAAATCAAAGGATTTGAATTTTGCATAATGTCTTGGCACAAAATGAACATAGATTATTTAATTATGCTCAGTCCTCTTCCTTCACTAGGTTTCAATGTTAATATCAAAGATAATGAAACCCACAATCAATGATATTTTTGTAAAATAAGGAGTTACATGACTAATATATCAGTGGGAGGGGGTTTTTCTTGTCCCCTAATACTCCTGTTTCCCCGTAATTCCCTTGGTGCTCCTGGTTCCCCTAATTCCCCTGGTGCTCCTGATTCCTCTGATTCCCCTGGTGCTCCTGGTTCCCCTGATTCCCCTGGTGTTCCTGGTTCCCCTGATTCCCCTGGTGCTACTGGTTCCCCTGATTCCCCTGGTGCTCCTGGTTCCCCTGATTCCCCTGGTGTTCCTGGTTCCCCTGATTCCCCTGGTGCTACTGGTTCCCCTGATTCCCCTGGTGCTCCTGGTTCCCCTGATTCCCCTGGTGTTCCTGGTTCCCCTGATTCCCCTGGTGCTACTGGTTCCCCTGATTCCCCTGGTGCTCCTGGTTCCCCTGATTCCCCTGGTGCTCCTGGTTCCCCTGATTCCCCTGGTGCTCCTGGTTCCCCTGATTCCCCTGGTGCTCCTGGTTCCCCTGATTCCCCTGGTGCTCCTGGTTCCCCTGATTCCCCTGGTGCTCCTGGTTCCCCTGATTCCCCTGGTGCTCCTGGTTCCCCTGATTCCCCTGGTGCTCCTGGTTCCCCTGATTCCCCTGGTGCTCCTGGTTCCCCTGATTCCCCTGGTGCTCCTGGTTCCCCTGATTCCCCTGGTGCTCCTGGTTCCCCTGATTCCCCTGGTGCTCCTGGTTCCCCTGATTCCNTTCTAGTTCTAGTTCTAGTTCTAGTTCTAGTTCTAGTTCTAGTTCTAGTTCTAGTTCTAGTTCTAGTTCAAGTTCTAGTTCTAGTTCTAGATCTAGTTCTAGTTCTAGTTCTAGTCCTTATAAACTCTAGCAATATTTCTTGTGTTCATATTTAAAAGATTAATAATATTTCCTAAGATGAATTGTGCAAAAGATAATTCTCCTCTGAGAGCACAAAAAGATATAAAGATTGTTTAGGTTTGCAAAACAACCCTGAGGACTACAACTACATAACATTATATAATATATAAAGATTGCTAGCTCGATTATAATTTATCGTTGATCGTTTTTTTCTTATTTACAACCTGAGTTATAAATTGCATCCCAGAGTCCGAATTCGTGATAATCTCTGGGTGGCGTAGTGTTTCCTGGAAAACAGTAGACAAACTTTTAGACTAGAAAATGTTTTATTTTCGGAATCCATATTTTTATCAGAAGTATACGAGTAAACAATAAATATTTTAGATTTAGACTTATAAAAGGCATTTGATTGATTGGAATTGAAAGCTTACAGGTCGAGTCAAATCATAGTGCCATTATGTGGAGATGAACCATTCCTAGATATGAATGTCTATATTTATAATATTTACCTAGATATGAATATCTATATTCTAATATTTACCTAGATATGAATATCTATATTTCTAATATTTACCTAGATATGAATGTCTATATTTCTAATATTTACCTAGATATGAATGTCTATATTTCTAATATTTACCTAGATATGAATATCTATATTTCTAATATTTACCTAGATATGAATGTCTATATTTCTAATATTTACCTAGATATGAATGTCTATATTTCTAATATTTACCTAGATATGAATATCTATAATTATAATATTTACCTAGATATGAATATCTATATTTCTAATATTTACATAGATATGAATATCTATATTTATAATACTAGAAATTCAAGGCGCTTTGCGCCCTTCTTTCTAGCCTTAGAGGGCACTTCGCGCCCATCTTCTAAATTAATTGTGAGGCATGTTCTCTTTGTGTACATCGTAAAACAAAACAAAAATAATTCGCGGATTTTCACAAAAAATTTCGCGGATTTTCAAAATTTTTAAAAATTTAATGACGATCGAATTTTAATGTCTATATTTATAATATTTACCTAGATATTAATGTCTATATCTTTACATAAATTTGGCTTGTCTGTCTGTTTGTTTGTATCCAATAAACGACAAAACGGCTGAACCGATCGGACCCAAATTTTTTTGGGACATTACGTGACCACAGGGAAGGTTTATGAATGATAAAAAAATGTGTTTTAAAGGTTTTTAATTTTGTAATAAAAAATGAAATTCTTGAAAATCCGCGAATTTTTTTTTAAATTCGCAAAATTTTTTTCTTCTTTGTTTTAAAATGTAAACAAAAAGAACATGTTCACAATTTAAATAGAAGATTGGCGCGAAGCGCCCTAAAAGCCTAGTTTCTAATATTTACCTAGATATGAATATCTATATTTCTAATATTTACCTAGATATGAATGTCTATATTTCTTGACTTCTATATCAATCTCATATTGATCAAAAACCCTAGAATTAAAACAATATTGTAAATTATTAATCAATAATTTATCTAAATTATATATTTACAAATAATTTGTTTCGTAATTCAACTCTAGCCTAAAAGATTTTCATAATTACTCTAATCATTATTTATTAATCAATGGACCTTTACTCTTTAGCACTCACACTTAAATCATCTTTTTTGAATGTTATTGTAATGAACACTTTAAAATGGGATATCCTTAATCCTGATCATTTAATTAATTAGTCTGGAGATTGATAACAAGAGGAGAACAAGCATTATTTAATCTGCAGATTAAGAAAAAGAGGAGATCAAGCATTAATCTCGATATCCACCATTCTAAAGTTTTCAGCTCTGTTTGGATACCTTAAGCTAAAGTAAATTGCGCGTATAATCGTATAATATTAAAATCTGATATATTTTCAATCATCAGAACTTATTGAGAAGATCAGAAATTTCTAATATGTAACCGAATAATTGGAGCTGAGTTGTTGCCACAAACTCTAATTTTCTAATCCTTATTTCTTCACTCTTATTCAAACATATCCTAGCCAAGCCTATTATAAGCTTTAAAGAATCTTTCGACGTATTTTTAGAGTTCCTATCCAAATTCACAACGGTCACAATTTTAAATATTAATTTGAGTAACAATGAGGAATTAAGATATTCATGATTTTCTATCTTAAAAAGAAATTATTTCTGTCAAATGAAACAGGTTTCAGAAAGGAAAAAAGGATATATGCATTACAAATGTTTAAGGGTACCATTGTGAATCAAACATGTCGCTTGAAATTACGTCGACAGTCCTTTAAACCAACCAACTGTGGGAATACAAATACTCGACCTTCTCCCCCAAGCTGTATCCATAGAAGGACGACGACCCACGTTAAAGTTTCCGTAAAATGAATCAGAAAACTTCCAAACCTTCCCTTTCTCTCCTCCAGTCAGAGATTTCATTTCATGAGCATCCTGCAACATGATTCATTATTCTTCAAATCTACTCGACCAGAGGACGAATTTAAAGAATTTGAGCCGCGGCTTAAAATTAAGCCGGGGCTCAATTTCACTTAAAATTGTATTAAATTTTCTAAGATTCAAGCCGGCGCTCAATTGAATCCGGTTTTTGGCAGATTTATGCAGCGGCTTAAATTCATTAAATTCGGACACGGATTTCATTTTCGTGCCGGGTGAAGGAAAGTTTTATCCATAGATTAATTAAAATATCAGATAGGACACTAGATGTCGTCTTTTCAAGATTTATTTCGTTCACAAAAACCCTGTGGCAGAAGCCCTAAGAAGTTACGCGTAGTCGGCTTAGAACAGGTTCTCTCTGTCTTGTAATTCTACAGAGAGAGAGCCTGTTCTACGCCGACTAATTTTATGAATCAGAGAGAGGTCGCTGAAATACCTTTCGCCGTTTCACCTACTTTTTAAAGACTTACTGGCTCAAATTCTTAATCAAGGTTTCAGCCTTTAAGATTTTGAACAACTCTAACTAAAAATCAGACAATTTCAATCAATCAAAGCAATGTATACTGCTCAAATATTAAGATTATTAACTAGGATAGATCAAAATTTAAAACTTTAAGTTTAACCAACTTCAGATACTTGGTTGAACTGTCTCTACATAGTTTAACGACTTTAATCCTGTGTCCGATTGATTATTTTTTTTCTTTATATTTACAAATTATCAAACTTCAGTGGCCTATTATTTTGGTTTATTTATTACCTTGTTAAAATCTATGTTTTTGACCCAGGATTTATTCTCGAGCACCTTTAGCTGTTCCTCTCTGTATAAATATACATATTTTTCGTTCTTCATAATATCTGTACTTTATTCACTCTAGTTAGAAATAGAATACAAATGCAGCAAATGGAGTTAACAAAAAATTTTTAATTTTATTTATTAGCAATAATAAATCAAGCCATTCATATATATATATGTTGCGTATAGCCGGCCAAACGGCCGGACCGACTGGGCTGAATTTTTTTGTGGACACTCATGGGTGGCTTGGGGCAAATAAATGTTGAGAAAAAAACAACTTTTAAAAAATTTCGTACACATTCTTTCAGAGTGTGAAATTTAGATTAAAAATATATATGAATTCAGTTCCTTGATAGACTTCCAAAATCTATTTCGTTTTCTTGATCTCGCTCTTGATCTTGATCTCGATAATGTTCATGATCTTGATACAGATCATGATCATGACGTGGGCCTGAAGCTGAGGCTAGAACAGCAGGAGAATATTCTCTCTAAATATCAAGAGATTAACATACAGTGATCGTCGTACTCTTATATATCAATACAATGAGACGATGTTTTATTTCAATTTTAATTTCTATCAAGCTTCCAAACATCTGAAATATTTAAATATTTAAACAAAGATAATTGTTTTCAATTAATAGCTTCTCTATGTTAACTTACATTCTCTTAAGATTAATGATTGATAAGTAAGAATTGAATGGGTTATGCTTTTCAACTAGAGACTTATACATATTCCATAGTTAGAGACTACATTGCATAGTTTTCAATTAGAGCCTACATATTGCCTAGTTTTCAATTAGAGACTACATATTGCATAGTTTTCAATTACAGACTATATATTGCATAGTTTTCAATTACAGACTCTATATATTGCATAGTTTTCAATTAGAGACTACATATTGCATAGTTTTCAATTAGAGACTGCATATTGCATAGTTTTCAATTAGAGACTACATACTGCATAGTTTTCAATTATAGACTACATATTGCATAGTTTGTTCAGATTCAGGGTTCAGAATCAATAACAGTTATATTGCTCTTTATAATAATAGACTTATGTCACGAAAACGATAAGGAAAAGCCATGATAAAATTGGCTTCAAATATTTTTCATTTTAAACAAACAGCTTTAAAGGTGAAACAATAATATAAGTTTAATAATAAATTTAACTGGAAGATGGGAAGGGAAGAGGAGTTTATAAATAATTTACCTCTCAGTTGTAAAAACTATGGCGTAATGTATAAGATACGACCTATTCTTCATGCTGGGTGGTGGTTTGCTATTTAGAATCCGCATTTTTTTGTGTTGGGTGGGTACCGGGAGCGAGGATTCTTTGTGCTGGGTGGGTACCTGGAGCAAGGATTCTATGTGCTGGGTGTGTACCAGGAGCCAGGGTTCTTTGTGCTGGGTGGGCACCTGGAGTGAGGATTCTTTGTGCTGGGTGGGTACCTGGAGTGAGGATTCTTTGTGCTGGGTGGGTACCTGGAGCCAGGATTCTTTGTGCTGGGTGGGTACCTGGAGCAAGGATTCTTTGTGCTGGGTGGGCACCTGGAGTGAGGATTCTTTGTGTTGGGTGGGCACCTGGAGCCAGGATTCTATGTGCTGGGTGGGTACCTGGAGTGAGGATTCTTTGTAATGGTGGATAGCTGCAGTAAGGACGTGCACTATGCTGGGTGGGTACCTGTATCAAGATTTTACTGGGGGCGGGGGGGGGGTACCAGGAGCGAGATTGTGCCGGGTGGATACCTGGAGCAAGGTTGTGCATACTGGATGGTTACCTGTAACGAGGATTGTTCTAAAGTAGTTGACTCTGTATCCAAGGTTTCAATGATATCTTTAAGAATATCTACAGCTCCGTTGGAAAACCTTCTCCGGGGCATGAAATGACAAACCAGTTTAACAGTACTGCTCTCACTCTCAGTACAACCCAAGGACCTGAACCAGAGATAAATATAAACTGTTTTCACATAGAAATAGACCGTCAATATACATTATCCATGAACGGAAAGATATGCAATATATATGTATTTTTAAATTAAATTAACCAATCCCTTTTTACTTGTTTTCATTCTTACTTTCTTCTCTTTCCTTCCTCCGCCTGTTTGAAGATTCGATTTGGTTTCTTAGGATCAACTTTTCCCAATCCTTCCATAATTGGACGACAGGAAGTCCTTCATTAAAATAATGCATTTTAAATTGTTTTTCTGAATTTAGATAAATTAAAATTTGATAGCTCAGATTTGATTGCAAGTTAAAAATAAATCTGAGTTGCTATTAATCCATTTACTTAGAAGACTGTGTGAATTCAAGGTTTGCATCTAACGAACTGAATTCCTGAAAATATATAAGATTAAGTCCAATATGTTTTTAGTTAAATCCAAATGTGTTATCACCTTTTGACCACCCGCAGAATTCAGAATATTTAAGTCAAAATCTTGATTTTTTTGTCGGAATAATTTAGATTCTGTATCCATACTACTTCTTCTCTTATCTGCATTTAACTCATTCAATCATTGAACTCTTGGAATTCCAAATCCGGGCCTTTCCATCATACAAAGGTCAAAACTTTTGAATTGATAATCTCTTCAAAAAGTGTCAATTCGTATTGTTTTTCCGACGGATTAAGATAAATCCTTGATGGTTCGAAGACAAAATTAGAGCTTCGTCTATTTTAAAATTTCAACCATAGGCCACAAACACCTTTTCTTGAGCAATATGAGATCGCAGAATCACGAGATGTTTTTTACCGATTTAAGTTCTTAATCGTTTCAAATTAAAAGTTTCGGTCGTTCAAATAAAATTTTTAGAAAATGTTTTCGACCTCTGCGAAATCGCTAGTTAACTTAAATATGTTGTTTTGTCACTGTCATAAATCTATATATTGTTTAAGAAGATATATCTTGATGCATAAATCTATATATTGTTTAAGAAGATATATCTTGATGCATAAATCTATATATTGTTTAAGAAGATATATCTTGATGCGTAAATTGTCATTTTATATAATGTTTTTGTGAATATAGTCGGTACTCGGTGCATCTGCAAAGTTAATCCTTTAATGCAAAAAAAATCAAAGATTTTGAATTTTAAAAATGTAAATAAATACGTTTAAAGAGACTGTACGCGCAAAAGGACTGGCTCTCCATGCAAAGATGGCGATGCCCGATTCAACCGTGAAACCTTTATCTGATCAATTATGTGCAAGATATTGTCGTTTTTCTAGGTTTAAAGTATTCATTTCTAATATTCCTATACGTTTTTCTGTATTAGAAATGCGCAAGTCACTTTTGTAGAGAAACCACTATGAAAAATCATCAGTTGTCGGTTATAAATTTGAGCAAATAGTTCGGAATTTTGCAATGTTGGCTTCATTGCACAAACAAAAAAAGTAATCACGGTATACAGGGATTATTAAGTTTGTTGAAAATATGCTAAATTTCATATTCTTTTAAATGAGAATCACAACTGAGATTGAGAGCCGGCCTAAAAGCTTCTTTCTGTTAAGATATATTTGAAAGGTACTTTGCGCATTTTTATAATTATTTTTATGATTTATATTACAAAAGTCACAATGGCTTAACCAATGTTTTTAGTACAATGTTTAAGTTTAGTAACTAATCCTAGAACAGATTCATCTGTCCTAATCTCAATGATTTTCCTGATCCTAGTTTCTGCCGAGGTAAACCAGTCTGAAGGATACAGGATGGTTTCTGATCCTTCCCTGCTCCTATCTTGAGTTTTATATTATCTTCGCTCCTTGGTTCCTTCTTCAGTTCTTTTTCGTTTCCTTCCTTCCCATCAATCTTTTTATCCCTCTTTTTATCTTTATCTACTTTCTGAGAGACAGGTTTGGTTTTCTCTTTCTGCATTTTCTCTTTTTTCTTCTCTTCTCTTTTCAAACTGCTAAGACTAGAATCAAATATTCTGGTGCGAATGCAAATTCTAGATTAGATATTAGATTTGAATAAAAATAGATGATCTTACAGACTTATATCCTCAATTTAGTAGTATTAAGTCTAGAAAATAAATGGACGAGTTACAGGGATAAAGACGATCAATGTAGTTTGAAAAGCGAAAAAGTAAATAGTAAAGGATTAAAGTGGATAGTAAAGGATTAAAGTGTTTAGTAAAGGATTAAAGTGTATAGTACAGTATTAAAGTTGATGAATGGATTAACTCCTTTACAAAATGTTTGTTTAGTGAAGGGTAGCAAATAATCTTGTTTATTTTTCACGAGAAGGTTCCTTTAATTAATGATTACTCCGGGTTCATGCAATCACTGTAAACAAACCATAATCCCTGTAATTAAACCAGAACTTTTCACCGCTAATCACTTAACGGAGCTAATTGCTGTTTGTTTAAAATACTATAATTGATATATATATATATGAATATCGGATTGTATTCCTGTTGTTGGGATGGGTTGGATCACGAGAACCTCTAAGTGGAGGTTTCTCTATTCTAAAATAATATTCACACATTTAACCTGAATAACCAGAAAACTCTGCTTTTAATTGTAAATCAAAATGGTCAGAGATGGGATCTTTTGTGTGAAGAATCGTTTATCTCAAACGCTTGATCTCGATATCCAATTTAGACATTTTTAAATTTGAGGATCAATGCTTGATGCCTTTCATTCAGTTATCCCCTCAAATTACGATTACCACGGGATATAGTAAAAAATTAACTCTATTAGTCCTTTCACTCCGTGTTGGTTCAAAACACAAAACTTCTGACTTCAGAACACATTTTTAGAAAAAACTGAATTAAAATTTAAAAATCCTTAGCGACATATTTTAAGATTAAAAGAAAAGGAAGCGGAGAATTATTATCCTGTTTTCCGGTCAGATCTACACATTTCAGGCTGTGAGACCTCAGATTGAAGGCACAAAAAAAAACATTTTAAAGAACCTGTTTTTTCTAATCCTCAAGGTAAGTTGCTTCCTTGTCTGGTCCAGGGTTGAATATCTACGTGGAATCTGATCCAGGGATAAATATTTCCTCGGAGCCTGCTCCAGGTTTAAATTCTTCTTTGTATCCGGGTTCGAGTTTGGAGGCTTCTTTGACTCCGGGTTTAGGTTTGGATATTTCTTTGTATCCGGGTTCACGTATAAATGTTTTTTAGAATCCGGGTTAAGGTTTTGATTTTTTCTATAAATCTGGTCCATGGATAAACTTTTCTTTGTAATCGGGTTCAAAGTTTTATTTTTTCTTGAAACATGGTTCAGGGGCTGGTTCTCTTGGACAGGACGATCAAAGGAATTCGCCATCATGCACTTGACGTCGCTGCTGGAAATCTGAGGTCTAGGACGGGGTTTAGAAATATCTCCGGAGAGTAAAATATTGTTTGTAGTTTCGGTTGGATCAGCCTGGTTTAGATCTCTAGGTTTATCAGATCCTCCATTCATATTATTTTCCGGTTCTCTGGCACAGTTCTTCAAATAAAACATGAATTATTAACAATAATCAAACAGAAACTTCCATATTCAATTCATTCATCAATTCATCCTTCCATCTATGCTCTCCATTAATCATTTGTATCAATCTGAAGGAGTTATGATTGGGTTTTGTAGATTTTTCATCAAGGTTTATAAAGAAAACGAGCTTCTTTTACGCTGGGTCAAAGTTCACAAAATGAAATTTTTTGGTGTGTTTTACAGAATTCTTAAATTTCCTTTTATATTTTTGCAAATAAACTGAAACTAGTTCTTTTTAATTATTCTTTTTTTACTTTAACCTAAGTGGTTGGAACCGTATTGACTTTAAATCCATCGATTAAATCTTAAAAATGGAATAAAATTTGAAACAAAAAATATTAAAACTATTTTAATTCTCAAAAAAATTTGAAAATATAAAAAATCTTTCGTTTTTTATAAAAAAGAATTCTTCGAGAACTGGGATTTAAGGCCAGAAAACAGAATATTTGATCTAGCTCTGAAAACAACAGATTTAAAAAGAAAATATAAGTTTAAAAAGAATAAAAAACAAGTTTGTCAATGAATGTGTACCCAGATTGTTCTAGAACAATATTCATTGTGTAAAAGGGGAAGCTTTGAAAAATCCGAGAGGGTGAAGGAGGAACTGTAAGAAAACTTTGAATAAACTGTCTTCTGAAGCTTCGTAATATGCAGTTGGAAACCGGGGGTTCTCTGGCGAAGCTCGGGAACAGGCAAGTTATTCATCTTTTTTTATTTTTTGCTACCTCTTCCTTTAAACTTACATCATTTACTCATGCTTTAAGTCCCACTTTATTATAAGAGATTATAGTTTTAACACCACGGTTTGAAAAGTAAATGTAAATATTATTATCAATACCAAATTTCAGTCTATTTAAACCTCCTCAATTTTTAAAAAAAGATTTAAAAAATTAAAATTTATAAAAAAGAAATGAGAAATCCAAATTTTGTTACCTTGTTATCAAAAGTAACTCTTTTCTTCCTAAGTCTAGGAGAACCTAACGAGTTCGAAATCCGAGCATCGTCAGGAGAGAGAAGGTTTCGATCTATGAAACCCTGCTCCGGGATACAATAGTTCTCAGCTGAAGATAATCTAATCTCAACCCTACTTGATGCATACGTCGAGGGTTGAAAAGTAACTGAGGAGGTTTCTCCAGATGCAGGGGATACTGAAGAAGGATTTCCTTCATTTTTCTCCGATATCAGCCCTGATCCTTCCCCTGGTCCCTCCATACCTAAATTATCCTTTACTTAGTTTAAACAAATTAAAGTGTGCAGGAGCCTTGAACAAACTTTTAATACGAATCAAGGTTTTAGAATTCTTTCTTGTTCAGACTTTTGTAATTTAAACCAATACCCTGAACCAACCTTCTCTAACCACATACTAACATACAGTGAAACCCTTAATAACGAATGCATCGGAAGTTGACAATTTTTCAATGAGTTTTATACTATATTAAGTAAATTTCAGTATTTGCGAAAATAAATAAACAGCCATGAATATGCAGGAACAGTTTTAAAGAGTTCCATATAATCATTTAATTAAAAAATTAAATATCTGCAACATTCCATTAGCAGAATGTGAAGAATTCGACATTTGATGAATTCTTTCGATGTATTCGTTATTAAGGGTTTCACTGTATTTAAGATAAAATGCAATCCCTTTTATTCCCCTTGCGTTCTGTCTTTTTGATTTCTTTCTCTTTCTTTCTTTTATTTCATACCTTTCTTATCGTTAACTAGTTCCAAATACTGAGTCTAGTGCCAGGATATCAGATTTTAGTATGAAGGATTGTAAGGTCTGTAAAGAAAACCTTGTAAACCTTATAAACAAAGAAACTAGGTCTAAACTACTTAAATACTGTTAAACTTAAATCGTACTTTCAATAGATCCTTGCTGCTTATGGTTTTGCTGTTTTGAATATATATAGTTCAGGATCCAAATCCAACCTATAGTTTTTATCTAATCTAGATCCCTTCTGCCCTGAATTCCTTTTACTCAAGTCACCTTAACTCCGAACCCCCTTTGCTTAAGATCTCGTCTTCCCTGAATCCCTTATACTCTGGTCACCTTCAACTCCGGATATCCCTTATGCCCCGGGTATCCTCTGGTCTTGATTCCGTTTGCTCCGGAACCCTTTTCGGTGGAAAGGGATAAAGCCTGAATTAAGCAACAGTGTGTAACAGTGTAGTCGGAAGAAAATCTTAAGAATTATATTTGACACCAGATCTTTTTCGGGACATTTTTCTTAAACATTAAAAATGACGATGAATATATATATATACTTTTATAAACGGGCTGATTTATTATTTCACTATATGCATATACATACTTTTATAAACGGACTGATTTATTATTTCACTATATACATATACATTCTTTTATAAACGGGCTGATTTATTATTTCACTAAATACATATACATACTTTTATAAACGGACTGATTTATCATTTCACTAAATACTTATACATACTTTTATAAACGAACTTATTTATTATTTCACTAAATACATATATACATACTTTTTTAAACGGGCTGATTAATTATTTCACTAAATACTTATACATACTTTTATAAACGGGCTAATTTATTATTTCACTATATACATATACATACTTTTATATAGGGGCTGATTTATTATTTCACTAAATACAGATACATACTTTTATAAACGGGCTGATTTATTATTTCACTAAATACATATACATTCTTTTATAAACGGGCTTTTTTATTATTTCACTAAATACATATATATACTTTTATAAACGGGCTGATTTATTATTTCACCAAATACATATACATACTTTTATAAACAGGCTGATTTATTATTTCACTAAATACATATACATACTTTTATAAACGGGCTGATTTATTATTTCACTAAATACATATACATACTTTTATAAACGGGCTGATTTATTATTTCATTAAATACATATACATACTTTTATAAACGGGCTGATTTATTATTTCAATAAATACATAAACATACTTTTATAAACGGGCTGATTTATTATTTCACTAAATACATATACATACTTTTTTAAACGGACGGATTTATTATTTCACTAAATACATATACATACTTTTATAAACGGACTAATTTATAATTTCACAATGGCTGAAAAAAAACAGCATTCTTGCAACAAACTCTAATTTATTTCTAAAACTGATTATAAAGAGTGAAATGTAATGAGAAGTCGTGGTAATAATAGCACTTGTAATACTAGTATAATATTTACTAAACATTCTTAACTAAACCAGAAACTACATTAATCCAGGGCCATTCATGCAACCAGAAAAAGAGCAACATGTAATTAAGTTTTAAGATTAATCATACAAAATAATCTCAAACTACCAAGATAAAATCATATTTTTACAATCAATATCTTGCTCGATAATATAAATATTTTTAAGGTTTAATATTTATTTCTGTTTAAGATGTTTGCATGAATTGTCCTTTATTCCCCAATCTAATTATATTATTGGACCCAGGACTGTGATCAACTTATTCTAAACCACAGCCCAAATGTTAGTTCCTAATACCGGTTGTGGGATCTTAAATGAAAAAGAAAACCTGAATGGTTGTTGAGAATACTTCACACTAAACTAAGATCGTGGAGTAGGTCAAAAAAGCCTGTGATAGGCCGAGTACTTTAAAAAGTCTGGCCGCGCCATCAAAGTTGAAACCAATCACCGAATTCAAATTGATTTTATAGTCAACCGTGATTTAGATATAGTTCTTTGCTGAAGAACTTCTTCGTCTGTACCAGGTTAAAAAGAAACACTGCAAGGGGATGTTGCATACTTATTACATATTGTTTATTTTGTTCTTGTATGTAATCATATACACATTTACAATGAGAACCAGAAAACTGTGGAAAAGGAAGACGACTTTTAGACCAGAGTTCTGATTTTAAGTACTCAATGTCCAATGTGCATCCAGTGCATCACTAACACAGATTTATTTCTAAGGGATTTTTAAATTTTAAGCTACAATAGTGAAACTATTTGCTTAGTGACAAAATTGATGATTGCTTTTATGCTTATTCAACAATTTTCAGGTTTTCACTGTAGCATTTGCTTCATGGCAGGGGCGGATGCAGGGGGGGGCGGGGGACATTTGCCCCCCCCTGAGATTTCGAGGCATAAAATGTTCCCATTTTGATAAATGTTATTGTTAGCGATAAATTTAGAATTAGAAATTTGTAAGAAACTAGACTTAAGTTATAAAATTGTTCATAACTATAAGTAATGTTCCTTAATTAATACTCATTTATCAAAATTGTAATATTGTTCCTAATTTTCATGCATTTAAGTATAACTAGTAATTTCTTTTTGTTCTTAAATTGCTAATGCTCCTATTATTGTTCCTGTTCCTAATACTGTGTCCGACCCACCTTAAATCCCTGTCCTAATCCATTATTTTTGTTCCTAATTCCTGAACAATCTTTTAATTGTTCCTAAATCCCTGTCTGAATCCTTTAATTTTTTCCTAATTCCTGAACAATCTTTTAATTGTTCCTAAATTCCTGTCCTAATCCTTTATTTCTGTTCCTAATTCCTGAACAATCTTTTAATAGTTCCTAAATTCCTGTTCTAATCCTTTGATTTTGTTCCTAAAATTTAAAAATCTAGTTTTTTAGTCTTTAGTCATTAATTTTGACTCTTTTTGAGTCTTTTAAGTCAAAAAAAATTTTTGTTCCTAATTATTAATTTTTTTGTTCCTAAAAAATCTTGCCCCCCCCCCCCCTCACTTAAATCCTGTATCCGCCCCTGCTTCATGGCGTTGATCTTTTGCTTTCTCATAGATCATAATGCGTTTGCCCTCCAGCATTTTCTCTACGTACATAATTTGCTCTAAATGCTATTTGATCCATGAAACATCAGATAGGGCTTGACTCGCTTGACCCCTGCCATTTAGGGTTATTTTATTCATTTTATAAGAGGGACAACGCACATACGACTGGAAACAGTTAGAATATGTAGATTAGTTGGCTGCACAAGGTATAAGATATAAATATCAAATGACTTAAAGAGCAAATATTGATAAAGCGCCAAATTCCTTGTCCATATATCTCGATAAAGTGCCATGAAATTGTCACGGATCAGGTAGGTAGAGGGTGCAGGGTTGCCGCGTACCGGTGTCTTACAAGCCGGTATGCGACGTTTGAAAGTTTTATGTACAGGATGCACAGTGGGCGTACAGTAGGGCGCTATCTCAATCTATCTCAATCATAAAGCTAAAAAACAGAATAAGATACGTTTTCAGAATTAGTTTTTTAAATAATTAAATAACGACGACATAAAATTTAAAAAGTTCTTCAATAAACTACAGACGTCATGTATCGGTTGAAAAAATAAAAATTAACTGTTATAATTAAAATATATGTAATATCTTTATTTAATATTTATTTTTAGTCATGAAAATGGTTCCTCATTGTTCATTTTTTATCCAAATCCAAATCTTGGTAACACATTTCCCCCTTCCACCCGTAGCTGATCATGGTTTTGACTATTAAAATGAGAAAGTTCTGTGTAAAACAAAGTACAGTACAGTACAGTACAGTACAGTACAAACAAAGTACAAATGTTCCAATCATCTTCAACTATTTATCTTGATACAACGTCTTGAAGAATAAAAAAACAGCATTTTACCACTTTTAAAATAAAAATATTCTCTAGCAGACGTCACTTTATTATGAACATCGGAATTAGGTAGTATAACGCTTTTTCTATCTCATATTTGTCTCTTAATCCTCATGTTTATTGAGACACCCTGTTTAAACTCTCATACTCAAAAGACAAATATTTTTCAGTTTACAAATTGTCTTGCTGTAAAAATATTGAAAAATAAAAAAACAGGTCTATAAAATACATTTAGCTATCTACTTATATTTACTTTTCTCTGTGTATACGGTTAGATGCTTTCACATCTTGACAAAGATTTAAATCTTTCAGAAATTACCTTGTTGGTTTCCATCAGACCGGATTTAAATCGCAAAAAACTTTTCACCATAATATCAGTTCTTTAAACCCATATTAGACAAACCTAGCATTGTGTTAGTGTTAGATAACACCCAATTCTAGGAATTATTAGGTTTCTATAAGGATAAGGTTTTTGAATTCGTTTATGGAAACTAAAACTAATGTTCTGTCCGGGTAAATAATTGTAAAAAACGTTTCTTCTGCTGACTGAAACAACTGGTGAAGTATTGTAAAATACTGCGAAGCAATTATTAAAAAATTGTAAACCGTAAGTATGTCTCACCGGTATCAACTGTTTTTCTCTACAATACTGCACTTTCGACTCACCTATCATGTATAACTACTCAGACTAGTCATTCCCTTTAAATCTTCGTATTAATGGCACCACAATGCTGAAGGCCTGCTGGCAGTTTAAAGCCGGTTCGGTCTCAAAGTTGATGCACAATTTTCATTACTGTCAAAATGGCACCAACATTAGAATATTTCCAGGAGACATTTCTGAACTTCAATCATTTTTTAAATCTGAACTGTCCTATTGACAAAGAAACATTTAAACAAATTCCTATGGTTCTCTATCTAGTTATATAACTCTGTTAAGCTTCCTAAATCTGAAAAACCTGGAAGAACATTTTTCTAAAATTTTATTTCACAAAACAGTTTATTAAGAAATTCAAAAGATACAGGAAATGCAAGGTATAAAGTTCATCATGTATTGATGTAAATAAATTGTAAAATTAATTTCCGATTTATACTATTCAGGCTCGGCATCATTATATATATATACAACAAACAAACAACTAATTAACAATAAATAAATAAATAAATAGATAAAAAAGATTAATAAGAAATAAAACAAAAACATATTTTTGAGAACAATTTTCCAAAAAAAAACTATTTCCGGAGTTATGTTTTTAATAATACGAAAAACAAAAAATTCTGGGTTATTGACCCCCATTTTGCACTGTAAAAGTATAAAATTTCATATAAACACTAATTCAAGATTATTGTTTCTGAAACTCTGGTTTCAATTCAAGACAAGATACCAGAAATTACATTGCAAGTACAACTGAACACGTACATAGCTACCAGATTTTGATTTACACATCGAGATCTATAAATGTTAAAAAACGACATAAAAACTGGTGAAAAATGACATTGCTTAGATTATTATATTCAATTGCATTAGCAAAGTGTCTTCTTTAATAAGTTTTATATTGAATAAATGCAAATTACAACAAATTTCCAAACAAAGCACAAAAAAATTGACAGTGAGAAAGCGATTTGTAAGTTGCAGGATATAGGATTGACATAGTTTTAAACATTCGGTTTCTTTCTTTAGATTTAATCATAAAAATTTTACAAATATGCATTCATCATTGATTCTATATAGATAGATATATATCTTTACCCTTATCCTTCTGTAATATCCTCAGAGAAGACGGAGTTTAAACTTTCTCCTCCGTTGCACATCTCGGTGCCTGAATACATGGGCAGTCTTTATATACAGATAATCACAGACAGGGGCAATTTTTAAGAGATATTCCGATTCAGTGAAAACATAATTTCCTATAAACCCCGAAAAGTAAACTCTATTTGACAGATATATTTACTCTTTCAAATCCCGCCTCAGAACTTTCAGCATCAGGCAAGATAAAGTATAAAAAGTTGACCCGATACTAACCTGAAAATCCTGCCATATCTCGTATCTCTCCCAAACTTCTCCACTCCGACTTCAGCTTGCAATTAAGAGACGCATCCTGATGAGAAAGTGTAGCATTCGGAGTAAAACTCCGCTTCACAAAGTTCTCATCAAACTTTTTCTTTGGAGAGATTGATCCCAACTCTGCGAAGATATAGGTTACAGGAATAGGTTTGGATTGACTTGAAACCTGGTTTTCACTCTCATTAAGACCATCGTTGATTAGCTCTGGGTTGTCTAGTAAACAGTTCCCACGGTGTTCTAACCTAGTTGGAGTAACTAAACCAGGATTCTGATCTTTCGAAGAATTAAACCTGGACTCCAGTAGAGCAGATCTTCGCCTAAAAATCAAGATTTAAAGTGATGGTTTATGAATACTCACAAGCATAATCAAAAGATAAATAAATGAGCACATTACGCTACCGGAAAAATAATGTGATATTTACTATATTACTGGATCCCCTTACGGCGAAAACGGTGTTAACGTAAAAAAGTCGATCTAGGCAAGTAATAGATCAGCAGTTTTAGTTCAGACTGTACACGTTTTAGAGACACTCAAGCGGGTTTCGATATGTTTAAAAAGAAAGACCTCTCATCTCGATGGAGAGTCAAAGGTTTCAAGGGTACCATTGTGAATTGGACATTTTCCTCTTTGCATGGAGGGTCACTTGAAATTACGCTTACAGTCCCTTTAAACCACAACTTAAAAGTTTGTTCACTGAATATCGAATGCAGGTTATCACAAACTAAATTTCTACCATCTGTGGTTTATTAACTATGACGACAGAAACATCCGATTTACATAAACATGGCTTCGATCGAACAAAAGAGATAAATTTATCGTACAACACTTTCTTAATTTTTGGCTATCACTCATTTTTTATGATGAAATGACAATAAAAATGACGAAGTATGAATTCAAGGTAGCTGCATTAACAAAAAATGGAATACAATGAATGCTTATTAGATATAAAAAAATACCTTTTTTAATTTGGCTTTTTGATTCATCATCACTCTTTAGTTTAAACTTGTAATATTCGAAACTTGTTTGAAAATATGAAAAAGATTTTCAAACCTGTGTTCATTGTAGCCCTCTGTATTTATATAGTTGGAGAAAATTTCCAGATTTAGGTCGTCTTCATCTTTCCAGATTCTTTCCTCAAACTCCTTGATTAATTATTTTAGCGTATTACGTAGTTTCAAGTGACCTTCAAACAAAGATAGCAATGCCGGATTCGCAACGGTACTCTTCAAACTTTCATCTTATCAATAATGTGGAACACATTGCCATTTTCTAAGTTTTTAAGTGTTTAAATCTGATAATATTACATTGTTTCCTGTAGTAGAAATGCAAAAGTCAGTTTTGTAGAGAATTCAATATTAAAAATTATCAGTTTTATAAATTAAAAACATAAACATCTAATTTACAACGTGATCTGACAACGTTTTTAAGGGACCCGTTGTGAATCGGGCATTATCTTTGTTTGGAGGATCCTTTTAAGTTACACAGTCCCTTTTAAAATAAATTATAATAATAAATATATGTTTTCCTTACCTCTGGTATTGGAGAGCTCGGAGACATAGTTGCATAGGTATCTGGAGAGAACCTTATCTTGGAGTAATCCGAAGCTAGCTCCGAAGTCTGATTAAGGTTGTGTAGGAAGAAGTCTGGTTTTACTGGATTGGTTTCTTGTTGTACATACTCCGATACATCTGTAGAGTTGGTCAACGTCATATTACTGCTGATAGTTGACCTCCTTCACACAAATTATTGAATTAATATGGGATTTAAGCTTAACGGTTACCAGAGAATCCTTCCTTAACTTTAACTTTGAATCGTTGGTTCAAATTTGAACCAGTAGTAGATAGCATAGCGCCGTAGCTAAAACTCTTTAAATTTGGTTCGTGTCCATTTATAAGTATTTATAAGTATAAGCATTGTGGGTATTTTGAGTTACTTTTCATTAAAAAATTGCCGTAAAAAGTTCACATCAAATGTGAAGATCTGGCAAATATGTGATATATAAAAATCCGCAAGTTTACCAAAAAGAAAAATCCTGAGATGGTAATTTTTAAATTGTCGATATCGAGATCAAGCATTGATCACGATCTTCTTTTAATCTTCAGATTAGCTTAATCTTTAGAGAAAGTAGAGATGTTCAAAATCAAGAGATCACGCAGATTCTTCGTAAAATTCAAAAGTGTCCACTGCAGATATAGATATCAAGCAATCAAGGTTATGGATATTCATCACAAAAGTTCCCTGCTCCGGTGACTCATCTTTACCCCTGTTAATATTGAACATAATTTCTTGTCAATGTTTTAAATATTTCCGAGAAAAGTTGGAAGCTGAGATTAGGACCTCGGGCTTTTATCTCAAAGCATATAAATAAAGACCTAAAACAATTTTACTAAGAAATGACAAAGCGTTTCTGTGAAAACTGAATCATATTAAGATTTGATTTCAATTTCTCGGAATTGATGGGTGAGCGTTTTCTCTATTTACTTATTTATTATTATTTTCCAGACAGGAAAAATTCATGCAAGGTGTAACATGATGGTAACAAAACAACTTGAAGATCGTCTTTGATTTATGAAATTATTTTGCGACATTTATTTGTAAACCTAACGTTAGAAGTAAAAAAATGGTGTTAGGTACTTTCCCAAAGGCACTATTCCAAGGGCGACTTCCTAAGTGACAATTTCCCAAGCGGACAGACTTGGGAAGTTGCCGCCTGGGAAATTGCACGTTTGGAAAGTTGCCACTTAACCTTGGCAAGTTGCCACTTAGAAAAAATCCTTTAGGAAAGTGCCTATAACATCGTAATAATTACAAAAACCAATAGTCCTGTCATTCCCAAAATGTGGTCTGCCTTTGTTATGCTTTCAATATTACCGGAGATATGAAGCATTTTGTTCAGATTTCAGCAGTTTTGGTTTTATTTAATAAATTAAAATCTAAACGAAATTCTTAGAATCTCTGGGTAATATTGACGGTACAAAACAAGCAGACCACATTTAGAAATTTCAATGAATTTTGTAATTATTTTTAAAACAATAGATACATTGAAATGTAGGTTGACGAATGAATAACAAAATATTTACAAAGGTCAAGGACGACCTTCAAGTCGTCTTTCTGCTGTCATAATCTTGGGAAATCTTTAGTGCTGAAGACGGTTAAACAGGCCGATTCATTTGTATAACATGGCTTGGGGGCTTATATCTTTTAATAAAAATCAGTTCCTCAACCCCAACCCTCCTTCTCAACTATTTTAGAAAGCTTAGTGCAAATCTAGGCGAAGATAATAAATCAAAATAATAGGCCTATAAGTAAATAATAAACTTTTTAATACGTAAAGTTAGTTTGTACAAAGATAAATCCTATTTTCAGGAATACAATCTAAACCAGAGATAAGAGAGTTACAGAGATCGATTAATCAGCTAAAATATGCAATATTTTCCACAGCATGTTCTATTGTGTACAAGTACTGTACACGACCAATCAGCAAACATCTGCATTCAGGGATATTTAAGGATCCTTTGGATATAAAACACAAAATCTTCAAAAAAGACTGAATTCATAAATGTTATGTTTCATGTTTAAGATTGGAGTATTTCTTTAAAAGTCGTACAACTTAACCCCTGATTAGGTATTATGTTCAACAAGTGGCCGTGAGATGGCACTCTAAAAACCTATCGTAAAAACGTAGTATGTCGTGCCGGGTCAACTTAGACCTACGTAGCCCACCCTGTGAAAGGAGATAAGCAGTCTGTGTAGTCTGTGATCTAATCCTTAAATCAGGTTTTCCATACTTCATTTTAGCAAGAAGAATTTTCATCCTTGCCGTGTAAGCAAGCTGGATAATAATTCCTTATTAAAATGGATTGAAGTCAGGAAAGCGTGAGACAATCTTGATCCTGATATATCTTCATATTATCAAATTTTCCTCCAAGAAGATATAAAAAGTACGGAAGATAATAGATGAGTACCTGGAGCCATACTGTCCCACCTTTCTTCCTTCATCCGGGAGAAAAGATCTGGGCTGTTTGGATACACGTCCCAGCAGCTGGGACAAGGGTTCAGGTGGGTTTGACAGAGATCTGGATATATTATCATCCTTGATATAACATCTAGCTCTAGGTGGGTGTTTAGTCTCTGATTTGTTTGTATCCTGGAGTCCTGGAGTAGGCTCGATGGGAGTGAGTGGATACAGTTTAGAACAGATCTGGTTGTTTTCTTCTTTATTAGGTTCTCTAATCCCTGGACAGAATATAAATATAAAACAAATATCTTAGTTTACTCAGGACGGATAAAGGTAAATCCTCCATTTCTTCTAAACATCCAGGCCCATCATTCATTTAACAACCTTGAAAAGGAACTTTCCTTGTAATTTCAAATAAAGACGGTTGACAACGTTATCATTTAAATCTATCTTTGTTCATTAATGTGGAAAATACTTAAATCTACTCTCTCAGTAGAACCAGATATGTGCCATGTTGATTATTAAGAGAGAAATCATAATTACAAATAATCAATTTTAAAGAGAACAAGATGAATATCTTATATTTTATTAGAAAAAGATTTGAAGGGTACCGTTATGAATCGGACACGGTCCCTTTATAATAGGATAGTCACATGAAATTACGCCATCAGTCCCTTTAAACATGATAAACATGATAACATGATAAACATGATAAACATGATAACATGATAAACATGAAATTACGCCTTCAGTCCCTTTAAGCATGATAAACCATGAAATTACGCCATCAGTCCCTTTAAACATGATAAACCATGAAAGTAATGCGTATTCAAAACACAATTTTAGCTTAATCTTTAGAATTAAAAACTGAATTAAATCTATTTCTTACAATATTTCTTTACCTGGAAAAGTAACGCTTGCTCTGAAAGATTCTTTGTTATTAGATTTCACCGATGAGCTGATTAGTCTGCTAGGTTGAGCTGATGAGCTGATTAGTCTACTTGGCTGAGCTGTTGAGCTTTTTATCCTACTAGGTTGAGCTGATGAGCTAGTGATCCTACTTGCTCCGCTATCACTAAAACTGCCAGTATTTCTACTTTTATCCTGTACAACATGTTTCATTTCTGTCCAAGCATCCTTATCCCCACACCACACCATGATATAGGATTCACTACGGAGAATATAGCAGAACAACAGGAAACATCCTGATCATGATCATATTTAGAAATATTTAAGGTTCAGGGCATTTAATAATATCAGTGACTTAAAAAGTTGCACGGACACTGCACTACTAGATATCCTGCTAGACCTACCTACTGAACCACTAGATATCCTGCTAGACCTACCTACTGAACCAATGGANTAATACCATAGTGAATATTATCAATGTTTTTGTTTCTTTAAACTGTATTTCTTGTTTATAAGAATCAACGGAGAGACTCACAGAAATAAACACTTTCTGAGTCAGAAAAAAAACCGGTATCTAGAACTACCTACTGAACCACTAGATATCCTGCTAGACCTACCTACTGAACCATTAGATATCCCGCAATTCTTACCTATTGAACTAATAGATATCCGTATTGACCTACCTACTGAACCATTAGATATCTTGCTAGACCTACCTACTGAACCACTAGATATCCTTCTACACCTACCTACTGGACCACTAGTTATCCTGTTAGACCTACCTACTGAATACTGGATATCCTGCTAGACCTACCTACTGAAGCACTGGATATCCCAAAAGTATATTCTGCAATAGAGTCTGCTCCTGCTGAGTTGCAGTAGATGATACTGAGAATAGTGTTGAGGATAAGGAGAAGTGTGATGAGGAAAACACGTTTCAAGGTTCCGAGACTGCGATTCACTGTGATCGTCATTTTAGATTCAAGGCTTGACGTGTTTAGCTCCCGGGACAGAGTAATCCAGGTTACACCAAGGACTAGGAGAAGAAAGGCAAGGAACACCGACATAATCGCGATAAATCTGATAAAATGGAAACCTCCAATGTTGAGCCACCACCCTCCATACTTAGAATCATTGAATCCACATCCGATGGAGAGTATTCCGATGATGATAGAAGGAGAACATGCAGAAACGAGGAACACCAGAATATACGAGAGCCTTAAACACAAACTAGTCAAAAATTATATTGAGTAAATAAACCGACCAATATATATATATATCGATGATTTCTGTGTATAGTTCTATTAATAATCTAGTTTTGTTCCTAGAGTGTTGAATACGTCTATGCTGTAGAAGGATTAGAGTTGATATACCGAGCTGAGCAGATAGACTTGTCAGTGTACTGATCTGTAACCCGGCTGAAGTGTAGTGGTTCCATTCCGTCGGAAGGAAACGGTTCAGAGTTATCATAAAAATCATATCTGACATTATTACTCCGCATGTTGTCACTACCTAGAGAAAAACAGATTAGATCATGATAAACTACCATGATAGGAAAACATTACCTTAAGAATAGTGATTAGTTTATTAGAGTTCTCCAGGTAGGATTTGATCAGGAGTCCCCAAGTTAAAACCGAGAGGATAAAACTGGTTAAACAACCGTATACAACGGGTTTAGATACTCCGTTCACTCTGATCCCGTCCCACTCCCGGGCAGGACGACTCACCAGCAGACCAAAGGTTCCCGTCCTGCTGCATTCACAGGTAGGGATCATCAACCCCGTCCTATTCGTGTATTTCAGCTTACAGTTCTCCGTAGGTTTAAGATTAAGTAAAGTTCTGTGAGAATCTCCAGGAATTTCGCCGCATTTAACATTTCTCAGAGTTTGGTTGAAAGAACTGTTGAGATAAGTAAATTGTATAGAAATGATAAAATCCTCCTCAATGGATATGGTATCAACAGGATTGTAGGTAAACTCTGATTTTCTTATCCTGTTCTCGGATTCCAATGCAATGGTTATAAGATGGGAATTTATCTCGTATGCAGAAATTCTGTGCCCGGAGTTAAGATATTCCCGAACCGTCAGATGCAGTTGCTCCATGAATATTACACTAACGATAAACACTTCGTCCTTAATGTTGGAGTTTCGAGTTAGGTTTGGAGAAAGATAAACCTGGATTCCTGATTTAAAAGAATCATTAATTTCCCAGTTAGAACTTGTGTTCGCTCCCAGCAAAGTTGTATCATTCTTAACCTAGTAAAATAAGATTAGTTTTATAAACAGCTTATTGACAGTTCTGTCAAAATAAAATTTTGGAAAATATGCACTTTTGAAGAAAAATAGAAAGAAAATAAATACGGCCACATGTTCTGTTTTCTGAGATTTGAGATCAATTTTAATTATTTATTACTTTATAAATGTTTTGGTAATTTTACAATTACATTAATTGGATATCCTAAGACCCAAGGGAATCCAAGGGAAAGAAATTTTTGGAATAGAATCTTTCAATTGTTTAAGTAAATTTCGCAGAGCGGGATATTATTTTACTTTTTATCCTAACCAAGGAACAAATAAGCATCATAAAACGGTTCACAAAAATAATAATTGGCGAAACAATCGGGGATCAGTAATTTTTGTCAAGAGGTGGTAAAAAAAATTGTTAATTTTTTTTGGATTTTTTAGAAAATGTCAAAAAAAATGAAATCTTAAAACTCGCGTAGATTTAATTTTATAACATAAACTGACGAGTAGGAAGAAGTGAGAAATAGAGGGAATACTGAACAATTCTGTTAGAATGACTTTATACAATTTTGGATTGAGCTTTGATAAAACATTAAAAGATAATTTGCTAAAAACAGTTTACCTGTTTCAGATTTATCTTTGAAATCTGAGTTTCTCCGTAAGGATGGAAGGAGAAATTACTGGAGTTAGATATCTCCAGTTCTCTTCCCATAATAAGACTGGTTCTTCTTCATGTTTTGATCATTTTAACAAAATGTTGAATAATTTTTTTTCGTTCCGACGGAAATAAACCGCTACACATTTTTAAACGCTACCGGATGAAACACCACAAAAGGAAAAGGCCATTCTATTTAGGTTAAAATTTTATAGAAAGGGTTGGAAATTGTCTTTTGTAGTGTTAGGACATTTTATGAAGGATCTTTCTTAAATGGAAATTACAAATACAGGACATTTCATACATAGGACATTTTATAGCTAGGACATTTAATAGATAGGACATTTCATTGTACAGGCATTTCATATACAGGACATTTGACAGATATAACAATTGATAGATAGGAAATTAAATAGACAAAGTAGATTTTTAGACAAAAAACTTCACATTTAGACAATAACTCATCCAGATAGGAAAAATAAAATGAAATATAAAAAAAACATTTTCCTTAATACCATAGTGAATATTATCAATGTTTTTGTTTCTTTAAACTGTATTTCTTGTTTATAAGAATCAATGGAGAGACTCGCAGAAATAAACACTTTCTGAGTCAGAAAAAAAACCGGTATCTTTGATTAGATTAAATTGGTAAGGTATCGTTGTAAATCGGTCATTGTCATCTTTAGCATGGAGGATCACTTGAAATAACACTGACAGTCCCTTTAAGTGTCCAAGATCCAAGATCCTAGATATAGAGATGGATCGAAATATAATTAAATGCAAACCCCTATTAAATCCCTTAATCTAAAGTTTCATTAATGGCCTAAGCGAGAAAATAAATAATCAATTGCCTGAGTAGTTCAAGGATATCTCCGATTCTCTCCTTCAATATAAACCTGAACAATTAAATTAGAAAATAAGAAAGAAAGAATTTAATATTATCCTACCTTTTTGCTTCACTGAGTAGACACTTGATAAGTTTGAAGAATTCTGTTTTGAAGGATTTGATTTGGTTTGTCCAGGGGTATCTATACCCATGAAGAGCATTGTCGGAGTTTTGTAAATATGTCATAGTATCTGCCACAACCTAAAACAACAATATAGATACACGGTGTTTTTTATAAAGTGTTATTTTTCATTCCGTAGGAGATAGATAAAAATCCACCAAAAAGATAACAAATCGTCCAGTACTTCAGCAAACCTAAACATTTGCGAAACTATTTCAAAATAATGGATAATCCTATAAAAAAAACATCAGAACGCAGTTATTAGAATTGAACGATGGCCAAGGCGTTGAAACATTTTAAAGTTTTAATGATCATGGGATTTTCTTCAACTTATTACTAAAAATGATCAAGGGTTGGGAACAGTCTCATCTAAAAAACTAGTTTATAAACCTGATCAAGGGTTGGGAACAGTAAATCTAGAGAACTATAGTTTATAAACCTGATCAAGGGTTGGAAAGAGCCTCATCTAAAAAACTAGTTTATAACCTGATCAAGGGTTGGGAAGGAACAGTCACATCTAAAAAACTAGTTTATAAACCTGATCAAGGGTTGGGAACAGTAAATCTAGAGAACTATAGTTTATAAACCTGATCAAGGGTTGGGAACAGTCTCATCTAAAAAACTAGTTTACAAACCTGATCAAGGGTTGTTAACAGTAAATCTAAAGAACTAAACTTTATAAACCTGATCAAGGGTTGGGAACAGTAAATCTAGAGAACTATAGTTTATAAACCTGATCAAGGGTTGGAAACAGTAAATCTAGAGAACTATAGTTTATAAACCTGATCAAGGTTTGGAAACAGTAAATTTAGAGAACTAGTTTATAAACCTGATCAAGGGTTGGGAATAGTTAAATCTTGAAAACTATTTTATAAACCTGATCAAGGGTTGGAAACAGTCTCATGTCGAGCACTAACCTGGAGAACTAGTTTCCACTCTTCAATTCGTAAAGATCCAGAGCACAGATCGTTTAGGTTCATCACAATATCCCTACCCAGGGTATCCGTATCCCCTTCTCTAGTGTATCCTGGATATAAACAAGTTAGGAGAGAACAAAGGTTTCCTTCAACCCAATCTAAGCTATGAACAAAAGGAACGGTTTCATACCAAAGCTCTCCAATAAGGAAAAATCCTAAAAAGTTTTTCGAAGAAAAAACTTTTAGTTCCCTGCAGGCAATCATTCTTTGGAAAATAAAAGAAAACCCAAGTTTTCCAAATTTAATAATTTAATATACATATTATGCAAATTCTTAAACTTAGGTTTCAGGCTAGAGAGCAGAACCATGACAACATTGCTCGTCAACTTTTCAAACTTTTCATTGCATCCTCGCTAGTTCCTAGACTACACACCAAACACAGGAAGATAAATAATAATTCAAATAGTAAACCAAAATTACAAATATTTTATTAAGAAAGTTCTCAAATGTTCAGAATTTATGTATTCTGATATAGGAAGTAACGTTTTAATACCGATACATATCTAAAAATCAAATAAAACCCCCAAAACCCTACCATATACTGTTAAATAAACTCAACCGAAGTTACTTTCATATACTTTAGAATAAATATAAAGATGGCTTAATCTCAGTTTTATAATAAATGTATAGATGGTTTAATCTAAGCTTTAGAATAAATGTGTAGATGGTTTAATCTCAGCTTCAGAATAAATGTATAGATGGTTTAATCTCAGTTTAGAATAAATGTATAGATGGTTTAATCTCAGTTTAGAATAAATGTATAGATGGTTTAATCACAGCTTCAGAATAAATGTATAGATGGTTTAATCTCAGTTTTAGAATAAATGTACAGATGGTTTAATCTCAGCTTTAGAATAAATGTGTAGATGGTTTAATTTCAGCTTCAGAATAAATGTATAGATGGTTTAATCTCAGTTTAGAATAAATGTATAGATGGTTTAATCTCAGCTTTAGAATAAATATGAAGATGGTTTAATCTCAGCTTTAGAATAAATGTATAGATTGTTTAATCACAGTTTTAGAATACATATATAGATGGTTTAATCTCAGCTTTAGAATAAATATGAAGATTGTTTAATCACAGTTTTAGAATACATATATAGATGGTTTAATCTCAGCTTTAGAATAAATATAAAGATAGTTTAATCTCAGTTTTAGAATAAATGTATAAATGGTTTAATCTCAGCTTTAGAATAAATATATAGATGGTTTAATCTCAGCTTTAGAATACATATAAAGATGGTTTAATCACAGCTTTAGAATACATATAAAGATGGTTTAATCACAGCTTTTTAATAAATATATAAATGGTTTATCTCAGCTTAAGAACAAATATGAAGATGGTTTAATCACAGCTTTAGAGTAAATATAAAGATGGTTCTATCACAGCTTTAGAGTAAATAAAAAGATGGTTTAATCACAGATTTAGAATAAATATAAAGATGGTTTAATCTTAGCTTTAGAATAAATATCAAGATGGTTTAATCTCAGCTTTAGAATAAATATCAAGATGGTTTAATCTCAGCTTTAGAATAAATATAAAGATGGTTTAATCTCAGTTTAGAATAAATATAAAGATGGTTTAATCTCAGTTTTAGAACAAATATAAAGATGGTTTAATCTCAGTTTAGAAAAGTTTCTTTCCAAGACAATCATAACTTGGTAAGTCCTGGTGTATTAAGAAAAGCTTTTCAACATAATCCAATCAAACTTTTTTTTAAACAAAATAAATATTCTATTCATTGATTTGAAGGGATTGGCTAAGGTTAGGTTTAGTGACTATACAATCATAGGCCTTTTTAAAATCACAGTGATCTAAAGGTTGCAAGGTCTAACGCAAACATTTATAAGAATTTGTTAGACCACCTTAACATGTATGGCTACAAAAGAGCGTAAGAGATGAGTGAAATAAAATCAAAGGCCAAATGTGTTGTGACATTGTAAAGTCTTGAAAATAGATGCAACTTTTTTATCAGTCTGGATCTAGGTGAAGGTTCTCAATTTTCCTCGTCAGGCTTACAGAAACCAATTTCAATTTCTGAACATTCCTTTTCCTATAAAAACCAGTCCAGGTCCATTAGATAAAATTGTCACACTGTGCTAGCGTTTTATATAATGTGAACTAGTCATTATGTTTAATGTGTATCAACCATGTTTACTGTTTAGTGATCAAAGTAAGTATAAGTGTACAAATCAACAAAATAAATTTATTACAAAACAAGGACAGAAAAGAAAGAGCTTTTATTGAAAACTAGCTTGGGAACCCAGCGTTGCCCAATGCCCAGGTTATTCAAAGTTACTCCTGAAGTTAACCCGTACTTGGTCTTAAATTACGATTTTAGCTATTTTTCCCTATAAAAGTCAACCCACTCAACCAAGCTCAGCATATTCTTGTGGTTCGGATGATCGGATATCCAAAAAAATAAACTGATATTAGCACCTTTATATATAGAGAGAAAAGGATGATATAGATACGGTTAAGGACGGTATAGTAACGATATAGGCAAGGGTGAGGATAACACAACAACGATAAAGGATTGTACAGAAACGATACAGATAAGGAGGGTCCGGAACGGAAACGATAAGAAAAAAATGTTACGGAACAGTATGGATAGGATAAGGACTTTATGGCTCAGATATGGATGAAAGGGTTGTATGAATAATATTAGGATGAAGGGAGGGAAGGGTTGTATGAATAATATTAGGATGAAGGGAGGGAAGGGTTGTATGGATAGTATAAGGATGAAGGGAGGGAAGGGTTGTATGGATAGTATAAGGATGAAGGGATGAAAGGGAATTGTATGGATAGTATAAGGATGAAGGGATGAAAGGGAATTGTATGGATAGTATAAGGATGAAGGGATGAAAGGGAATTGTATGGATAGTATAAGGATGAAGGGATGAAAGGGAATTGTATGGATAGTATAAGGATGAAGGGATGAAAGGGAATTGTATGGATAGTATAAGGATGAAGGGATGAAAGGGAATTGTATGGATAGTATAAGGATGAAGGGATGAAAGGGAATTGTATGGATAGTATAAGGATGAAGGGATGAAAGGGAATTGTATGGATAGTATAAGGATGAAGGGATGAAAGGGAATTGTATGGATAGTATAAGGATGAAGGGATGAAAGGGAATTGTATGAATAGTATAAGGATGAAGGGATGAAAGGGAATTGTATGAATAGTATAAGGATGAAGGGATGAAAGGGAATTGTATGAATAGTATAAGGATGAAGGGATGAAAGGGAATTGTATGAATAGTATAAGGATGAAGGGATGAAAGGGAATTGTATGAATAGTATAAGGATGAAGGGATGAAAGGGAATTGTATGAATAGTATAAGGATGAAGGGATGAAAGGGAATTGTATGAATAGTATAAGGATGAAGGGATGAAAGGGAATTGTATAGATAGTATAAGGATGAAGGGAGGGAAGGGTTGTTTGGATAGTATAAGGATGAAGAGAGAGAAGAAAGATATGGATTGGATATAGAATCACATCCAGTCATTGAAATAATATAATTTTTATTCCCTACAAATTTTTTCTAAAGCTTCGACGCTTTTTAATTTATCGTTTAAGCCATATGATGTTTGATTTTATTAGAAAAAATGCAGGAAAATGCCAAGTTGGTTGCCTTTATTGAAATTCAACCCAATACCATATCTAACCTAAACATACAAACTAGTATACATTTAGGGTTGGGGTTGTAGGTTATAGTATTTGCTTAATTACTGTGTTTAACTAAGGTTTCAATTAAACTCCTAGATTGGTTTGGAGTAGAGCTCGCAAACTCCAATACTCTTGAGGTAGACCACCAGACTCAAATACAGAGAGAGATCCCTACCTTTAACTCTAAAGAGAGAGATCCCAAGCTGCAACTCTAAAGAGAGATCCCCAGCTTCAACTCTAGCGAGATATACCTAGCTTCAACCCCAGAGAGAGATCCCTAGTTTCAACTCTACAGAGAGAGATCCCTAGCTTCAACTCTACAGAGAGATCCCTAGCTCCAACCCCAGAGAGAGATCCCTAGCTTCAACCCCAGAGAGAGATCCCTAGCTTCAACTCTACAGAGAGAGATCCCTAGCTCCAACTCTAGAGGAGCTGTGTAGCTCTAACCCTAGAGGGAGCTGTCATCTCCAACCCTAGAGGGAACTGTCTATCTCTAACCCTAGAGGGAGCAGTCTAGCTTTAACCCTAGAGGGAGCTGTCTAGCGCCAACCCTAGAGGGAACTGTCTATCTCTAACACTAGAGGTAGCAGTCCACTTCAACCCTAGAGGGAGCTGTCTAGCTCCAACCCTAGAGGGAACTGATCCCTAGCTTCAACCCCAGAGAGAGATCCCTAGCTTCAACTCTACAGAGAGAGATCCCTAGCTCCAACTCTAGAGGAGCTGTGTAGCTCTAACCCTAGAGGGAGCTGTCGAGCTCCAACCCTAGAGGGAGCTGTCAAGCTCCAATCTTAAAAAAAAGATCTCTAACTTCAACTCTTAGATTGAGATGTCTAGCTCCCTAGAGTTAAAAGCTCCTATACTAAAAATGGGTCGTGAGAGATGGGAGGAATTGAGGAAATAGCGCCCATGAACATATCAATAATTAAAGACATGGTCAACTCCATATAATATCAGACCTAGTCCAAATTCAAAGGTATTCATCCTTTCCATTCCCGCCTGGTGGACTCAATTCCATCCAACCATGGTTCTTTAAACTCTCTCATTGTATTAAAACAAGACTACAATAGAAGGAGATATTGTATCTTGGAACAAAAACTTGTTTCAGAAAAACACAGGATTCTTCTCCGAAATAGATTTCTCTTATTTAAAGATGATTCTGAAACCTCCATCTCTGTTTCCAACTGCCAAGATGATGATATATTGAACGAAAATTAATCCAACATCTTTTTCATGAATGCAAATATCAATCCATGTAAATCTCTTGTTTGTCGTCGAAAGCACATAAAAACATGAATATAAACAAAACAGAAAACTAAGATGGACATCAATGCTCGTGAACATTGAGAGTCATGTCACAAAAGTCGTTATTTTAGATAATATAGTTTAATTATTTGGTTACCTAGCCGCGGTGCTTGGCCCAGAAATTTTGCTAAAAACTTGTATTTATTCCTAAACTTCCCATGTTTATTGTTAAATCTTCTAATCCTCGTACATCCTAAAATCTTCATCTTGACTTGTTTTTTGAACCTGATGATGATTTTTATCTAATCTAGCAGAATTTATTGTTTTAAATACAAAGGGTTTCATACAGGGGTGTTTCTCGAAAAAGTATTCCCCCCCCCTTTATGAAAACAATTTCCCCCAGAAGTGCTTGCGTGCAAAAAAAAAGAGAAAATAAATGATTTGTAGTGGAAAATAAATTTATTTTTGGGTAAAAAGTATCGAAAAGTGTGAAAAAACTTTCCCTTTGATGTCCACGTTTTCATCCCCCCTCTCCAAATGAACAACAACCCCACCCCCCAGGGGTATATTTCTGAAAATATACACCCCTGTCAACTTCAATGTACTCAATCAACTTTACATAGATAAATTGTGTTTGAAGTCCTGAAAATCTGATGTTTAATAAAATCATGAATTCAGGAAGAACAATAAGTTTCAGAAAAACTCAATAAAATAATTGATGAGCCTAGACGTGCCTTGAATAAAATTGAGTAGATCTGTGCAGGGGTTTCAACGGATGCAGAGAATGAAAGTATATCTGTCAAAGAAATGTTAACCGAACCAAACCCGGAAATTTTTACATAAACTATAAGGATAATTTGTCCAAACCCGGTCCTTCTTATCCAAATTAAAGAGATCTTTTCTAGATATATTCTAGATATAGTATATATTATAGATATATTCTAGATATATTCTAGATATATTATAGATATATTCTAGATATATTCTAGATATATTATAGATATATTCCAGATATATTCTAGAAATATTCTAGAAATATTCTAGATATATTCTAGAAATATTCTAGATATATTCTAGATATATTCTAGATATATTCTAGAAATATTCTAGATATATTCGATAGATCATAGGTTAGACCATAAGATAGACCATTAGATAGGTCATAGAATAGGTCATATGATAGGTCAAAGGATAGGTCAAAGGATTGGTCAAAGGATAGGTCAAAGGATAGGTCAAAGGATAGGTCATAGGATAGATCATAGAATAGATCATTGGATAGATTTTAGGATAGATTATAGGATAGATCATAGGATATATCATAGGATAGATCATAGGATATATCATAGGATAGATCATAGGATAGACCATAGGATAGGTTATAGAATGGGTCATATGGTAGGTCAAAGGATAGGTCATAGGATTGATCATAGGATAGATCATAGGATAGATAATAAGATATAGAATAGATTGAAGGATAGAAACCAGACCCCCGGCACTTTTTTATAAAGAAAAACCAAGCTAACCCCCGGTAATTTTTAAAGTTTAAAGCTAAACCAAGCTAACCCCCGGTAATTGTTATCCCAAATTGAATTAAACCAAGCTAAACTCCGGTAATTGTTATCCAAAGTTAAATTAAACCAAGCTAACACCCGGTAATTTTTATACAAAGTGTAAAATTAATCCAAGATAACCCCCGGTAACTTTTATCCAAAGTGTAAAATTAAACCAAGATAACCCCCGGTAACTTTTATCCAAAGTGTAAAGTTAAACCAAGCTAACCCCGGTAATTTTTATCCAAAGCTTAAAGATAAACTAAAAATCCTAGTACTTTGTATCCAAAGTATAGGGATAGATAGATGAAGATTACCAAATCCAACCCGACAATTTGAATCCGATTATATTGATAAGACGCACCATCTGATATACCTGAGATTATTGTCTGAAGATGATCTTGAACCAGGAGAATATTCTTCTTCACGCATTCAGACTAAAGTAAGAGAAAGAACACTTTATAAGAAGAAAATCAGACTTAATTTATGAAAGTCTAAACCATAATTGTTCTGTAAATCGATCGGTAAAGTCTTTTTTTTCTGAATATTTTTGTAATGAACTATAAAAACGCTGGATTTCAAAATCAATAAAATTAAAAATTAAAACCTGATACATTAATTTTTGCTTTAAAAGGATTCATTATTGAATTCTAGCCATTTAAGACAAATATAGTGGCTTAGATCGAGTATTTAGAATAAGAGAAATTCAGACTAGTTTAAATAGTTGAACAAACATTTTGTTATTTAGAGATACAGAATATATCTAAAGTTTAAACTTTTCATACAACTTAGATAAGATTGTTTGTATAAATTAATCTACCTCGTCAATGTTTCCCCATTTTCCAGGATCTCCAGGAGATCTTTGCTCACATTTCCTCATCACAAACCCCTCATCATCCCCGGAGCAAGGTCTCCTGAATCAATGTAGAAGTTTTTATGCTTGGTTTGTTTTATGTTTTTATTCAGCTTATTCTTGAGAACTTTGCAACAAATTCTTGTTTTCTCAGCTCATCTATGTTCAAAATCAAACAAATCAGAGTTTTTGATCAGGTCTGTTCAACCTTTTCTTCAATAGTTCGGTTAAATCTGAGAGAGTTTAGCTTAAATTTGTTAATCTTGGAGAGTTTAGTTTATCTCTGTTTAATCTTGAAGAGTTTAGTTTATCTCTGTTCAATCTTGGAGAGTTTAGCTTATCTCTGTTAAATCTGGGAGAGTTTAGCTTATCTCTATTAAATCTGGGAGAGTTTAGCTTATATCTGTTTAATCTAGGAGAGTTTAGCTTATATTTGTTAATCTTGGAGAGTTTAGCTTATCTCTGTTTAATCTGTGAGAGTTTAGCTTATCTTTGTTAATCTTGGAGAGTTTAGCTTATCTCTGTTTATCTAGGGAGAGTTTAGCTTATCTCTGTTTAATTGTGGTGAGTTAAGCTTATCTCTGTTTTATCTTGGAGAGTTTAGCTTATCTCTGTTTAATCTTGGCACGTAGTGTTTGGCATCCGTTAAAAGACTCCCAATTTTACAATGTTTAAAGGGACTGTAGACGAAGTTTCAAGTGACCCTCAATTAAAAGCTTTACCTGACCGACTAACAAAAGTACTCTTAAGTCCCCTTATCGGAGTAACAATGTGATATCCGACATTTTCATAATTTCCTTCATTGTTTCTGCTAAATAAATCCCAAAGTCACTTTTACGTGAACCACAACTGAAAATTAGAAAAAAGGAATAATTTTTGCTTTTAGTCCCAGTCTAACAGACTAAGGTATAAAAGGTATAGTTGTGAATCATGCATACAACTCTTCAAATGAGTGATGTTGACAGTCCAAGAACTCCGTTATCATTTTTCTTTCTTTTTATCCCATGCAGTAGAATAAACATTTGTTTACCTTATTTCTGTTTTTATTTTAGTGGTTGGCCAAACTATCCTCATTTTCTCCATAGGACACGTGTTACCAACAAACAAGTTGTATGAAACTACATGTACAGAAACCTAGTACAATCATTATATAGTTAATATCATGTACAGAAACCTAGTACAATCAATATATAGTTAATATCATATACAGAAACCTAGTACAATCAACATATAGTTAATATCATGTACAGAAACCTAGTACAATCAATATATAGTTAATATCATGTACAGAAACCTAGTACAATCAATATATAGTTAATATCATGTACAGAAACCTAGTACAATCATTATATAGTTAACATCATGTACTGGAACTTAGTACAATTATTATATATTATAATATATATCTATGGCAAACATACTTCTTGAACCCTTGTTAAAATGGTTTGAACAACTTGCAACATTTTCGACGATTTTGGGGGCTTTGATGTCTTTTCCCGCCCGGACATGTCATAATCCTTCAAATATTCATATATTCAATTTTTCCTTCTTAACCCCATTAAACTACCATTAAAGGTCATAAAATCGTTTTAAAATCCGTTCTGGATCATGTTTAATGGTTCTGCTTGGTTTTTGCATCGTCTAATAAAAACATTTTTTGGTAACCAAGCCTCCAAAGTGTCCTTTTTCTCTGATCAATATTCCAGATATTCCTATACTGTGACAACCAAGCTAATCCATCTTCAGGAGAACACTCCTTACATCACAACAACAATCTGCTTGACGTCAACCTGGCCAAAAATGTTTCCGATATAGATATAGTGAACTTTAAAAAAAATTTAGAGCCGAGACTTCTAGAAGCACTCCTAAAAATTTGTTATAAAAACTTATTGATCACACCTCGTTTGAATAAATTTAGGTTTTTTTTATCTTACATAAGTCAAAGATACTAAATATTATATAAAAACAAGATTATAAAAAATATAATATGCTCCAACATTTGTAAAATATTATTTTGTCTATTTTGACTTCTATATAGCCCTGAAATGGGCTTAAGAAATGGTATGTAAATTGAAATTAAGTTTTGTGGATATGTTAGCAAATGAGCTCAGAAAACTAATTCGGGAAAATAAGCTCTCAAGGGCTTCAAAGTGAATATTAATTCCTATTTTTTCCAAATATTTTCAGGAAACGTCAGGATGAACATGCTACCAAAAACAATTAAACTTTTAACAAACCTTAGTGGTTGAAAAGTTCATGTTTGCTCAGAAATAAAATAACGTTTTCTCGGAAATTGGATAAAACAATTTATGACAATTAATAAGTAAAAATTAGATTCGTAAACGTTTAAAAACTAGTTTGAAATGTAAAGAAGGCAAAAAGTACATAAATAGAGATGGCTGCAACTTTAGATATATTCTGGAATTAACTATTGCAAGGAGAATTCTTTTACATAATGTGGTTGGCCAAACTATTCTCATTTTCTCCATAGGACACGTGTTACCAACAAACAAGTTGTATGGAACTACATGTACAGAAACCTAGTACAATCAATATATAGTTAATATTATGTACTGGAACCTATTACAATCATTATATAGTTTTAAACTAATTGTACTGGAACCTAGTGCAATCATTATATAATTTGGAAGTACATGTACTGGAACCTGGTACAATAATTATATAGTTTGCAGAACTACATGTAGTGGAACCTGGTACAATCATTATATAGTTTTGAACTGAAATGGGCTTAAGAAATGGTATGTAAATTGAAATTAAGTTTTGTGGATATATTAGCAAATGAGCTCAAGAAAACTAATTCGGAAAATAAGCTCTCAAGGGCTTCAAAGTGAATATTAATTCCTCTTTTTCGAATATTATCAGGAAACGTCAGGATGAACTTGCTACCAAAAATAATTAAACTTTTAACAAACCTTAGTGGCATATAAAATAAGGTTGAAAAGTTCATGTTTGCTCAGAAATAAAATAACGCATTCTCGGAAATTGGATAAAACAATTTATGACAATTAATAAGTAACAATTTTGTTATCTTCCTTCTAAGATTAGATTTGTAATCATTTAAAACTAGTTTTAAATGTAAAGAAGGCAAAAAGTACATAAATAGAGATGGCTGCAACTTTAGATATATTCTGGAATTAACTATTGCAAGGAGAATTCTTTTACATAAATTGTTTTTTGTATGTTTTATTTAAGCATTGTTTTGATGGATGTTTGAATTATTCATAGTTTGACTAAATATTATGACATGAAACTGAAAAATTCTTATTTTTCTAGTCTCTATGTTTTTGCAGCTAGATGGTGTGAAACTTTATTATTTCATTAACATAATTTATAATTCTAAATATCCAGGTCTATGCAAAGATGTAGGGTTAGAAACTTTGAACTAAGTACTTTTCTTGTATCTTCAATCCTTTCATATCTTAAACCTTGATTCTTGAAGAATAAAAAAACTTTTAAAATTTAACCAAAAATCTTCGGATCTTTTTTTTGAAATGATTAATATTGAAATATCTATGTACATATAACTTGCAATCTATGTTTTCACCTTTTTATAAAGGTAAACCATTATGAAAGAAGCATTTAAAATCATCAATTTAAGTATAATAGTATGTCTTTGAAATTGTTTAACATTTTTTCTACTTTGTAAATTTAATTTTTTTTATCTGATGTTTAATCTGGGTCAGGCTCTGAAACGCGATATTTAATGCAAAATTAAGTTAGTGTACTTAAAAGGATAGTAATTTGGTTTTTTGATAATTTTAACTTAAAATAAAAATTGACAGTTTTACATAATTCACATAACTGTATTTCTGTATCCTATTGTCTTACACAAAAATAAAAGGCTTTTTATAAATGCACACATATTTTTTAATTTTATTGACTTTTTTCTGTAGACATGATCAAATTTAGTTTAATTCTGTTTTATCCTGTTTATAAGCATCCTACGTCCAACTTATAAAAACAATAATTTTATTTCCGAACATTGTACCTTCGTAAATTCGTAAAAAACCTTTCATTGGCATACATAAAAACATCTTTATATGAGTCTGTTAATTGAAATGTAATCTTTTTGACCTAGAGTTGACAAATCNTTTGTTTTTTTTTACAAAATTAAAAACCTTTAAAACACATTTTTTAAAAAATTTTATCATTCATAAACCTTCCCTATGGTCACGTGATGTCCCACAAAAAATTTGGGCCCGGTCGGTTCAGCCGTTTATTGGATACAAACAAACAGACAGACACGCCAAATTTATATATAGATGGATTTTTTCTACCTTTTTTGATTAACGTCCTAAACATTAGGAGAAAGAAAAGAAGAAAATGAGAAAGTTTTGGAAGTAATTTATATCCATTACTAGATTGCAATATGACCAAGACCTTTTACAACTGTTTGAACAGATTTCTTAATTTAGGTAAAAGACAGTTGACAGGATAAATAATACTTGAATCGGACTTTTCTCATATAATTTTGCCAAGGATTATACACTATACAGGGTTACCCACAAAGGGTAAGACTGTAAAGACGACTGGACGATCCCAAGGTTAAATTAATTCTTCTGCCTTAAATATAACTTAATGGCTTATCTAATGATTTGGCAAAGATACAAACAAGTTTACATTTGCAGGGAATCATAACATAAGAAAACAGACAGTGTAAATTCAGTTGATAAAAAATCTAACCCTAAAGGTTGATGGGGGGGGGGTGAGGGTTTCATCCGTCCGGTTGCACCCCCTCAGTTACGGCCCTGCATGCGGGTTTCCAATAAGCAGTATAATATTTGTTCTTAAAGGAGTACGACGCTTATTATTTGTTCGTTTGAATTCAAGGAACTGTGGTATTTAATTATAATACTGTAATACACTACGAGTAACTTTGCTCTCTCATCAATGCTTAAACTATTTAATAAGCATTAAACCCTGAGATAGGTATATAAACCAATTATACGACAGAACATGCTACTTAAACAGTAAACAATCTCCATTAAAAGTTAATTTTCTTGAAACAAATAACCTATAAAAGGATATGGTTAGCTAGAAAGAAAATATCAGGATATTTATTAAAAAAATATATCAGGGACGATAATATCCTAATTAAAGAAAATATTAGGATGTTTATTTTAAAAAATATATCAGGGGCGATAATATCCTAATTAAAGATAATATCAGGATGTTTATTAAAAAAATATATCGGGCGATAATATCCTGATTAAAGAAAATATCAGGATGTTTAATAAAAAATATATCAGGAGCGATAATATTCTTATTAAAGAAAATATCAGGATGTTTAATAAAAAAATATATCAGGAGCGATAATATCCTGATTAAAGAAAATATCAGGATGTTTATTTTTAAAAATATATCAGGGGGATAATATCCTGATTACAGAAAGTATGCGTGTTAGCGTAAACCCCATTATACTGGAATGTTTAATTTAAGACCGGAATTTCTTCAATATTACGCAGTTACAAAATAAGATAGAATAACTATATACAGGGTGTCCCAATAAACATAGGAATTAAATGACGGTTACGAGATCTTCTTTGTTATTGTTTTTTATTTAGTACTGCGATTTGTTGAAAGTTTCGTCTGCTAGAATTAAGAAAATTTAAATTAGGTGTTACAATGCTAATTCTAATCAAAGACGATCTGGATTTCATCACTTAATTCTCATTTTTGTTGGGACACCTTGTATAAAAAGTAAATATACCTCTAGTTCTGTGATCATGTTCCCTAATTCGACCTGGCAAGTATAGATGGCGCTGTTCTTAATGCTCTTGAGTCTGAGCAGAACGCCAACCGGCAAACTTAGCAGTTCAAACCTCTCCGGTTCCAGGTAGAAATCTATATCACGGTTTTTCGATCTATCCTCGCCAATTCCTCTTTTCAACCATTTAAAGTTATAAACCTCGGAAAACACGTTATCTTGAGCAAAGCAGAATATTGTAGAATCCTTGATACTTGTTGTTACTTTATTCTTCTCCTGGGTGAGAACTAAAGCTTGAGGATAAACCTCTACTCTAGGTTTCTCTGAGACGAGTACGGGTATATCCATAGACATGGATACTGTAGCTCCTTCGTCCGATACTGTGCATCTAAAGAAAAGAGTTTAGACAAAACTTTGACTTAGAAAAGTGTCTTAGACATGATTAGGTCTATTGAGTTTGTCTTCAAATGGTGACTTATATCTTGAAATGACATTTTTGATGTTTCCCTATAGGTTAAAGATATTTTAGAGATTTCCGCAGCTTGGGTTATGTTAGGTTACACAAAGCATCACAAATTACATGTGAAAGCATCATAATTGTCCTAATTGATAAAAAATAGTTTACTTGTTTAAGTGAACCATTATATTTGCTAACTAAACTCAGCTAGAAATTACACTGTATACAATTAAAACTTTATATAAGGAGATAATGTGAAGTGATCGGTAGATTTACAGGTTGAACCAGAAGATTCGAGACTACGTTTGATCTTAGAAAGAAAAGAAAGTGAATATTTATCGAAAAAAAAGTTCAATGTATTATGAAATGAACACGGGCGACAAATTATAATTTTCTAATACATATTTCTTTGTAACCTGATAATTATGTTGCAGAATTTATAGTTTAAAATATCATAGGTCTGCAACATTAGATAGAAAAGATATCAGTATAAAAAATAAGAGTTCCTTAGAACAAAAATCAATAAAGGGGTTTTTTATTAGTTATACATATTAAAATACTATAACTATATTTGCAAGAAAATCCAGTTTTGAATTCGTCTCTCAATTAAAATCACTCTGCATCACATATTATTCTCTTTGGTCAAGACTGAGTCTGTGCATTTATTTCCTAATTTCCGTTCCATAGAAATGAATAAAGCCTCCGCCGGCAGTTTGCACAATTATCCGGAGAAGACAAATAAGCGGGGTGTTCTTAAACTAAATATACTATACACAGAGAACATATTGATTCTTTGGTTCAGTCTTAGAATAAGACCCCCCCCCACATCCCCACAATTATACAACTGATTCTTGCTCACGGGGGGGCTACGCAATATATTTTGGGTTAGGCTGGTTGGAGTTTTTCTCAATTCTGAAAGCAACGTGGTATTATTACATTTATCTGAGAACTCAGTTTATTCTGTTAAATAGTGGGATCAAAACAACTGACTGTAAACCATATTTTTACAACAAAGGATTACGAATTATTGATATTTTTAAACATCATAATGTTGACTGTGTGGAGATACAAAAATAAAATACAGCTTATTTTTCTACATACAGGGTTACCCACAAAGGATGGAACTTTCATAATTTTTATAATTCTTTAATTTACCGATATAATGATTAAAATTTTCTCTTCTTTCTTGTTCTGATCTATATCTGCAAGGAACAAAAATGAAAGTAAAAAACTTAATAAATTCTGCACAGTATCTTCTGAAGTCTCATTTTTGTGGGTAACCCTGTCTAAACTTAGAGCACGCTCTCATGCAAACATTAAGCAGTATTTTGCCAATTACTCCTTTTTAACCTAAACTAGAAACAAGTGCTTTGATAAAGAAAAGGGAAAGATTAAGATATAAAGATTAGATGAGATTAAAAATGAGGAAAGAAAATTAACAAAGAGAATGTCTATAAAGTAAAAACCTGAAAGTTCCTGAGTCGTATTTTCTTGCATTTGTGACATGAAGAATACCTAGGTTTCTCCAGCGGAGTGTTCCATTCCAAACCTGAGATATCAATGATAAACGAATATTTGGTTATAGAATATTAATATAATTATCCGCCATATTAAACTCTTAACTAATCCTAAACCTAAAAAACGAAAAAACTTTACAATCGCTTATATAATTGGTATAATTAAATACAACTGTTCTAACTTGTACTAAAACTAGCTTAAATAGACCCCAACACGTTCAAAAACAAGCTCAAAAAGAATCCAACACGTTCAAAAACTAGCTCAAAAAGAATCCAACACGTTCAAAAACAAACTCAAAATGAATCCAACACGTTCAAAAACTAGCTCAAAAAGAATCCAACACGTTCAAAAACTAGCTCAAAAAGAATCCAACACGTTCAAAAACTAGCTCAAAAAGAAACTCATATTAAAAAAGCTTAAATATAAGTCGTTTAAAAACTAGCTGAAATAGAAACAACAATTTGCTTAAAAACTACTTTAAAAAACAACTCGCTTTTAAAATAGCTCGAAAAGAAACTTTGATAAGAAACTATATTTGAAATAACGAAACTAAATTAACTATTGAGAAAGTTAGACTTATCAAAAATATAAAAAGTCTATTTTTGTTTAAACTTCAGTTTTAAATTAAAACCCTTTTTTATAATAAAGCTGTTTTATTTGATCTACCAAAGTACTCCTGACTAAATTGAAAACTTATTTAATGAAAAAACTAATTAAATCTTTGTCTAGAATTATTAAATTGTTTGACCTGATCTCGTTTCACTATATCCTGTATAATATATCGTTGAGTTAACGAAACATTAACCTAAAAACAGATGAATTTTAGTTGCCAAAAAAAGATCATTCATCATGAAAAATATATAAAATATACCTTATAATCGTCTTTGCTCCAGGAAAATGCCATATTCTTGCCCCCAATGGCTAGACAGGACAGGATGAATTCATGTGAGTTTCTGATTGGATTCTCCTGGTTTAAACTCAACTTTTCTATGCAAACCTGCAGATTCAGGTATTGGTAATCTTTAACCAATCTTCTACAGATTCAACAATACTGCCAATTTACCCAGATAAAGGGACAGGATACAGATAGTAATATTAAAGGGACAGGATACAGATAGTAATATTAAAGGAACAGGATACAGATAGTAATATTAAAGGAACAGGATACAGATAGTAATATTAAAGGAACAGGATACAGAAAGCAATATTAAAGGGACAGGATACAGATAGCAATATTAAAGGGACAGGATACAGAAATAATTTCTTATAAATATTTTTTATTTTTATGATTAGCGCCTGAAAACTTTCAAAGATAGGCTCAGGTCAATAAAAAAAAGTTATTTGATTAGAATTTTCATTTTAGTTCAAAAATATGTTGTTTTAGTGTAGTATCATATGAATAAGGAACATCTATAGCCTTACGTACAGATATATGACTGATAAAGAAATTCTTAAACAATTTAAAATTTAAATTATTCTTTGACACATTTAGGACCAGAAACAGTTCTTCTTTTAGATGTAGGACAAGAAACGGGAGAAACATAAATATGACAAAATAGACTTGAGAAATAATTCACGACATACTTTCTATGCGCATATCCTAATATAAATATAAACCTGGGGGTTTGAAGAACTGATTTGAATATCTCGGATTGGAAGAGAGCTTGAGATAACTCCTCTCTTTTTTATCTTCCTGACTAAATCTACCAAAATATCTGGATCTCCGACCATCTCCAACTCAAACCATCCCTGATAAAAATAAACATTATCCGAGAAAACTAGCTCATTGAAACATCTAGATCTCCTCCGACCATATCAAACTCAAACCATTCCTGGAAAAAAAATGTTACTTTCAGATCTGCAAGATTTAAATTGGGGTCATTTAATCTGTAATTGTACGAAGATTTAAAAAATGGTCTCCATCTTGAAAATCCGATTACAAACGAGTTTGTAGATCCTTATTCTCATTTTTTTTCGACACTTTGTATATAAAGCAGTACTCTTTGTTTGTTTGTTTGCTTGTATGTCCGATCATAACTCGTGAACCCTTTGACTGATTGACCTTTTATTGGGGAACTCAGTAGATCCACGCGAATGTTCAGGTTCTTAGTTTATAAAATGTAAATATAATTCCGAAAAATTTAAAGATTGNACATAAAATTAGTAAGAAGAGATAAAATATTAATTTATAGAAATAGTTAATATTGATTTATAGAAATAGTTAATATTAATTTATAGAAATAGTTAATATTGATTGATAGAAAATGTAAATTCAAAGTTTTTAACGGATATAATTGGTTCGTTTTCTTCAAATGAACAAAATCTGCAAAAATATTATAATCTTTCATTTATAATTAATAAAAGATTAATATCATTTCTTTTAATTAGAATGAGAGTATACATGATTAATTAAACCAGTTTTAAGTTCTATTCAAATTCTAGAGTCTCTTAGGAATATGATAAGGTTTTTTACAAATGGCAGAAACGTCGGATAGAAATAAAAATAATATAAACTTTCATTTTTTCCCCACTGATGATCTTTCTTTATTTATCGGTAAATAGGTTTAGCAAACAAAACTTTTGATTGGTTTATCAATAGCGCTCAGCGCCACTTCAACTAAACTCATTCCATAATATAAACTTTTAAGTAACTAAGTTTAAAACCGGGACCGATATTAATGAATTTGAACTGCCTACCGCCGGTTCAAATTTGAATCACTGATTCAAAGTCTTCCTTAAGCTTTAACTTTAATAAGTGGTTCAAGTTTGAACCGGCAGTAGATAGTTCAGCGACAAATCTCAAATTAATTTTAGTCTCCGGGCATTGGACTTATGCTTGGAACAGACTGAACGCATTATGAACAGACTTAAAATATACAAGTTTCCACGTCAGGACGGACATTTTTACAAGAGGTGGTCAATGTCCAGTGTTCAATATTCACTGTTCAGTGTTCAATATTCAATGTTCAGGCGCGAAAATATTTATTTAATTTTGGGTTCAATTGCCATAAACTCTTATATTTAATCCCTATATATCTTTGGAACCAAATGTCGTAGACATTAGCTATTTAAAACCATAAATTCTTTTAGATCCAAAAGTGTAGGTTTAAAATATCAAAGGTTTACACCATTAGGTTAAAGAGATATAGGGATTAGAAAATTTGAGTTTGTACATTCATCTGATATCCATAACAACAGAAACTAGAAAATAATTGTTTGTCTCGATCATATCAATACGATTTTTTGTTTTGGCATTAAACAAGATAAATTTTTGATTTGATACAGATATGTTATTCAGCGTTATTATTGCGCATATTACGAATGGAAACCCTAGTATCGACAAGAAAATGAATTTACTTCTATTCCTACAGGCTGAACTGACATTTTATCTTTTAATACCTTTACACAATAACGGAAACTCGGAATGTTTTCATGTTTTCTCCAGGAAATAGAGGCCTCGGACAAAAAGATTTAGGATTTTTCTCAATATAATGCAATACATTGTGGTTCTAGATCAGAGACAAAGTTAAATAAATAGATACAAGATGGACAATCCATTTTCAGTATTGCAATTCCAATTTATATATTGGCGGACACTTGATGGCGGCTTGAACTGTATCTCTTGTTATATTTATCAGAGGGGAAATGGTATCAGTTAGACAGTAGACTAGGGTGAACCATATTAACTGAAATATTGAAATATTCAAACCTTAAATTACCCGGTCGTATTGTGGTTCATCAGGTATAAAAATTGGTAAAAATAATTTTGTTGTTAAATTTTATTGCATTTTGGTCTTTAAAACATGAAAATCTAACTATGAATGAAGAAATGAGGTCACTTTAAGGAAAATTCCTCTAAAATTGTCTAAATTTCACAAAAATCCGCCTAGCATTTCATGAACAGTAACAAATTCTGCAAAAAAAACTATGCAAATATAATATTAAAATTGGAAATTTAGACTCAAAGCAATTAAGTTGAAATGTATTAACTGTTTAGGTTGGTTTCCCAGTCAAATCAATTATGGTAGAATGAAGTAAATATTTTAATACTGTGGTCGGCGTTTATATCAATACAATCAATACTTTTCTATTGAAGTTTTGATTTCTAACAATTTTTTTATAAATTGCCTGTTTACAAGCAAACGACGAGACGATGTTAATTGACCGCTTCTTTTCATGTTTATGTGTTTTTCCTTGCTGTTTAATATCTTAATAGAAATCAAAAAATTAAATAGAAAGTCGTCTTCATTCATTCAAAACTCATCCAACTATACGATAGAACTTGGTGTGAAGATTTTCATATCAGTGATCTCATAGAATTAATTATTACTTCTTTGAAACTACAGAAGTTTAGAGTCCAATATCTCTGGAATAATATCTCATAGAACTTTAAGAAATGGCTATCTATCAACATGCAATAATCTATAACCGAATGATAGGCATTGCTAAAATGTTTTTGCATATAATAGCAAAGAACTTTAATGATAAAGATTAGAAAGAATAATCTCTCATTTTTAATCGTAGAGGTAAAAACTGTTTCACATAAATAACAAACACATTGATATATTTCTTCAACAGTTCAAATCCAAATACGTACTGTTTGCAGTGTAACCCCCCCCCTTTCCCAAGTTTACTATTCTTGCCATACAAGTTTGCTGAAATTCTTGATAGCACATTAGATATATATGTAGGATGTAAAATGTACAGCCGGCAACACAAAAGCTAGAATTCTATCTATCACAAAAGTTTTTACTTATTGAAATTTTACCACTCGTTTGTTGAGATTTCTTTCTTTGAATCTTATCTGTAAGTACGACAAAATTGAACGTGTTTATTAAAAAATCTAAAATTCCCTGCATCATGTTGGTAGGCTGACATGGCCTAAAATGCAGTTTTGTATTGGCTAGGAATCAAGAATTTGTTAAAAGAAAACTTATGTTTTTAAAACTTGGAAAATTCTTCCCAAAAAACAAGAAATCTACGAAATTTGTTGCTTATTGTTTTATGAAGAAAAAAGATTGGCAAAGCGCCCAAAAAGTCTTGTCTATTTAAAGTTCTATTATTAGTTGCTTAGTACGAGTGGTTAATGAGATTAGAGAGTAATTGTTTTGTTATTGTTCGTGACTAGAATCATTGTTAGAAATATCAGAAAAATATATTTGGGCTGGCTGGGCTTTAAACCTCCTTCCACCAATAAAAAGATTGTTATTTACACTTAAAACCTAAAACTAAATTTAATTTTACACAATCCACATCTAACTTAAATTAAATTTAAATGTATAAAATAAAACCAAGCAACATTTTTTCAACATACAGTAATAACCAGAACACTCGATCCGAAATAGGAATAAGACTTTTAAACATTTATATTGTCTAATATTTGCTTTATAACAAGATCAAATATTGGTTTAATGTCGTCTTCCTATTCTACAGTTTTCTTGTTATCACTGTATATATTCGGCTTGTTGGTTGGTATCAAATCAACATAAGAACGGCTTAACCAAATCGGACCCAATTTTTTGTATGACCTCACGTGCGTGGTTTGGTTATAAAAAATGAATTTAGAAATTTGGTTTAAAAAATTCAATTTAAACATTTTTTAGACTCCCTATTGAAAACAGAAAATCTACGAAATCATTCATTTTAATTTTAATTTTTCTTATTTTAGTTCTAAAACTTAGAAAATAAAATCAATCCTTAATTCATGTGGCTTGAAAGTTTAAAAGAGGTTAAATTCTTGATGTGGTTTTAAAAGTTTGTAAAAGCTACGAAATTGTTTAAATATTAAATCTGTTTCTTCTCCCTGACTAAACCTGTTGTGTAGATGTGTGAAGCGGAGACAAGTTTGTAAATATCTATTTTAGACTCCATTGTGGAGACACGTTATCCAACAATAATATGCATATAGACATTAAAGCGTTTAAAGGGAGCGACCGGCTATATAAGGTAGTTGAACTGAGTATGCAGTGTTGTGGAAAACTTCTTTCGGATTAATTTGAGACATAAATAAACTTTTTCAAGATCTGTAAATTCTGAGTTTGAGCGCAAATTCGACGTTCAAAACTCCTACTTTGAGGGTGGATACGCAATTTAATAACGGCAACATAAAATGTAAAAAAGTTCTACAATAAACTACACACGTCATGTATAGGAACATGTTGAGAAAATAAAAATTAATCTTATCATCGAAAATAAATAATCTTGTTCAATTATTAGATTCTATTTTCTCATTATTCTGGTTTTTCACTATTCACAAGATTTTCGCAGATTTCTAGAATTATTGTTGAAAAGACGACATTTGAAGAATTTGTAGAAATCTGCGAATAAATTCAAAGAAGATAAGATATTTAATATAATAATGAAAACGAAATAATCGATTTTAGCATTGATTTATTGACAAATATCTTTTGAGAAATATTCCTTAAAGGGACTTTCAACATAATTTCAAGTGGACCATAAAGGGACTGTCAACACAAGTTTAAGTGGACCTTAAAGGGACTGTCAACATAATTTCAAGAGAACCTTGGCTTAAAGGGACTGTCAACACAAGTTTAAGTGGACCTTAAAGGGACTGTCAACATAATTTCAAGAGAACCTTGGTTTAAAGGGACTGTCAGCATAATTTCAAGTGGACCTTAATTTAAAACAAATTATAAAAGAGTGGTACGGCCTGTAGTCTTTCAACCTTTGCCTCATCAAGATTGCATGAGATATTCATCATGTTCTCTTTAAAAATGATTATTTTCAATTGTTGTTTTTATAAAAATTTACTTTCACATTTCTGCTTTTGAAAATTATCAGAATTGAACACTTTTCAACGACGCTATATTCCACATTATTGATCAGAAAAAGGTTTAAAGAGAACCAATGAGAATCAAGTTTTCTCAACTTTAAGTAAAAAGCCAATCGAATTTATGACAACAGAAGCTCATCTGAGAAAATATGGAAATCTGTTAAAATTATGCATTACAAGACCCTTTAAATCCTTTTACTAAAACAAGTTTTGATTTGCACTACACAGAGTGTATGCGAGGCCGCAAGTCATTTTGATTTAGTTGTGGTTGGTGGCCGTAAACTTGTGTTTATGGAGAGTAGTATATAGAACTGTATACTGTTATATCTCAATATCTGTCTATAATATTCTCCTGAATTTACAACTAAATATATCCTTACTTCAGATTTATGTATGCTAAGAATTCTGCATCTGCACAACTCAGACCAAACATCAGTGATCTGAGTCTCCATTTGAGTTGATGAGCGAGCATCCAGCTGGATCCGGATCCGGATATTATGCTCGGATGAGCAGCTTGAAGGATCTCCAAGTTGGTCGGATTCATATATTTCGCAGCTTTTACCTCCAATTCCTTGGCTACAGTTACACTTTACAAACCTAAACAGAAATAAGATAATGAACCAGTAACCTTACCAATTAAATAAATCACCATCGTTTTAGTTTATAGTAAATTCGTAGTCCTTGCCCATCTTCTATTAAGATTTAGAGTGTAAAAATTTCCTTTTTTAGGAAAATAATCTTTAAAAAAAGTATATGTAAAGTGGATAATACAATAAAAAGTATCGGAACATATCGTCTTTTTTCGGAGTATTTTTTTGAAAAAAATGCACATTTTAGTGATAAACTTGATGGGCGGGAGGTGCAAATTTATTTTTTATTTTAAAAAAACAAGGAAATTCATTTGAGATTTTTTTTAACCGGACTAAGATTCACCTATCAAAGACGACTTTGCAAAAGTTCAAGTAATGACAGAAAAGAAATTTGTAAGAAAAATACGAGGAACCGGAAAACTTAGGAAAATAAAGACGACATTAAAGCAATGTTTAAATGTATTTGATGTTGTTGAAAAGCAACTAGTTTTATAAGTAACTTATTTAATCACTTATTATTTGAAATAAGTATGTTTACACTGCACAACTACTGTGTCTCATGTTCATTGGACTATTTCAAGTCATCTTCCTATTCCAGAGGTTTTTTTATCTTACCATGTATGTTATTCTACTTGATGTATTTAAGGGACTAGTTCTAATAATATCGTCTTTTTTGCAAATCGCTCACTCAGCGTAGGCTATTCTTATGAAATTCTTATGTTTTTTTTTACTTTTAATAATAATATTTTCTGGTAAATATCCAGAGAAATGAATAACTCAAGATTTCTTTGACTATTTTAACCCGAAACTTAGTATTCAAGTTGCTTGTTCTCAAGATAAGGAAGAAATTTCATTTTCACCAAGTTTGAAATTAAATTCCTGAAGCCAGAATTGGTTTGAATTATTGATTACCCGGGAGGAAAAACATATTACTTATCTCGATTTCCATCACAGAACATCCTTAAATGTTTCTCAAAAACCGTTTATTTTTAAATCGTGAACGAACAGAAATAAGACGTTTTTGAAAAAAAAATAATCAGTTAAAAAACAATATAGTCGTTTTCCAGCTACTTTTACATTAAATTATCGTTAACACTCGTTAACGGCCGGGACCACTAACGATTTCAGGAATATCTTCCGATAATCAAAATTGAGATTTTTAGCGAACGGTAACAGAAAATACCGTGAACGAACGGTTTGAAAAAAGTCTGAACATGCCCAGCCCTATGTACTATGGTAACAGTGTTGTGTATATAATGTCCTCTGTATCTCTGTACACCTGGATGTAAAGTAGTAACACGGTTGTCCTCTGTATCTCTGTATACCTGGATGTAAAGTAGTAACAAGGTTGTCCTCTGCATCTCTGTATACCTGGATGTAAGTAGTAACAAGGTTCTCCTCTGTATCTCTGTATACCTGGATGTAAAGTAGTAACAAGGTTGTCCTCTGTATCTCTGTATACCTGGATGTAAAGTAGTAACAAGGTTATCCTCTGTATCTTTGTATACCTGGATGTAAAGTAGTGACAATGTTGTCCTCTATATCTCTGTATACCTGGATGTAAAGTAGTAACAAGGTTGTCCTCTATCTTTGTATACCTGGATGTAAGAAGTAACAAGGTTGTCCTCTGTATCTCTGTATACCTGGATGTAAAGTAGTAACAAGGTTCTCCTCTGCATCTCTGCTTGGCATCATCATGTCCATCTCCAGGACCTAGAAATAAGTGCTTTTATTGACACACAAAGAATTGAATACTTTGAACACCGTTTTCAAAATTTNTACTAGTTACTAGAGGGTTTAGTTGACTTACAAATAACTACGAAGTCTACAAATGGCAAAATATCGTTCTCTACAAATTTGGGGTTTTCACAGTATGCAAAATTTTTACTCGACTAAAAATATAGAACTGAACAGAAGAAAAAAATAACGCAAATAAACGGTTTATTTCATTCTTTTATCATCTTTTTTTTATTCTGCCAGAGTTAAAATTTGGCATGATTTGATAAAAGCTAAATTATAGAGAACAAAATTGTGCATTTTGTAAGACTTCTTATATTTTTGTACGGTCTCCTGAAAACCGAATAATGTAAATGTTTAAAAGAACGAATAAATTTGGCTGCCCAGCCAAATTTTGAACCTAACTGCAGGATTAACATAACGAGTGTCTCACTTAATAAGACAATTGAGAAGCAACCTACATGTTGTATTTTATCTAGGATAGATTTCTATTTTTTAAAATTACACAGCTTTTTAAAATATGGTATTTCTCATAAAAAGCTGACAAGCCTTGATAACATTAACAGTAACATCCACACAATGATTTGAATTTAGCAAGCTCTTACGAAAAAATCTATGAAAACTTGCTAATTATTTTTACAATCACAATTGCTTTAAAGTTCTAAAATATTAGTTTCTAGGGCTACAAAAATTTCAAAGCAGCAACACTTTTATGACGGCCCGGTCTTAAAGATAAATGAAACTTTGCAGAGCTGTCTGGATCAATTTGCCCAGACAGCCCTACCACAGAAAATATAATATACACTTTGCCATTTCATAGAATTCTAGTTCAAAGAAAACTTTTGAGATAGTCTTTTAATTGCCATGATGAGGACACCTCAGAAACAATCTCAAGAACTGACGAGGGTCAACCCAGACCGAAGTATATTTTTAATTAAATGTGGAACTAACATCTACTTTTTTTACTCAACTCTACTGGTCCATCACCATCACCTAATTTTAAATATATATATACTAGGCTTTTTGGGCGATTCGCGCCCATCTTCTATTTCAATTGTGAACGTGTTCTCATTGTAAAATTGAAAAACAAAGAAAAAAAAGAATTTCGCGGATTTTATGATAATAATTCGCGGATTTTCAAGATTTAAAAAAATTTACAAAAATAAAAAACGTTTAAGCACAAATTTTTCAAATTATGATCATTCATAAACCTTCCCTGTGGTCACGTGAGGTCCCACACAAAATTTGGGCCCGATCGATGCAGCCGTTTTGACGTTTATTGGATACATACGGACAGACAGACAAGCCAAATTTATATATAGATATGAGACCAAAGAGCTTTATTATCTAGATATACCTGTACAATGTCCGTGCTTGTTATGATACTGGCAACGAGGTCCATAGAACTTCGGTCTAAACATTTATAAAAATTAAGGATTACGCAAAATGTCACTAAATAGAAGATTTTAAATTTTATATTTTTCATTTTTCTCCATGGATAACAGAAGAATTGATTATTCCCCTGGTTTGAAGTTTTCACGGAGCTCCAACCTTGTATTAAACTTTGAATAAAAATTTAGCAGAGCGTTGAATCAAAAACAAAATCTTTTAACTAAATATACATTATTGCTTCGCATACTAAACTTTACTAAACTTAAAGGGATTGTTTTTGAATGTTTAAAGGGTGTCTACGACAAAACTGTTAAAATTATTAGATTGTTGGACTTTTACGATTTCGCAGTTTGGCAGTAGGGCAACATGGAAGACGATTCGTAAAACGTTGATGTTTTCTTTAATACTCTGAGAAATCTGTTGCTGATGGTTTTATTGAATACCCTTTCACGAATCCGTTGCTGATAGGTTTCTTTAATCCCTTACTAATGGTTTTCTTGAATACTCTAACTAATCTGTTGCTGATGGTTTTCTTTCATACTCCTTGACTTATCCCTTGCTGATGGTTTTCTTGAATACTCTAGCTAATCTATTGCTGATGGTTTATTTTAATACCCTTTTAAGAATCCGGTGCTGAAAGGTTTTTTAATACCCTTTTAAGAATCTGTTGCTGATGGGTTTCTTTAATACTCCTTGACTTATCCCTTGCTGATGATTTTCTTGAATACTCTAACTAATCCGGTGCTGAAGGTTTTCTTGAAAACTCTTTATCGCATCCGGTGCTGAAAGTTTTCTCGAATACTCTTTAACGAATCCGTTGCTGATGGTTTTCTTGAATACTCTAGCTAATCCGTTGATGAAGGTTTATTTTTAATACCCTTTCAAGAATCCGGTGCTGAAGGTTTTCTTGAATACTCTTTAACGAATCCGTTGCCCCGTTTAAATATATTTTCAGGGCACACATACCTTGTTAGGTTTAATTTTTTTTAAATATAGTCACTGAGGTTGCTGTTTCGCCAAACGAAGAGGGGTTTTTGCGGCATTTCTTAAAAATTATATCCCCCCTTTACCTCAAAAATACTGTGTTAGGAGCTGAAAGATTCGAAAAATTTAAATTAAAAATAGACCCCGGGAACCAAGAAATCTATAGACCAGGAACCACCATATCTCATGCGTCAAATCTGTGTACTGGAGTGGGAGGAGATCAAAATAAAGAATTCAGGGGCAACGCATCATTTTTGAGGGAAAAGGGCCCGAGGGGTGGAATAAGAATATAATCTATTGTATTTTCCACATTGACCAGAAAGCCAAAAATAATTCGCTCTAGTATTCGTTCTAACTTGATATATTAATTTGTCTTTTGTTGGACTGTAATATCACAATACAGCTGTTGTCCTTTCCCTTCAACTTCTATGGGGGAACTGGGTTTGTTTACATTCCTCCCACAGTATACAGTACATAATATGCGTATATCCGAGTTTGGCGTTCCTGTATATAGTTCCTTGCCGGGAACACTCCTTTAACAACTATTTTATGCAAAAATAAAAGAAGGAAAGAAAAGATTATATTGTTGATTCTATTGATTGTGGTTCAAACCCCAATGATATGATCACATAGAAGTATTTACAGCCTAGAGTTGGGGTTTTAAAAACAAAAAAATAAAGTAAAACCCGGGTTTACAGTCCATAACACCAGAATAAAACCAAACATAAGAACTGAATGATTGAGGCAGGTTTTTAAAAGGCGCGTCACGTGCCGAGTACAACAGAATTGTGTACACTAAGCATCTGGTTGTACATAAAAATAATGTGTGTTACTAAAAACTTATCTAAATTTGCATATTTTGCTTGCCCATTTTGTAAAAAAACTGGGTTTACTTACTCCGAGACTGCTGAGTCGTCCAGCGGAGAATTGCATCTACATTCCATAGAACCAACTTCTCTACCGTCCAAACTTGACTTAAAGAAAACATTTCAAGTCGATTAGACGAGAAAAGAGGAAAGGTTTCTGTTGACGCAGTAGATTTAAATCTGGAAAGATTAGATTGAAAAGAACTAAATCAAATCCCGTCTTCAAAAACCAAATATAACAAGATAAGACATGATACAGATCGTATTTCTGTTGCCGCAAGCTATTAGAAATTGGGACGAGATGATTTTCTTTATAAACGGATTCGGAACTTTCACAAGATATTCCTAGTTTCACTATATGAGTTAGCTTCTCATACTTTGCAATTATCTTATACGAGTCAAAACCTGTAGCATGTTAACTAGCCTCGTAGATCAATAAGTTTTCCGGCGGAGTAACCTTGGTTAACCTGGAGATCAATATATTGTACAACAGGATAAATAGGACTATATGTAACCTACCCCTTTAGATCAATAGGACAAATGCAGGATAAATAGGACTACATAAACCAATCCCTTCAGATCGATATATTGTACAACAGGATAAATAGGACTATATGAACCTACCCCTTTAGATCAATAGGACAACTGCAGGATAAATAGGACTATATGTAACCTACCCCTTTAGATCAATAGGACAACTGCAGGATGAATAGGACTATATGAACCTACCCCTTCAGATCAATAGGATAACAGGATAAATAGGACATTATGTAACCTACCCCTTCAAATCAATAGGACAACTGCAGGATGAATAGGACTATATGCAACCTACCCCTTCAAACCAATAGGACCACTGCAGGATGAATAGGACGGAGAGAGTAAACCTACAATACCTGAACAATGCACTCCCCGTTAAGATGACACTCTGAGAGAGAACACTTGAAGAATGATATTCCTCTGTCCTGGTTCCTCGCTACCTCGTAGGTCATGTTGAACCCGAATACGTCGCTCACCTCCATCACTCTGTTATAGAATAGGAAATATAAAAGCTAGAAGTTAGTTACTAGTTACTAGATCTTACCTAATATGTATATCCGGACCAGAGGGTACATTTAACGATATCTTGATAAATCTAGACTGAAACCTTCTATATGTCGCGTTTCTAAAAAACAAACAAGAATTAAATTCAAGAAAACTGTCTAATTTAACAATCCTACTCAGATCTTCAGTATTAGATATCAGACTACTTAATTACATGTTAATTAACGATATTCTATTGGATATCAGACTACTTAATTACATGTTAATTAACGATATTCTATTGGATATCAAATGCGGACACTTTTAAAAATGTGGATCAAGATGAATTATACATTATTTGTTTTAGAGATTATAGGATTATAAATTAGATGTGTTTATATATGAATAAAAGGCACATGAATATAAGATCGGATATGAATTCTAAATTCAAGGTTAAAAACAATATTCTCCGGAGATGGTATTTATACCTGCTCATGGTTGGAAGAGGAGTACAATCAAGCGGAGTATCTTGGCATTCCTCTATACTGATCATACTGTGTTCAATATAAACCTGATAACATAAGAAAACTCAAACTAGAAACCCTGGAGAGAGGTTTGTCTTCATTTTCCATCGAAAACCCCATAAAATTCATTTAGTCCAACTGTATTGGGATGATACCAATTTGGAAATTACTCTTAATCTATAAAAACGAAAGATAGGAAATGTTTGTCCAAGAGAAAGATAAAGAAAAGGAATAATTTAAAAAATACTTCATGAAATAAAAGAAAGAAATTGGTTGTTAAAGATATGAAGAACAAGATAAGTTAGATGAAAAACGTTGGGTTAAAGAGAAAAAAAGTTAAAAGTAAAAGTAAGGGAGAGATAAATTAAGAAGGAAAAATAAAAGTAGAATAAGGGAGACATAACGTAAGAAGGAAAAATAAAAGTAGAATAAGGGAGAGGAAATGTAATGAGTTGAGGTAAAATAAGAGAGAGGAGAAAAAGGAGTAAAAGTTGAATAAGAGAGAGGAAAAGTAAGATGGAGGAGAAAAGGCAAGGTTGGAGAAAGGAAAGAGAGGAAAAAGGAAAAATAGGATTAGAAACAGAAACGATATGAAAGAAAAGGAAAATTAGACTAGATATAGAAATTGTAAAGGTAAACTACCTGTGTAAGGTATAAGTAAAGGTAAACTACCTGTGTAAGGTATAAAGTAAAGGTAAACTACCTGTGTAAGGTACAAGTAAAGGCTCCAGTGTGGATCGTCTGCATATTTAGAATTGTCTACACGGTTGTCCTCTNATATTCCAGAGCAGAGAATAAAAATAAGAAACCGGTTTCTCCAGCTCATGTACGCATCAACCATTATTCTCGTAATCTCGCATCAAATCTACAAACATTTGGAAATTTATAGTTCACGATCCATAAACGTACTGAGCCCGAGTCGTCCAGAATTATCAGTTTTCTGGTTATCACTGTTCTCATAAAAACAAAAAAACAAATCACTTTTTAAGTAGTCAAAAAAAATTTAAAAATACATATAGGGGATGGTAAGTCGTAATTAAAAAAAAACACATTTCAAGGATAAAAAATTCTTAAATACACAAAGGGACAGTAAATTCAATACACAAAGGGACAGTAAATTAAATACACAAAGGGACAGTACATTAAATACACAAATGGACAATAAATTAAATACACAAAGGAACAGTAAATTAAATACACAAAGGGACAGTAAATTAAATGCACAAATGGACAGTAAATTAAATACACAAAGAGACAGTAAATTATATACACAAAGGAACAGTAAATTCAATACACAAAGGAACAGTAAATTCAATACACAAAGGGACAGTAAATTCAATACACAAAGGGAGAGTAAATTAAATACACAAAGGGACAGTAAATTAAATGCACAAAGGAACAGTAAATTCAATACACAAAGGAACAGTAAATTCAATATACAAAGGGAGAGTAAATTAAATACAAAAAGGGACAGTAAATTAAATGCAGCAAGGGACAGTAAATTAAATACACAAAGGGACAGTAAATTAAATACACAAAAGGACAGTAAATTAAATATACAAAGGGACAGTAAATTAAATACACAAAGGGACAGTAAATTAAATACACAAAAGGACAGTAAATTCAATACACAAAGGGACAGTAAATTCAATACACAAAGGGAGAGTAAATTAAATACACAAAGGGAAAGTAAATTAAATACACAAAGGGACAGTAAATTCAATACACAAAGGGAGAGTAAATTCAATACACAAAGGGACAGTAAATTAAATACAGAAAGAGACAGTAAATTAAATAATTTTATGTACCATAAAACCCTAACTACCAAACCAATTGTCTAAAAGTTTTATTCATTTAATTTTTCAAATGGTTTAATAATTTGGCTGATTAATTTTTAAGGTTGCGGTTGATAATATTCGACCCAGTCTCTCCTTAAGGGAGAGATAAATTAAGAAGGAAAAATAAAAGTAGAATAAGGGAGACATAACGTAAGAAGGAAAAATAAAAGTAGAATAAGGGAGAGAGAAATTATGAAGGAAAAATAAAAGTAGAACAAGGGAGAGAGAAAGTAAGAAGGTAAAATAATAGTAGAATAAGGGAGAGATAAATTAAGAAGGAAAAATAATAGTAGAATAAGGGAGAGAGAAAGCAAGAAGGAAAAATAATAGTAGAATAAGGGAGAGATAAATTAAGAAGGAAAGATAAAAGTAGAATAAGAGAGAGAGAAAGTAAGAAGGAAAAATAATAGTAGATAAGGGAGAGATAAATTAAGAAGGAAAAATAATATTAGAATAAGGGAGAGAGAAAGTAAGAAGGAAAAATAATAGTAGAATAAGGGAGAGAGAAAGTAAGAAAGAAAAATAATAGTAGAATAAGGGAGAGAAAGTAAGAAGGAAAAATAATAGTAGAATAAGGGAGAGAGAAAGTAAGAAGAAAAATAATAGTAGAATAAGGGAGAGAGAAAGTAAGAAGGAAAAATAATAGTAGAATAAGGGAGAGAGAAAGTAAAAAGGAAAAAAAGTAGAATAAGGGAGAGGAAAAGTAAGGAGTTAAGGTAGAATAATAGAGAGACAAAGAAAGGAGTAAAAAAGTTGAAAAAGAGAGAGGAAAAGTAAAACGGAGGAGAAAAGGCAAGGTTGGAGAAAGAAAAGAGAGAAGAAAAAGGAAAAATAGAATTCGAAACAGAACCGTTATGAAAAAATGGAATATCAGACTAGATATAGAAATTGTAACGGTAAACTACCCGTGTAAGGTATAAGTAAAGGTAAACTACCTGTGTAAGGTATAAGTAAAGGTAAACTACCTGTGTAAGGTACAAGTAAAGGTAAACTACCTGTGTAAGGTACAAGTAAAAGTAAACTACCTGTGTAAGGTACAAGTAAAGGTAAAATACCTGTGTAAGGTATAAGTAAAGGTAAACTACCTGTGTAAGGTATAAGTAAAGGTAAACTACCTGTGTAAGGTATAAGTAAAGGTAAACTACCTGTGTTAGGTTTAAGTAAAGGTAAACTACCCGTGTAAGGTACAAGTAAAAGTAAACTACCTGTGTAAGGTACAAGTAAAGGTAAAATACCTGTGTAAGGAATAAGTTAAGGTAAACTACCTGTGTAAGGTATAAGTAAAGGTAAACTACCAGTGTAAGGTATAAGTAAAGGTAAACTACCTGTGTAAGGTATAAGTAAAGGTAAACTACCTGTGTAAGGTATAAGTAAAGGTAAACTACATGTGTAAGGTACAAGTGAAGGTAAACTACCTGTGTAAGGTACAAATAAAGGCTCCAGTGTGGATCGTCTGCATATTTAGAATTGTCAATTATCCAGGAACATTTTAATGGAGTTGGAAGATATTCAGGAAACCCTGGAGATGTAAGGAGTCCCCATCTCTCCCGCTCGCCTGAAAATTTTAGAATAAAATGATGCAACCCTTGATACATCCCTTGATGCATGTCTTGATGCATCCCTTTATGCACCCCTTGATACATACCTTGATGCACCCCTTGATACAACCTTTAATGCATGCCTTGATACATCCCTGATGCAACCCTTGATGCATCCCCTGAAACATCCGTTGATGCATCTCTTGATACATCCCTTATTACAATTTTGATAGTTCTTAATTTCAAGTAATTTAATTTCAATATCGTTTTGTTTTTGTTTTGTTATTTATGATTTATTAAAAACAAGAAAGTTAATGAAAATAACCTTGTTATTCAAATTAACGGTCTCATAAAATTTTATAGTTTATAGTTCACACAATTCAAAACGGAGAAGTATGTCACGAACAGAGATGACATTTTTGTAACCCTTCGATATAAAATGTGCCATCCACGACCTTCGTCACCCGCCGTTCTTCTTTGGTTCCTTGAAAGGGGGGTCACATCCCCCTCATTTAAGAAAGGAACTTTACAGGAAAAAGTTAATGGGGGAAGATAACATAATTTCTAATTAAAGAAAAATATAAAAAAAATTTATGATTTCATTTATTGATATTTTCAAAAGAAGCTTTCTGGGATCTCCCATCTTCAAAACAAAAGATCATATATCCTGAGCGGCTGAGGAACCATTAAATTTTTATAAAAAACCAATCCATTATGGAAGGATAGTTAGGCTAATATCCGATAGAATAGAAGCCAGATAGCTTCCGCTTTGAAAAAAGGTTTAAAGGGTTCAAATTTTCAAATTTTCAAATTCTTAAAAAAAGTTATATTTCAAATTACTTTGATAATCCTTTACCTAGAAGAATAGTGTTGGATCCACTGCATGTATTTTCTATTCTCCGACCCTGGGTTAGAGCTGGGCATATTCCAGAGCAGAGAATAAAAATAAGAAACCGGTTTCTCCAGCTCATGTACGCATTAGCCATTCTTCTCGTAATCTCGCATCAAATCTAAAAACATTTGGAAATTTATAGTTCACGATCCATAAACGTACTGAGCCCGAGTCGTCCAGAATTATCAGTTTTCTGGTCATCACTGTTCTCATAAAAACAAAACAAAAACAAATCACTTTTTAAGTAGTCAAAAAAATTTTAAAAATACTTATAGGGGATGGTAAGTCGTAATTAAAAAAAAACACATTTCAAGGATAAAAAATTCTTAAATACACAAAGGGACACTAAATTCAATACACAAAGGGACAGTAAATTAAATACACAAAGGGACAGTAAATTAAATACACAAATGGACAATAAATTAAATACACAAAGGAACAGTAAATTAAATACACAAAGGGACAGTAAATTAAATACACAAAGGGACAATAAATTAAATACACAAAGGGACAGTAAATTAAATACACAAAGGGACAGTAAATTCAATACACAAGGACAGTAAATTCAATACACAAAGGGACAGTAAACTCAATACACAAAGGGACAGTAAATTAAATACACAAAGGGACAGTAAATTAAATACACAAAGGGACAGTAAATTGAATAATTTTATGTTCCATACAACCCTAACTACCAAACCAACCTCACCAAGTTGTCAAAAAGTTTTATTCATTTAATTTTTCAAATGGTTTAATAATTTGGCTGATTAATTTTTAAGGTTGTTTAAGGTTGCGGTTGATAATATTCGACCCAGTCTCTCCGAGCTTTAGAAGATTTCAAGGGTTTAACTTATGTGAAATCAGTCCAATTTATCTAGTATTATAACTTAATCGATTTAATTAATCCTGGATTGATCTATTTTATTTTGGGTGAATTTCTGATTTAACATATTATTGTCACAAATTCCATAAATTAATTTTGCACACTAAGTTTAGAACATTGTGTACAACAATATGAAGTATAGTTATACGATCATGGTACAGTGTACAGTGTACATTTTTATTTATTTAGACAAGAAACTATAATATTAGGAACTGGCTTAAGACAAGTTTGAACTGCTTATTTGGTCCAACATAACCAAATACAAGGATTTATTGCAAGGAAAGTTATTTCAGAGGTGTACGCATCTTTTGTACTGCAGTGTACTGTCACTGGGCGGTAATGTAAACACAAGACGGAAGTTATAGCCTGACATGGGATCCATCTTTTACATGAATAATCAATGAAATATTCTGGTCATAGGAAACTTTTATGTGAATCATCAAAATTATCAAAATTCAATGCTTTTAATCTCCTCGGATACTAAACGAACGCTGATGCATCTATTCTTGTTTACAAATTCCGCCCAGAGAGAACTGGTTTTAACATGTACGCAGAGTATACGCAACTGCAATTAACTTTCCTTGCATTACATTCTTGACCAAATATAAGTAAATTTTCAATCCGGACAGAGGGAACAGAATAAAGTACAAAAGTTAGCTGGTTGAACTAAATTATTTATATTTAACTTCAGACCCTTTTCTATAGTTGCACCTTTAGCTTCATACTGTTGGTTTTCAAGTCGTCTTTTTTACTATTTATTAGAAATTGGTTAGTCTAGAATTCCATATTAATTTCTAAAGTGAAATGTCATTAAGATTGTGTAATTTCCAATTTCGGTAATTCTTGTAAAAAAAAGCGAAAACGACACTTTGTATTTGTTGTATATCTACTGTAGGGTTTTTATCAATATTTGCCTTTTTCGCCCCTTTTCTCCAAATATAATTTATAATACAAATGTGTAAAAACGTTTCAGTTTCTTATCTCGACAAAGTTTCCCTAGTAAAAATTTGCCGCTTTAAATTACACACACACACAGGCCCTTAGAGTCGGAAGCCTGGCTTGGATTGTTGACATTTCTTCCTTAGAAGATACAGGGTGCCACACCACATTTTGGAAATGAAATCAATGACGATCTCCAAGTCGTCTCTCAGCTGCATGTTTCGTGGAACACCCTGTAGAACCATGTCTCGCCTATTTTCCTGCTGTACTTTAAAAATATAAAATATTGCCATCTTTACAAGGATACCTAGAGATATTTTATTAGATCTAACCCATCCATTCTTATACCCCTTTACATTTAACTTATTTATTACAGTTCATATCTCATCCATTCTTATACCTCTTTACATTTACATTATTTATTATAGTTCATATCATCTCCATTCTTATACCCCTTTACGTTTACATTATTTATTATAGTTCATATCTCATCCATTCTTATACCCCTTTACCTTTACATTATTTATTAGTTCATATCCCAATCCATTCTTATACCCCTTTACCTTTACATTATTT